TCGTCTTTAATCAGAACTAAGAGTGCACAGTACACACAGTACAGTGTAAAGTACTGTACCCTCGGTGTACCGTACTGTAGGCCCAGCCATAATAACCCCGATTACTCAGACACTCAGGCTAAATAGCTTAAACGATGATACATCGATTCGATTTCGAATGAAATTTGAGGTACAGACTCTTAGAATAATGTATCATCGTTTCCGCTATTTAGGCTGAGTGTCTGAGTAATCGGGGTTATTATGGCTGGGCCTACAGTACGGTACACCGAGGGTACAGTACTTTACACTGTACTGTGTGTACTGTGCACTCTTAGTTCTGATTAAAGACGACAAGACGGCTTAGAGGTGCGACCATGGTATGCCCAAAATGTCAGTAAATCACTTACATTCTTGAGAATTGTTTCTTATCGCCGGCTATAAAATACAAATAGAAGATACAATGGAAAAAAAAGTGTTCAATATTATCATATTACTAATTTGTACTCATTTTAATGTTACAGGTGAAAAAAAATTAGGTAAAGTTATCTGTCCTGATCCATGGAAATCAGGAGCTAGGAATACGGTTGGTGAGTGCTGATATATTCAAATTCACTTTCATCGTAGATAGCGACGGGTCGAGTCTAGATACAGTGTGATTATCCTATGTTATTGAAGCTCTATATCAACGATTCAGTTCATTCTCTGATATCATAATATGGATTACTTTTTTACTGGTGATGTTCTTGTATTGCTTTAGCTTTTCTATTTTATCATTACAGTATCTTATTTAGTTCTATAACAATTGATTACGATGATATCACAGTTTTAATTGGATTCTATTCTTCAAACCAATTTCAAATTAAGATGGGGATAAGAGGAGAATCAACGAAAATAAGGCTTTAACTGCCAAAAAAAATAGGTTTGTGTAACTTTTAATTAATTATACGTGTAAATATATATACGATTAGTTTTATGCCTTTCGAATTTTAAAATTGCCTTGATACAGTGGTAACTACAGCTGTTTCAAGAAATTTTTTTGACAAAAGTTTTACTCTCTTAATGCAACAATTTCATACAAAATATATTGGACAATTTAATAAATTGTCCAATGAAGTTACAGACCATATCGGAGAGATCTACTAGTGACATGTTGTTTTTATTGATATTCATTAAACTTATCTATGCTACAAACAAATACCTTAGCTGCAGCACGGAACTGTAGCTAAAACTGATGTACTGTATAAAATAATCTAATAAACAATATATAAATAAAGTAAATAGGCTTATCTGTAGCTAATGCATAGCAGAATGAAATGGCCTATACAGTACTGTTGTTTGTTATAGGTTTTCGCCATATCAGAACTTTAAGAAGTGTAAAATCTGTAAGCAAACAGTCCATCAAATGCATTCTCATTATTGCCAAGGTAATTTACTCTTACGTCATGTATTTAAAGATCTCGTACGATAGTTTGAGATACTGTATTATCTTCCAGTTGTTATACATAATTGGAGATACGATGACTACAGTACATGCAAGATGCATTTTATATTATGGATAAATATGACCTAATATAACTGACGTTGATATTCATACTTGCATATTCTCTGATTTATATAGGATGTGCTTACAAGTTGGGTAAGAAATACAACCATTAATAGTTAACAACTAAGTGGTGACTTTTAATATATAAGATGGAATGTAGGACGCGAATAGTGGTGTCAATTGTTGCATATTTTGCATTTATTTAGTATCTGTTCTAACCTAGATTTTTATATATAGACCATAAGAAATTAATTCTATTTTAACTTCGGTTGCTATAAATGCCGACCCTTAAACTATTACTCTGTAATGATACATTTATTTGAATATTCCAGGAATTTGTGCTATGTGTGGCGTAAAGATGTTGGATACGAAGAGATATAGACAATCGACTACATAAAAAATTATTTATTATAATTAATATTAATGTACGAAACTGCTATCATTGACATGAATTAACTATAAAATACGTAATAAATGTTGAATGTAATGTATGATTTAACTATTCAAATATTTCTTAATTAGCTTAGCGTACATGCAATGCAACTGTATACTAGATACTGACAGTATTTGTTTACAATTTTGTAACTCTGTATGAACTTCATCTGTGCAAGCTCTCCATAAAATTGGGTGATATGATAAAATAATTTCTATGCATCATGGTCTTACATGTATAAGATGAATAGTAGTCTGCATGTGTGCAATTTTGTAACTCTGTATGAACAATTGTGCAAGCTATTCCCATCGGATTAGGCGATAATTGTAAAATAATCTTTATATATCATGATTTTGCGGCTATAGAATATGAAGTAGTTTAACTCAGCTAAAAATGATTAGTTATTATTATAGCATATTTTACTGTACTGTAATACATGCATTATTGCGAAATATTCATTCTGTATGTACTGTATGTTTATCGGCTTTTCCAAACATAAAAATATAATATTATATCTCAGAAATAAATACTAAATAATGAAATCTAAATCACTTGTAACATATATTTAATTCATTTGATTTTTAGTTTTGTTACTGCGAAATTAAGTCGTTACCGTATATTAATGGATGTTATATAGTTGGATCTCGGTCCTGCCATTGGCTTGTAAATAGCATGAAGACCTCAATTTACGCATATATCAAAACGCTACGTGTCATGTTAAGCCTAGAGCAAAAGCTGTATATTATTACTTCGTAAATACATTCCATTTGATTATGGCAACTATGTGATCTTGTAGTATACGTACTTCTTGAATGCTGTATTCTGTCTCGGAGCCCTAAGTGCAAAATGATTTCAGTTCGATGTTTAGTATCTTGGAAAATTTGCTAATTCAAATATACCAATACATCAAATTTTTGCACGGTCATAACTATGCTATCTTAGACTATCAGTATACATCAGGTCTGTAATTAAGAACCTTGCAATGGTATTGAATATCGGCCTATAATAAAGTAATGTTATGCATAGTAACTCTAGCCGAAATTAATTGGATTATTAATTCATAAACTACTATGCAGCAAAACATATATCGTTCGAGTCTTCTAGGCATTCATGGCTGCTATACAAAATCATGTAGTTCACTATCATGTATACTACACTGTATTCGTACTGTATTAAATTGTAGCTTACAAAGTACGAGGACACTGCGCCTATTAAGTTAAATTAAATGGATCTAGCTGCCAGTACTCTATAGTGCACCCCTATTACAGACAGTAAGCTTCAGTAAACTACCTAAACGTATAGTATGACAACATTGATCAGATTTTGAAGACGCACTCCTAATGGCGGATAAAACGAAATTTATTTAAGCTGATTTAAACCACAATCAGAAATGTCTGCTTCGTGTATTGTAACGCAGCCTGTTATCATAGACTTTGATGTTTTCTCTCTGTGGCTCAAAGGCTATACAAGTTAGTTTGATAAAAAATACTGACTAGTATTGTTGGTGTTAATTTTGCCTTTCCGCAACGATCGAAGAAATCTCGATCAACACTACTGTAATTTATAAACGTACAGACATAGAAAAACTGTAATTCACTTTACTTTATAGTTTAGTCCATTTCCCATTTTTATAACGTATTGCCTGTATATTATTTTTGATCGTGATATATTGGCGTATGAATCATTACGTATAGTTGACGATGAACATAGTAGAACAGTAGTAGGATATTGGATTGGCTTGGATTGGTGAATTAATTATAATAAATGATACATGCATTTTACTGATGTAGAGATGTAGCGGTTAATACAAAGTACAGTATAATTTGACTTCTCCTAAAGCTTTTATAGTATTGTACGGATGCGGGTAAAATTTTAAATATCGGAAAAACAGTCAATAAATACTATGATATTTTGCAAACAACTACAAATTGAGACTCTAATTTTGAAAATTATACAGTATACCAATCACAGGTTAAAATTATTATTATTATCCACTTACGGCTCAATTAACATACATTGTAATTCTTTTGAAATCGACTTGCAGTCGATGAAACCGTCAAGCATCGACTGAACAGAGAACAGGGATTAGCTAATAGATCTCAAGCTCGAATAGATCAAAAGCTAATTATTGCAGATACATTAGACTGCTATCGATTGTTCAATGTAATTGAGGACAAATATTTAAAAAATCCATCATCTCTGGCAAATCAAATAATGTTTGATTTGCCACCCGATATCCAAAACAAGCTCATACAAGAGTAAGTGAAATTGTAATCTGAGTTTTAAAGTTAAAACTTGTTCAACTTTTTACAAGCTGCTTAATGTAAGGTTAATTTGGAATGACTGCACTAATAATTAACTATCAATATAAGTTCTACGATACAGCAACTAAGTAGGCAATGCTAATATTATACCTTATACTCACATTACACGCTTTAGATACTACAGCTTCGACAAAGCATTCGCCCGAGAATTACTTGGTAAGAAATTATCTTCACGTTTACGTAAAGATGTAGATGAAATTGGAGAGAAGGCCAGAGTTTTATCACGCAGTTGTCGACGACAAGTAAGTTGAAAACCAATACTTTCAACTGAATATATATATTGATTGTTAATAAGAAACGATTCACAAATGTAGCATGGAACTATTCTAAATGCCAAATATGAAGTGTAAGCGTATCTAGTAGAAAATTATTTTGCCTTGCACATGCAATTTATCCTTTAAATAAGTTTCTGGAACGATTTATTTTATTAATAACATAAAATATCTTTACTGTACATTAAACTCGCACGCCTTATTAAATGGTGTAGGGTTATGAAATTCGATCGCTTCTAAACGCACAAACTATTAAATTGCGTTAATCGATCGTTGTAATATGGTAGTGAAATAATTACTAGTCAATTGTACAGTGTAAAGTTATTTTTGTACAACGGTCGATGTTGAGATCCTTCGAATATACAATAGTAACGACTTTACTCGGATGCAAATGCACAGTAACTACCACTTTGAAAGTGCTATCATCAAGAATGTAGACAATGATGCCTGCTATAAATTATGCGTTGCAATACTTGAGGGTTATTGCCAAGTGTATTGTGGTATTCTGTTAGACAATAATTACTATTTCTACTAATGACTTAAATTCTTTCTCAGTTGGATAATTTTAGGAGAGTCTTTAAAGCGGTTGAAGATCTTGATGGCTCTCTGCCTGGCAACATTCAATCTCAATTCCTCTTATCTGATAAATTAACCAAGTTAGATCGTAAATTCTTACACATAAAAGTACAGTAGTTACTGTATAAAAATCTACGGTTTGATCTACAGCATCATGCCAATGCATTAAAATCGTGTTGTAACTTAATTAACTCTGAGGAATTACCTTTTATTAGATTATATGTAAATGTAATTTTCATGGCCAGTAATAAATTTGAAACTGGGAAAAAAAGGTGCTGTAGTTTTATCTTTGCGGCCTATTCTTTTTTTTAAAATACCATTGTGTGCAGTCTTTCTTTATTTAACACGTTTTTTCGCTATTTTAGGTTACAATATATAACATTTGATATGTTTATGGGATGTTGTAAGGAAATAATTGAAAATTGGACCCTTAGCTTCAATAGTAATGATATATGAATAAAGTATAAAATACTTAAGAGCGATATCAAAATCGATTCAATATGAATAATTTCCCATTCATATATGAATTATATTAGAGGATGGTGATATAGAAATTGATAAGACGTTTATTCAAGATTTGCGTGATCTGAAGTCAGTAACGAATGATAACATTGAGCAACATCGAACGTAAGTAAGCATTCTCGTAGATTGAACGCATCTAGAATTTTAGCTCAAGCCGTGTGCTTAAATCTAAAGACTATTGCTAGCTAAATTAAGTGGAAAAGTAAAAGAAGATTCACTCCTATCAATCGGCTCACACTTCAAGGTTTCAATTTTTCAATAATTGCAATAAATTTATTATAAATTCTACTAATAAATACATATTTTACTAGGCGATGATGAGAGCAACCCTAAATATCGCTACCGGATTAGTTCACAGTAAAGAATGGAAAGATATCTATAATAACATGGTTGAAAAGGTCTGAATTTTTTGCATCTATAAGTCTTTGTTGATTGAAAATTACATGAAACTAAGTTTTTAACATGAGATAAAAATAAAATATCACAGGTTATAGAAATACTGAGACATATGCGAATCGACCAAGAACAAAGCGAGTTAATCCTTAATGCATTTTCGGAAACAGCTGCTGATGTAACACTGTGAGTTTATAAGCAATGAAAGTTTGACTATATCGATAGTTCGACTAATCAATGGTTAATTTTTATACATAGGTCAAAGCATTTATCTAACATCTATTATCGATATCTAAAAGTTTTTGGATTTTGCTTAATTCAATTATACCCATAGTATGATAATGCAGTTATACATAAATTATAAATACTTTATTCGTAAATGTGTATAAAATGCAGAATTAGTTTAAGACGACGGTTCCATAGCATCCACTCCATGAAATTTCAGAAATTTCTAGATAAAAACAAAACATTTGTGAAAAATAAATTAAAATGAAACTCGTAACACTGCAAATTGTGATTGATAGATTTTACCTTCAACAGATCTGTACCATTGGACGGAAGCGATCTGTTAATGTACTCTAAATAGTCGTTCTTGTCGCACCTGGAAGTATATGCACTAACCAATTGAATAGCTTCAGTAGTCCTGAAATAGCATACAGGTGTGAGATGTAATTATAGTATTATTACTGGTTAAGTAAAAGAATTGCTTGCCTCCCGATTTCAACACTTTTTACTACTATAGCTTTAACATCACCACTTTCTAATAAGAAATCGATAAAGGAATCGAAATACTTCGTCCGATAAATTTCCTATAATGTTTAGTTAGTAAGGTAATACATTCACATGTTAATTAGCCGATAAGTCAGTTCGTAGTAAAGTTTGCAATCACTGACACAGGAATTACCTCAAATAACTGATTTTCGTTGATGTAAGCAAATATTGTTCTTTGCAGCTGCAAAGTTATCATTATGTTTTTAGTAAAAATTTTTGAATAACACTGTAGTATTTGTACATGTGGATACCTTGCCGATCTGGAGTGGAAAATTACTTGCATCCGATAATCCATCAAGAATTTGCATGCAATACTTATCAAGTAATACCTGCGGTTTGAAAATGTAACGTAGCAGTGTATTAATAAAAGTTTATTAGTGGAAAAGTGTGGATAATCTTTCTTTACCTTTATTTTGATGTTTGTATGCTTGGACTTGGGCATAGTAATAATAGTATCGAGCGCTAAAGTATAACATCCAACTGATTCCAAGTCGGCGCTAAATTTTGTGAGATCAATTTCAGCTAATTGGGGGCACCTGAACATTTGCGAAATATCAATTGTTAACTTCGTTTTTTGGAAAGTAATCAATTTGTAACTTACCATTTCAGCAGTTGTGCTACACGTTCAAGTTCTTTTTTCTTCATATCGACATCTATAAATTAAATCACAAAAATGTAATTCTTAAAGTTGACATAATTATTATCGAAATGAAGCAACTATTACGAATAGCTCAACACAATATAAATTACCGTTTCCGACGTAGATATTTGCTATGACTACGGACCATACTTTTATTAAGCAATTTAGCTGTCGTAAGCAGGGAATTGTGGCTATTTCACAAATAGTATGCCGTAGTTTGTGAATCTAGATGATACGAATTACTATTATCAAAGCATGTTGGCAATATAAATATAAATATTTACGCACTGTATGCACATATACAGTATATAAATTGCAAACCATGTTCAAGCCACACAGTTTAAGTAGTATGTTGTTCCAGATGACTTTATCATAGACCTTATAGTCCAAACATAAATCTACTGCAAGTCCTATCATCTGGTAAAGACACGAAAATGTTCATTATAATCATTTATATCGGATTAAATCGCTATTCATCATTACTTTTAAAGTACCTTTGGCTCGTCGCTATAATTTCTCAAGATTCCTCTTATCAAACCGTCTTTGTCACACTTTCGAAATGCTTCCACTGAGTGAAGAATTTGATGCTCGTCGAGAGCAGCCATGTAAATCATTGATAATAAATCGGAACTAGAAAGAAGTGTAACCGTATTTAAAATTTTTATAAAGCCCGATAGTATCGATCAAAATGAAACGCTTTGTAGCATAAAATCTGTATGCCTTATGTCCTTTATGGATTTTCCGGTAGTTTCTGCTATCTTGTCTGCCGAAGCGATCGTTAGAAGAACTTGCAGTGCTCTTTTACGTTGTTCGAAAGTAGTCTTCGTAGATTTTTCCTAAAATAACATATATCATTTCATAGCTGCACCTTCATTTCCTACTTTTTTAATTAAAGTCGAATACGAACTGATGTCGCAAAGGAGAATAAATATTCAATAGCTATCTTTTCATCAAAATTTTTCAGCATAAAGGTCAACCTGAAAACAAGTTTTATGAATATAAACTCTCCTCATTTATATCCAATATATATACAAAAAACCGTGCAGAAAATGTAAAACTAACTTTGCTAATGGTTCATCTTTAGAGTTGTTGTAATCAGTTTCGTCCTTCGATTAGAATATTAAAATCAAGTATAGGAAAATTAGTTATTAGTTTTGTGAACAATACGTATCAACTGCTTTACCTCTGTATAAAACGTGGACTCATCAGGCACAGCCAGCCATCGCTAGTGATTGTTAATCGGAAAGCGAAAGGTTAGACTGATACAGAAGAACTTTCTATTATTACTAGATAACTATAGAAATTACCTCGATTAGCTGCATTCTCATCTTAATAATGTCAATTCCGTTGATTTGAGCTATGGCTGAGGTGATACCATGAATATCTACATGAATAATTAATTCCATTCGTGAGTTATATCCAATGACAGTAGTATTATACATAACTGATTACACATTTCTAGTCTAATAGATTATTTTTACTGTACCAACAATTATTTTTCACATATGATAAATGTCATTTTAATTTTACCTGGAACTTTAGTTTCACGATCCTTAGTTAGAAGAGAAATACATTGATGATTATACAATTCACGAATTAATTGTGATGGCTTATTTACGAGTGAATTGTATGGCTCGATGTCGAGCTTGGCAATACAAAGTTGATACCGAGTTGATTCGTAGCACCATTTTTCCATCAATTTTGTGTTACTTAACTGGGCTTTTCTTTTCTCAACCTATCAACAGAATTAAAAACTGAAAATACCTTGCGATCGCTAATTCAATAATAACTCTGATATAAACCTTATCCTTCGTAGAAGCTTTCCATATTTCAGTTATCTTAACACAAAACTTCATTAACTTGATTTTCAAAGGTACTAATTACAAGTATTAAAAAATTTGTTTTTAAGTTTCATAGAACAATTATCGATTCATGCTTGTATTGCAATCCATACCTAAAGGAAGTTGCTTGATTACGTTGTATGCAGTTGCAATTAGAACTTCATTAGATTCAATCTGTTGTAACAACTCTTCAATTTGTTCAGCAAAGTAGTGATTGTCGCTGTCCAATGTTAATAAGGAGTCAGACGCCTTACTGATAGTATTTTGTATCCCATTAGCGAGCATTTGATCGGTAGACATCTGGGGAGTGCAAATAGAATGCTTGTAAGCGAACAAAAATATATAGAGCCAGTTTGAAGCGCACTTACATTTAGAAGCTTTCCTATAGGTATGAGTTTGCCAATGGTACTATAATGTAATTCAGGAGCTGGATAAAGGGATATCACAAAAGAGCAATTAGAAAGCACAGTAGCTTGTGTCGATTTATATTAGATTTATTAAGCATCACTAAGCTTACATATAATCTTCCACTGGTCTCCATACAAGAGCGGATGCAGAGGTAATCGTTGTCTGGCTAAAGGATCCAATACTAGACTGGTAATGTTATCAGATTCCTAAATAGAGTATTTATTTCCTCTGAGATCTTAAAATACGCGTTATCCCATATTACCCGTAACATTATAAAATGTATGCAAGCTTATTGAAGGACCTCTTTCATATAGGGGTATGTATAGGATGAGATAACTGGGCATTTAAATATTGGTTATTACAAACCTGAACCTGTCTGGAATCAGTATCCAAAGTAAATGATAATTCATATTGTGAAGGCTCAAACGTGCGTTTGTATTCAATTAGATAATCAAGTAGTCTTTGTGCCTATTTTAAATAAAAGAAATGCTTTAATTCATTATTCGAAATAAAGGGAGTGTAGAAAGACTGCTCTATATGTCATCCTAACAAACCCTTCCAATATCAACCGCTTCAGTTTGACTACAGAACCGCGTTAGTAAAGCCAGAATAAATGTTGCATGTTCGTAATCATAAAAATTAAGCTAGAATTCGAAAAATAAAAGAGCTTAGACATCTAATATCGATAAATTTAGTATTCCGTAAAAGAACTTACTTTCTTGAAAACTTCAATTAAAGTATTTGCGGCTGACTCAGAACTATCGATCTCTGATATGATGAGTTTTATTTGACTTTCATAAACTCGCCTTTGGCCACCAGTCATCCTTTCTTTCGTAGCAAAATTCGGCGATAAAACAATCTGTAAATATGAAAGCAAGGCTGGTTCGACGTCTAATTGGAAGTCTCTAGTAATTCATTTCGTAAAATCAAGCAGTTACTAATAATAGTAAGGAAATATGAAAAATGAAGATTTTTGTACGGGCAGTCATTACCGACAGTACTGCAAAATAGTCGTCAGATCAGTGCTATTTTCAACTAGCTTAGTTAGTAGAGCCTCCTTTTCAAGTATATCTTTCTTCGAAATTCCTTTAGCCGGTATCTGATGTGTTTTTATGGCAACATAGTTTGTAAACGTAAAGGATTTGATTAATAATGTAAAGAATTTGATAAGGCACAAAACTATTCGTAATCCTTTCAGTCGAGATCGGATTTATCACTAATACTTACTTTTAACTCTGAAAGCAACCGGCACCATTTTGCTTCCAGATAGAATCGTTTAAATACTAGTTTAGTGTCAGTTGGGCAGCTATAGAAGTTAGTAAATAAAATTCCAAGCACCGATACAACCTGTAATATAGCAAAGGATTATGAAATAGAAACACATGTATTCTATTGGTATTGCAATATACTAACACGTAATTTGCGGTAACTCCTTTCAACTGAGTCACAAAGTTCTTTTAACTTATTGCAAGCTATATTTGCGGGTAAACTTGTTGCATAGCTGAAAGCTAGTTCAATATCGTCGCTACAGCGGTAGCAGATCTAGAACACAAGTATAAATAAAAATTTCAGAAATAGTCAGTCATGTAACTTCATGGAGAGACCTAACCTTTCTTGTAAGAAAAAATGCAAAATCCAGTAATTTAGGACTGAATTCTTCGTTTATGTATTGGTCTAATAATTCAGAAAGGCTTCCTTTCACTTCCTATTTTAAAGATTTTCTCGGACTTAATTTACGAAACTTTGTAAAGCTCAGATATTACGGAAACATACCATGTTTTGAATGTGGCTATTAAGCGTTAAATGTTGCGCACACGCTTCTATAGTCTGGTTAATTTGATAATTAATCATTAGTATTTCCAGATGTCAATTTCTATAGTATATCTATAGAGTTCTAGCTTACCTGATTCGTCACCTGAAATGCTAAAGCCACTAGATTATTTTCTCTTAAATAATCTATTAAATTCTTTGATGCAGTGCACATTTTAGTGATAGAGTCGAAATGGAAAGTTTCCGTCAACGGATCTAGTCATTATGAGCATTATTGCCCAATATACAGTGTGTTACTGAAAATTTCTGATCACTTTAACACTTATACATAAAATTAAAATTAGAAAGATTAAAATAAAGGAAAATACCTAATCCATTCTGAAATTTTCCTTGAATGCGATCCTGATAATAATTTTTGCAGCCGCTTTCTGATAGAGGAAAATTTATAATGAATTTCAAATTAAGTCATCAATGTAATGCATGCTTTTCCGGTGTTAATATTACACCTTTACCTTCAATGGTAGGTATAACAGATATCATATAGCGAGCAAGCATTGGAGCGACAATGGATGATTTAAGAACAAGACCATCATCAGTGAAGAACGGCATGAACAGTTGCCGTTTTGAGTCATGGTCACTCGAAGGATCCTAATATTCGTATATCACAGTATAGTTAAAAATTAATTTTATGTTGTGTAAATTTATATAGTAAATGATGGCACCTCAAGGGATGATACTGATTCATTATCTTCACATTGCTGAAGAATTATGCATAGTAATCGAGAAATTTTGCATAATTCCAAACAATCACAGACGAGATCTATAAAGTGAATCAGTAAAAAATTATCAAATCAAACATTTTAACAAGAGAGTATATTTCGTATTACAAGAATCGCATTTAGCCAGTAGAGTTTGCAATGTTGAATGTAATTCATCCATCCATGTTACATTAGATTGTTCACAAATGCATTTGCATATGTGATATAGGTTGAACAGTATAGATTTAGTGGTGCTGTAGTCATTGCTAGAGAGCGCATTTCTATAATCGAGAATAGGAATTTAAGAGAGAGTTATACTACAGATTTGGTAATCAAATCATGCAAATTTACGTTTGCAATTACCTAACTAGATTAAGGGCTGTTAAACAATCTTGATTGTTCATCTTGAAATTGGCCAATTTACAATAGTATTGATTTCGTGAGAGGTCAAATAATGACGCATATCTAAAGTGGTTAATGCCGTCACGAATATTCACACAATTAAAAAAATATGCAGAATTTATATCAACATAGAAGAACAAGTTGTACGGACATAACTTCAAAGATAAAGCAATAAACTAACTCTGACCTAGATAAGTCAGTAAACGTATTTGCTACACCATTGTGGAATGGGTTTTTAATTTTACTTTTCTAAAAACATAAGCAGTAATTTATCAGTATGATGAAAATTATAAGACAGGATATTACTAAATAAGGACTGTGAATCAATATACTCGCACATCTTTTCGTAAAGATCCCTCTATGAAATGATCAGTACTCTTAATGAAGAGGTTATTAAATATTATTTCGCGGTAATCTGGGTTTTCGTAGTGGATCAGAGATAAATCTATACCAAATTTAGTCTAAAAAAGGAACGTATTAGAAAAGGCTGTAAAAAATTAGTTACGATCTTTACGTACTTGAATTTTTAACACAGCACGGAAAGTATCTTCCATTTCTTTAAGTTCTTCGTGATTTAAGGAGCAGTCTATTAATAACGGAACCATAGTTACAAATAGTGCACGCGAATAGGTATACAGAGAAAGTTAAATTTATCCTAAAACGAATCGCGTTTGTATATAACGCACCGAAAGATAACAAGTACTTAAGGACTACTAGCGTTGTCTCTAAAATTGCTTTTCGTTCTTCAGTGTCATTCTGTGAAGTTAATAATACGTGCATTTCCATAAAATATTAAATTGGTGGATTATATTAGACATACATAACAGAGATCGCTTTTCCAAGTAAAAATAAATTATGTCTATATCATTAAAAAATGTAAATAAGTTCTTACCAGGTCAGGATGTGGTTCATCATTTAGAACAATAGCAATCCACTGGAAGAATTCTCTGATAACAGAAGGCAAGTCTTCACTAGGCAGTACTTTGAGTAATTCGATGCTCTCAGAACTCTATTAAAGATAATATAACTTTATATTTCATACCGACTGTAGAATCGCAATTGCAAGAGATCTTAACAATTGATTTTCAAATTAGTTTTAAGAATAAATATGCCTATACTATACTCTGTTATTTCGACTCAGATCTTGTAAAATGGTAACAAATACAAAATGTTCTGAAAGTGAGCTGTAAATGCGAATAATCTATAAGAAAATTGCAGTAAAAATAGGTTTGATTACATTCTTTTCTGTCAACTTTTTAATTTATTTTGTTGCATTTGAGTATTTTAAATGTTATACTTTTTTTGCATCGAGCAACTTCATTTGGAAAGATGTATCGGCATGGCAAATTCGCAGCAATGTTCTCTGTATAGTATTAATAAATGAAAGTATTTTACTTTGCTAATTATTAAAATTTTGTACATTATATAAGAAGGGATTTTAATTACTTCTGCTTGATTAATGTCTGAAATATTGAAGTTATCGATTCCATATTTTTGACAGATTTCCTTAACTTCAATTAAACGGTATTCATTTTCAATTTCAAGCTTTCTATAGAGGTATGAAGAATAGTTTACTTATTGAAAATTGTATTGAAAATATTCAAAATTTTTATATTTACTTCGGATGATCTATAGTCATCGAGTTTTCTACAAGAGCCTTAACATTATCACTCCAAGGCAGGCCAGCATGCCGCATAATTTCCATGGTAGCTTCAATTACATACTAAAGGACAATAAGAATAATTTCTGTCTCTAAAGTATTAATCCGAAAGAAATATCGGCAAATAAAAATGGGATTTACTTGATTATTCCTTATGACATTGACGACAGCAACCGCTCTGGTTTCCCATAAAGCTCCAGGTAATGAATTGTAAGATATCTTGTCTAACCATTCCTAATTACATAATGGTTTCGGATTAATATAGTCCATAGCAAGATATATCAACTATTTTGGAATTTATTTAATACTCGTATACTGCCTTCCTTACTTTGATATATTCCGAAAATACTTTGTCATCAGATACACCATAGTCTGTCATGTATTTTCTAATGCTGCTGTTTACTACCGAGGGAATTAATTCCGCAGCTTTTATATTCTCTAGTAAATTGAAAATTATTGATCTGGGAGTTGCCTGATAAAAATGAAAGTTGAAATTAGTGCAATCAAATGTTGTTAACAATGAATTAGTCCTTACCTTTTTTAGTTCTTCAAGTTTCAATTTGCAATTGTATGTTTTATACAGTTTTTCTAGTTCTGCGAGATAAGTGACCAATTCTCGAATTTCTCCGAAATTGTTTGTGCCGTTGACCTATAATAATGTCAATTCTCTTGAAATTTAACCCACGGTAATTCAAAACAACTTGCACTGCCTTATCTAATGATGTCAGCTAAGAAGCTATATAACATTAATAGAACTCTACCTGATCTTCGTCGATGTTCGTACGTTGTATTCCAAAAGAAAGCTACAATTATCGAATATAAGATTTCAAGCCATGACATAAATAATGAATTCAAGCTAAAATAGTATTTTCAGTATTTAATTCAGTAAGTTACCATATTGGTATAATCAAAAGGGGACTTCCTTAGAAGGCTAGTTGTTAGAAGTGATTGCCCAGCTTCGCTTACTAAATTGACTAACTCTAATGCATTCATCGGCCATCCATCCTAATAATTCCGTACACAGCATATTTTGTATTAATTTAGATCTCAGTTACAAATTTAGATATTCATTGAATTTGTTAGCGTCTACCCTTTCCTCCATATCCTTCACAATTCGTATTACCCAACCACAGAGCTTACTCTATGCATAAAAGAATCACATTATATAGGTAAATGTAATTTTTTAGATATTATATAGATAACCACCTGAATATTTTGTGATTGTTTGAAAACAAATGGGACAATACAGTCTCTTAATAACGAAGCATAGGACGAGATGCAAGCATCAATAGGTATACTTGACAATATGCAATCAATATCATAGCTTGTTAGCTCAAGCTCATGTAGATGTCGCTGCCAAACGATTTGCACAGAAGAAAAGCTTCTATCCATTAAAAAATTCTTCATTACTTTCACTATACTTGACTGCAAGAACTGCTGCCACTTGAAACCACTAAAATTAAAATTTCATAGTTGGTAAACGGTTACTAACATTCATATTTCAAAGTTAACAAACCTAAAAGATGATTCCGAAACGATTAAGAAAGTTCCCAACCGTAATAGATGAGTTTCTACCTATAAAAACGGATTACTTGTTCTTATATATATTAAGATACGAGGAAATTCAATCTATTTACTCTTCTGAATAAAAAAAAGATTGTAGTTTCTGACTGATTAAATTGAAGCTAATTACTAACTTGTCCTTTAAGTTCCTGTGTTTCTTCGTTGGTGAATTTATCAGGTACTGCATTTTGTTTATCTAGCTGCATTGTTTAGAAATAAGTAAGCTCTCAATATTCGCCTTTTTATTGTAGCAAATGGAGTTAATACTTATCACCTACCCTGTTCCTAGCATATACTAAGAGCTTATGCACATGATCAACATTTGAAAGTCCTGAATTTGAACATATTCTAACAATGTCGGCGTTACTCTAGATGAGTACAAAGACGCGTAATTAAGCTATTGTATAGAATTTATAATATGCAAATTTTTTTAAGTGTACACTATTTCAATAATCATCAGAAATTGTAATAGCACATGAAACCTTTATATTATCTAGCGTTTCTGTTAAAGTGTTGAATAAATTTCCTGGGGTATCAGGTGAGAGATTGGAGTTAGCTTCGCTTGCGATCGCTTTTCCTAAAAGCCAATCCGCCTTCACCATATAAACGAGCTAAATTTTGCAAACATCCGAATAGAATTAATCAGTATGTTAAGAATATTCTGATAACGTTAATAAGAAAAAATTTGCGATTTTTGACAAACAACGTTTATGAACCTGGATTTCTTCATCGCCAAATTGATATAAATGAGCGAAGTCGAGCGCTTCCTGATATCTTCCTTTGTGGAGTAGGTAACTAAATCTGTATGTATAGCGGAATCATCAGTATCTTATACAAGTAGGTGAGCACAATTGAAAGTTTACCTTTGAGACGGCGATGATTCCCGTATAGATTTTACGCGCATAGCAGGTAAGCTTATAAGGAAATGAAAAATTAGTTATCTAGTTTATTGAAGGGTAAATACGTTCTACTAATTGATTCTAGACATTGTAAATGTATACACGTATAACGTACCTATTATCATCACTGAATGATCGACTTTCAATGAAAAAGACATTATCCTGAAAATAAATATGTATGCCTGTGTTAGATACGGTATTCATATAGTAACTCTAAATATATGCGTGCCAACCTTATTTCCATTCATCTCAATTAAGTATGTCGAAGTTGACGCTGAAACGCTATATATCTTATGAAGGAACGGCATGGATAAGACATGAATGAAATAGTTCTAAAATGTAAAGAAACCACCAATAAAGTGAGCTGTTACTAACAGTACTATTAAAAGTGGTAAAGATCAACAACAACATAGACGATGCAACGATTGTGCTGATGTATTGCTTTTGGCTATTATACAATACAACATAATTATTGTGGCTTAACCTCATTTTCGTTAGATAAGATAAATAGCTTTTGCGAGTTAGGTTGCTTCTGGCTGAAGATAAAGTTGATAATAAGGTTTAAAATCTGGATAAATATGAAATATTTCATATCTTTAATATTGAAAGCGCACCGGTAGCTAAATACAGAATTATGGATTTTCAAGGAATCGGTGCCACATAAGAAATTTTCTACTTTATGTTCTTGCCATAATTTCATCATGAACAAGGTTAGTAACGAACAAGCCCAAAGGCTTAAAGATTTCTACAAGATATCACAAAGGAGCAAAGATTGACAAATAGATAGCACGCTATATGGTTGCCGTATATCAGAAATCTACGATTATAGCAGCAGAATTGCACACAGTCTCCAAACGTACGTCGCTATGGAGGACCAATAGCAAATTGCGATCAACAAGACAGCATTTACAGATCGAAGTACCTAAAATGAAAGCTCCATTTTTATAACATTGATCTCAGACAATAAAATTAATGAGTCACTAGCTTCTACGCTAACCTAAAAATTCAGAAGAAATCGAATGAACTACATTGTAGGTGTCTTCACTTGGAATTTCTAAAACACATAAAGGTTCGTTTCCTTTACCCTAAAATTGAAAGCACATTATCGTTACAAACGTAGATAAGTTATCATAGATATTCATATATTTAGTATGCTTTACCCCAATCACTAAAAGATACGATAACTCAAAGGTAGGTTGATATGTCATACAAACGGGCTCATCAATATATTGAGAAATATCATGGCTCAGTACTCGAATGTTATCTGTTATCTGTAATGATCAATTATAAGTTACCATAATATTGCATGTTAGCATTCCTTGACGATAGGTAATATTTGAAAAAGTTTTAAGAACTCTTAGATTAATTTACTATTCCAGGAAGAAAATAGCGGATAAAGTAGTGTGACAACGAAATATCTATAGGATAAAATTAGTTACTAACGAACCTGTGATAACATTGGAATATTACCGCCATCAATAGCTTTAAATCAATAGTAACACAGTAGATTAATTTCAAAAATATTTGGACGTTACATTGATTTCAAACGCTGTAGAACGATGGATAAACTAATATAGCGCTTACCCTTTAGTAGTTCTCTTAAATTTAGATGAGTAATTCTCATTAATAGTCCGGATGACATTAAAAGTAGTATCTGGCAATGATCCTCTGCGTGAAAGAAATATGATAAACTTATTTTAATGAAACCATTATCTTTTTGTGATGACTTAACAGCAGTGTACTATCTTAACTTACAACCACTTACCATTTGATCTATCTGGTATTACCGCTATTGAACAAAATATTTTTTTTTCATGTTTGTCAACGTTTACATCAATGATTTTCTGAAATAAATGTATTTCTTTAGCGCTATATTTTAGTTCATTGTTATATCTAAGCATTTGGTTAAACTGTAAAATAATTGGTCATGTTACTGTCATCGATGTGATTCCTTACCTTAGAAAATAAAATTTGTTCTTTTTCAATATTTAAAAAGTGTAAACAGCCGGACCTGTAATTAAATTTAAACGAATCAATATTACTATGGTAAAAATCGGTATGATTTCGTATAGTACTAATATACTAAGTCCAGCCCGTAGATCGTAGCATGTTCGATTATTGCGATCTCAACTTGCCTATCTCCAATTATGAGACAAGAACCGTCAATACTCCAAGCCAATGCATCAACCAAAGTTTCTAGGAAAGTAATTGTAACAAATATGCATTATGCGTTTAATTATATTATCCTAGATGTTGACGAAATTAACTACAAAGATGAATATACAAAGATTATAATAGAATAAAAAGCTATTTATACATACAGTATACTGTATTATGCATAATTACATACATACTACCGTCCTTATTAATAAGGCAAGTAAATTATATCGTTTACAACCTAAGTCTCACAGCTGTAGCAGAGTATAGTTCGTGTAATCTTTACAAACAGAGCATTCTTTATAGTATCTTCATACTTGATAAAATAACTATAGTTCACCGTACACAAATGTATGGCAAATCGATCATAAATAGTAAGGAAAAATGGAACGTTGGGAGTAATTTGAAATGCAGATAGCTGCTTTAAAGTTTGCTCTCTATGTTTACACACTGCGCGAATTAGTTATTACGGTGCATTAGAAACTATAAAAGCGAGTCTTACAGTATAATAACTTTACTGGTAATACTTGCTATCAATTTGTGTATATAAGCCGGTAATATGTGTACGTATAGCACACTAATTATAGAGTTTCTTCAAGTAATAACTGCAGTAAGGTGTTTTTCTCTCATTAAAAGGCATGAAAGATAACCGGTGGGTGCTTATTAGAGTAGGCAATGACGAACATCACTAAAATTTCTGTAAACCTTCTCTTTAAAACGGAGTTGGTCAGTTTACAACTAAATCTATTCTAAATTTTTAAAGAATTGATCGAAGGCTAGGATCATGGCTATCTCATTATAAAAATCGTTAAGATGACTGCTCCGAATGTATATTGAAGTATGTTTACTTTCAGGGGATTATTTGTCTTGGTCATGTTTCAATACTATATACAGCCAATAAATAAATACAATCAATGATATTGTACAATCTCGGCATGATTTAGTACTTAGAATTACTTAAATATGAAAACATTAAAGGTATACAAAACACTATATTATGGTTTCTGTATTATACCAAATTTGATGGTTGTTTTATGTAATAGACCAGCTGTGGCGTCAAAAAGGAGCAAGTTACTATCGATGGCAATACAAAGATGTTCCTCGTTTGCTATTCCTAAAACGCTTGGATTATTTTCCACCTGTTATAGACGTAGATTAAAAAATCATTTCCATTGTAGGATGTAGTTTTACAAAGTAGTTTACAGCTATTCAGTCACTATAGGTATGTTTGAGAGATAAAACGAATGATGTATTACTATTAAATATAAATTAGTATTGACCATTTAATATACTGTATGTTCTAATTTACAGCTGTTGTGATATGTAGAAATAAAAGAACACATTTATAAACTCTTTGAAGACTCGTGAGAATTCTGTAACTTTGGAACAGATACTGTAGAGTGCACAATTTAAATTACTACTTTAAATAATCATTAAATATAGTATACATTTAATCTACTATTGCTATTTGAACATAGGGGATTACAGTGCATAAAATCATTCAATTCAAAACACATATCAAATCTGCAGTATTTTGACCTAAGAAACTTCCACTGTTGTATACTAACATCAGATATGGCTGTACTTTATGTATCAGTATAATAATCTATGATTTAAATAGATAGTATTCTAAATATTATAACTATAGCATCGCACAGTAAATTAACCAATTGTGCATTATGTGCACTCACATTTTGCGTTGCTTTGACAATGGCAACATTGTCTAATTGAAAAACTGGATTATCTTGAATCTTCTTAGGGGTAAGTAAACTGGTTACACAGTCGTCACCAGCGGAAATCGATACATCTAGGCTTTCCCAAGACATTTCTTTCCTTTTACGTTACTGAGGGATCTGGCAAAAGTTGAATTCAAATAGACCTCTACGTAAGCGTATGACAGTATGCATGATATTAAATGGATGTGTATATTTTTACGTTGACAAAAGCTGTATAGATGCAAGTGTATGCATCATGCAACACAGACGTATTTCATTGACTAAAATAGTAAAGAAAAATGATAGAGTGCAATGGACTATCGTTGGCGCTGCAGTCTTTTATAATCCTTCCGACCAAGAGCATATACAAGTATTGTTGCTAATTTTGCTTCCTTGTATACAGTAGCTGATTATAGCGAGTATGAGTGTAATAAAGCAATCAAGTAAAGGAAACTTCAGATATTGAAATCAAGGATTATTACTGCTATGTGCTAGACATAAAATATGTATAATCCATTGCAGTTTTATGATCTGGGAGGTGAACCGTGGTCACTCCATGGCTACGCTACACCTCAGAGAATGGCATTTTCACTTAGTAAACATTTGGATTAATGCTATGATTGAAGGAGGATTTTCCAACTACACAGAGAGTTTATATTTAGTCAGTCATTCATATCCATTGTACAGTATGCACCGTAAATGCAGTCCCTTTCCACTAGGCATTGGTGAGCGTTAAAATTGCAGATTCATTTAGCAGTATCATTTTATAATCTGTAGTTATTTAACAATTGAATAGTACGTTATAATCATCAACCACTTAAGGCAATCGTGATTGTTGGACAGTATCCCTTTCAGATTGCAAAATGAGCTTTTTACTTTTTACAGTCTAGAACGCTACGACTACATACAGTGTGCAGTAAACGTTTCTGATGCTACACTTGAGTCATGTTTACGTACGCTCATCATCGTCTCACAACTAAAAAGTAAATTGTTACTTTATGAAGTTTGGTAAACGTAATCTTACCTTCTTCCGAGATTAGCTTAAAATATCGTCTATCAGACAGTTCGTAAAATAAAAAGGTTATTGCATATTTGAAACAGTTTAGCCAAAGGTTTTTGATTGAGAATGATGATATTGCCCTTGTCCAAGGTCTTGGCATTCCACTCTCTTTTCTCATACGGACTCGTAACTGTACTAGACTGACTGTACAGGATGGTGTAGACTCATGCCCAGTATGGTCACTTCACCGACTGATCGACTCACACAGTCAATAAGAAGTAGTTTATCAGTAGGCACGGTACCAAACTTAAGGACGCTCTACAGCATTTAATACAGTACCCTAACCAGTTTCCATGCACTACACTCATACTGATTTTCCGACTTTTCCCGCTAAAAACCAAAATCAAAAATTTTCCAAACAAAAGGTACAGTCCGTCCAGCACAGTACATGTACTGTAGCTGTAGTGTACATTGTACTGTACTACCTTAGAATTGGAGTGGTAGTGTAGTGCACTAAGCAACCAACTTGTTGCATCGTCAACCCTTGTATGGTCCTGCACACGGTACTGTATTTTACCGTATTACGGCCCAGTACAGTACTAGTTACTCGGCAGTGATCTACAGACAACCGCCATCATATCGTCGTCAAGCGTCCGTCAATGGACCCCAGTAGATAACGGGTAAGCGCAGACATGATTGCAATAAATTAAAGTAAAGAAATACAAGTAGATTAAAATTCTAATATAGAGGAAATTTAGTATTGCAGTTAAATCGGTCCATGTTGTAAGTTATCAGCGATTTTCGTGAAAAAAATTTCGATCAAATGATTTCAAAAGTGTATATACTGTAGTGGCCAGGCTATGTTAAAATCTTCAAAAACGGACACATCCTGCCCAATTATAAAACCAAATTAATTAATCCCTTTTTTTTCAAATATTATTTATCGACTATTCAAGATAAAATATTGCTGTAGTTGCTAAAAAATTCTGTATTGTATGTTCACCGACTTGATATTTAATGAATGGTTAAACCAGAATTCTTGATTCCTTCTTCTACAGTACAGTACAGTATCTTGTTAACGCATCCGTTTATACTACTGTAGTTGTTTTCAACGCCGCAAATCCTCTGTACAATGTGATCCCTTTTAAAACTTTGATATGTTTGCATAGTAAAAACGAGAACGAAGACGCACAAAAATACCAATCATTATTAAAACTATGTATTTGTGATCAATATTGTACGAATTGATGCAAAAATTACAATGTCTAGTGTAAGGGATCGCTTCGTGCATGGAGTCTATACGCAGAAAATAGTGATCACACGAGACGATTAGATAATTCTTTCTTCTCAACTTTCATACGCGCTATTGACGTTTCCTCACCTAGTGAAAGTAAAAATAATGCTGTAAGCTGGTATCAAGTTGCAGTATCTTACCGCTGTAGAGGCTTCTGCATCACTACGAAAAAGAATGCATACAGTACAGTGCAATCTTGTGTAAATCAGATTAAGTGCTTCCTTTACAGTTGTGTAAAAATATCGCTATTCCAAGGCAAATTGATAGGCCGTGTGATGCTGTCAGGTAGTTTAGTGACCATAATTTCTTGTAAATTTACACTCTAAAATGTTACAGCTAAGCGGGAATAAACAGTACTCTAGGAAATCGTTTCACTTCCAATAATTATCAATGGAAAGCATGCATGCATTAGCTAATTCTAAGTCCTAAATTGCAATTGTATGTTAGATTAGAATACATTTGTAATCAATATACAATGGAAGAAAGAAAGTTAAGATCTCGAAAAAGGAAAACAAGGAGTAATTTATCGGTAAGTACATATGTAAGGCATGGCATATCCTTACTGTAAAATGCTTAGCTACTTTGTGAACATATCATAAAGTGTGAACTTAATTTAAATTTACGTCATGAATTTTATGAACTGATCTGATATGCCTTATCCTAGTACTACGTACTACGTCTACTTACTCCTATGCTGATCATAAACCGTTAAGTACAGAACAGTCTCCTTTACGCATCAAAAGTCCTTACGACATGCAGATCTGCTTAGTATTTGCCAGAAAGCGAGTGGGTTAGATGATTGCCGGTATTCGTGCATCATTACTAGTTGTACAATTCATGTACTCTACAGTAGAAGTTATCACTTGAAATACATTGGTATACTGTACAGTAAGTCTTAAATTAATATGTACAGTAATATCAATTTGCAGTAGTGATATACGATATGGTAGCCGATTGAACTATCTAAAATTACTTTTAAAGGCAATTGTAGTCCATGATCATATTACTCAATGAATACAAATTAAGCTTTATTTTTACAAAATAATTTCATCACGCAAGAGATAAGTAAATACGAGTGCACTAATTTCTGCGGTATTTTGCTAAATCTAATTGATGTACACAATTAAAATGACTTGCAATTTTATACACGAATCTGATGTACTTTCGCGTAATATGGTATAGTATGTTAAATTGAGAATTTGATGTGATAGCTCGGTCGTTTAACAGTCTGGCCTATTTATGGAGCGCCTAATTTTTACACAGATTAAATACAGATCATAATTATTTGTTCCTAACCTTTCCTTCAATTATATTTGTTGTATAAACCCTAGGAAAATGATAAAGAGAAAGAACTATTGCCAGGGCTTAGATCTGAGCTATTTGATTCCCCTAATAAACTTAATACACCGGCCAATATCAAATTTTCAAGTACCTTAGACGAATCAAATAATCTTGTATTAGAAGATTCCTGTTTTGGATTTAACTTCTTAGAATCTGAACTCGAATCCTTGCCCACGTCACCTACAAAATCGGTTTCCTCTGTTACATCTTCAATGTATTCGATGAACGATAACTGCAAACCTGCTCATAGGAGAGCATCTAGGTCTTATTCTAGGATTCCTTTACAAGAAATTGACAATGAACAACCCTCTAAGAAAAAATCTAAAAAATCTAAGAAAGCCAAATTAGAGGTATAGTAACGAGATCAAGATCAAATAATTAATTTTACTCATATCCAATGTTATCCTAGACAAATGTATGCATAACATGTAGGTTACATATACCTATTATAATCTAAAATTTTACCACTGTGTTTACCAAAGATACTATTCAAAATTTAATGCATGGTTCGTAAATCCTAATAAGCTGTTATCTATCTAATTAGGACGAACGTGACCGTAAAGATTGGATAGAAAGCGTTACTTCGGAATTTGATATGATTGGCTCTCATGAATTGAAAATTGTCTAATATGCATAATACGGCCTATTTGGTGTAAATTGTTCACTTGGAATTGCTTTTGTGATATTAGACAGCACATCAATTTAATTTTGTACAAATTTATACGATACCTAAATATTATTTATATGATACGTGTATGCTGTTATCATTCGTTAATCAATTTTAAATGTACTAGAATTTAAACGATCGTTTTACAAGTATGCGCTATCGTGGCGTTTTTATTGTAGTTTAATTTCTTCCAGTAACCGAAGGCAGCTGAACCTAAATTCGATTAATTATTGTCACCCCAGATCAATACCAGCTACCACGTAATAAGTTATCTTTATACTGTATATACGTACATATATATATATATAAAATACGGCTGTAATGTTACGGTGAGGCTTTGTTCTCTTCAGTATATTCTCTTTTAAATAACTGGTGAAGTTTATCTGTTTACGGTGCAGCATAAACTGCTCTAAACATCTGTAATCTGTAATTGTCAAACTTCTTAGTTTATTTTCCGATAGCTATAGAGTATTAGTATCCAAATACATGAATAAAATACGGTATTATGAAAGAGCATGCATGGTATCTGCTTAAAGGTTTGACTTATTTACTACATGATTTGCTCAGTAGGGCTCTGGATTTGAGTTATCTAATGGACTATGGTATGACCAGGAGTCTATTAGGAGTAACGGTGCTACGTCTCTTGAGTGGTGATGCAATATGCGTTTGTACAGGTTAAGTAGTATTCTTAGTAAAATTCAATACGTTACTCCAAAGTGCCATCATTGTTTTGGTCTCGTGATGCTATGACTGATAACTCGTCTTCAAATAATGTAGTTTATAGTATATGAGTAGCGAGGTTTCTCGTCAAGTATCGTATACGAGTACAGTTATGCGAGACTAAAATTCAGAATCGATCTTCATCATTAGTGATAATAAAGCTTGTACGAAAAAAAATATTACATATTCAACCAGATTTAATTGCTGGTCATCATATACCCTGTAAAGGCGCTATTTTATATTCCATGATACACTGTCATACGTGTTATACAAAAGACAAAGAGATCATTCATTATACCATTAAATAGGTCTCTTTCTAGAAATTCCTAGTGCAAGTAAATGCTCCTATATATATTTCTTGAATTTCTTGTAAGAGGTAAAAAGTTATAGTGGTATATGATAGCTATAATCCTTCATTTAACAATATACAACGATAACTCCCCTGAATAGAAATTGTGCTGATGAAATTAATTAATAAATATATGCTTAGACTCTATGTAATGCAATATAGAGCCATTAACGCATCATGAAGAGTGCTGAGTGAGAATAATGAATCGCAGCAATATCTACACCGCATTTTAATACATTGTGACTGGAATACTACTCTGTTGTTGATACAAACAATAAACTCTGTAAAGTTAAAATGTAAAGGATTTAGTTTTTAGGGTGAACTATGAGATACAATTAATTGGCTAAATTGCTCTAACTGATTAGTATTACCGGTATTACTTTAATAAATAACTTATGCAATCATATTTTCGAATTTATGCTAAATTGTTACATATTGTACGTGTTCAACATTGACTTTGCTATGTATGATATAAGCGTATCCAAAGTTTCGCGATCCATATCATTTTCTTAGAGACAGGAATTGAAGTAAGCAATACAGTAACTGATTACACTCAGTATGGTCCTATATTTTACAACTTACGTAAATGTGATTAGGCTACTCGATCTAAACTTTACTGTAATACACTCGTATTTTATATTCAGGTATACAATATAGGTATTCTCATGAAAAATCCGAGCGTCGCTATCGATTTAGATTGAGTGTATTTGCATTTTAAAAGCTCCTCATATGTATAGGATAGTGATACACATTATACGAACATTCGTAAATTTAGAGTTGTATTCTGGAAATGTCTAAAGTTATCTACGATAATTATGTTACTGATCCGGCATTACGATAATCATGACGTTGTGGTATATCATCTCAGTACTGTACATTAGTAAGTACAGTATATATACAGTAAGTACATTACGATACGTAATGGAATTTGGCCTTAATAAGATCTACCGATAAAAAGTGTCAAACTGAGGTAACTATAGTATTCCACTAGTATCAGATGGCGATATATTTAGGATTGCTATTTCCATTCATTATACACAAAAGATTAGATACATTATTCGCCGCAGATGACATGTACGTAAGTAAAATGTCAATATAGAATTAAAGTACAGTAGACGTATACTCCACTAATCTTATAAGTTAGTCCGTGTAGTGACTGTATAATTTAATAAGTTAGTCTATGTAGTGACTATATAATTTGGTAAGTTAGTCTATGTAGTGACTGTATAATTTGGTAAGTTAGTCTATGTAGCGACTGTATAATTTTATAAGTTAGTCTATCATGCTCAGTAGTGACGGTATAATTTCCACAAATGGGGGCAATACTCGTCGTATACGCGTATTTTTGCTTTCATATTATCGTTTAGAGTAACAAGCCCGCATCATGCCCGCGAGACTTCGATCTAATAATAATGAATAATAATATTATATCTACTAATACAGTGTTATATAATATGAAATCAATCTTAAAAATGCGAATCTATTTTTACAATAATTAATGCTGTTGGTTACGTATTTAATTAGAATAATTAATTCTATCATAATATAGTCATTTTATCAATGTATCGCTACCACCAGTACTGTATGTGATCAGTGTACCATAATAGTCGATGATAACACTACTGTACTCCTAGAATAATGTATCATCGTTTAAGCTATTTACGCTGAGTATCTGAATAATCGGGGTTATTATGGCTGAGCCTACTGTACGTCCACAGAAAGTGCACTATTGACAGCAGATGTTTACTGATTGAGCGACCCCCTTCTAGCTAGTTCTAGCCATTTTATAACGCTAGTTCTGGTATATTGTATGACTGCATGTACCTGCTGTACTCTGATCTAAAACAATGCGTACAATTGCACAGTAAAAAATACAAGTACTGTATAATACAGCTCGTCCATACAATAGACGAAATAGAATGGCGAGACTTCTACCAACTTCTAGTGCTTCCACCAGTCTATTAATAATAATAATACTGGAAGCAAATAGTTACAGAATGTATGACCTCTGAATTACAGTAAAATGACAATACAGCAATAATTCATCAATAGAATTGCTAATTACTTTAACAGAGTAAACAACAATATCCTGTATCTGTTGTGGCAGTAAGGTAGAATATTCTGGGGTCATCTCGACAGTATGTAGCAGTTCAAATAAATTCAAATATCCGCAAATAACCTTCCAAGTTTAGAAAACTGTGTTACTTTGTTCCGCCTCTTTCATACAAACCCTCCAAATAAATCATTCATTTATCAAGCACAACGTAGGGATGTTTACGTGAGTTTATGTACGACGCGTTAACTGTGTAAAGTATGACTTGAAATCATCTTCCAATTTTTTTTTTTTTCACTACTGTGATCGCTAGAAAGACGAAGCATTAACAACGCAAATAACGCAAACACGAGCACGAGAATATTAGGTTAAGTGACTTCAGTTGATGTCGAATAAAGGTCATCGCTGAAAGAAAAGAAACAATACTATTATTTCAAACACAGCCATTATAGAGGTGGCACGTGCATAGGGTATAAAACATAAATGACAAAACACCACTTGGTAAAGCTTTGAATCGTTGCACGTAAGTTATACAACAGTCCAATCGACTAGCAGTTGCTTAACGGAGGCAGTGGTGATTTGCGATCTACTTAGAATTCATTTTGCGGGCTTGTACGCCAAGAAATGTAAAATAAAAACAACAAGCCAGGTAAGTTCAGCGAACAGACTATACCGTTGTACAGTGTTATATGTGATACTGTAATAACACTGAGATATTGCATAAATAAATAAGCTAAACTTGATAAACCTATGATTACTGTACGTTAATTTGGACTTTGGATACTACTATATTGTATCTTTTCTTTCGAACATTAATCCACTGAAGTGTACAATAGTGTGCGAATTAGTACTAGCTCACGGTAATTATTTTCCTTCTTGACTTAGAATAAAATACAGTATAATGATTAATCGCTTTAAAATAGCCAACTGTATTTGATACTGCATAGTGGCTTTCTGTAATCTATGATTGATCCACTTATCACTCAATTCAATTTTGATAGCGCTGTATCCTAACGTGATTTGCTGTACTTTACTGTACAATCAATTGACAAATTATTCATTTCTATCATTATCATTCTTATCAAGAATACTTGAAGCATTCAGTAACTTGTAGCAATCCCGACTGTACTGCACAATTGTTGTTGTCATGTAACTAATATAACAATTGGGTCAGGAATTTGCCTGTGATTTATCAAGACTAATCGATTTATCATTTCAATGATTTCATTCATCCAGATGGAATGTGCGATCGTTGATTTCTTGCAGAAATCGACGATGCACTAAAATAAGGTTACTTGATTTCTACAATACTGTACTGTATACAGTACATACTGTATGAAAAATGGAGGATAAAGGAAAGTCACACAGTAATAGAAAGAAAGATTGAATGGGAGTTTCAATGATTTCTCCAAAATGATTTATTACTAGTAGTTTGTATCTTGATCAGCAATATATTAAGGATTTGAACTAGTGTTTTTTTCTCGACAGTACAACTACAGTACCGTAGGATGACCAAATAAAATGTAGTTTATCTCAACAGAAAAGCAATGTACTGTACATTCTTTTGCAGTTTAAGTCTTCTTGAGTTAGCTTGATGGATGATAATAATTCGTAAACCTTCAGAATTGTAAATTTTTGGACTACCCTACTGTAATACTGCATTGATAATTACAATTAATTAATTATAAGCTTACTACAACAATAATTAATTATTATTATTACAATAATTTCAGATAGTACAGTACAGTGTGCTATGCTGTGTTGCATCGCAATCATGACGTCAATATCAGTCCTAGATTTGCATTTCTTGATAGAGTTACAAACTCATTGATATTAAGTCTATCTTGGCGATAATTTGCTGTACTTTGATTCCATTGAACGGAAGGAATTTCTAAGATTAAATGATTAACATCGACCAAGTTAATGTTGATGACTGTCTTAATAATAATTCACTATGATTACAGGCAAATCAATTTGAACTCTTCACAGTCTACTAGTAGACTCTAACCTATAGTATAAAGTACGGTACTATACGCTGAAAGTGTATTTGATTCCAATGTTCACTTAACCACCGCTCAAATATATTTATAAAGGTTGAAAAGAGAATTATCGACATACGGACTACAGATTAAAGGAGCCATTGAAAAGGTACAAAATGATAGTAGATGTATGTATATATACTGTAAATGCATATTATAACGTTACTCTTTAATGCTAGATTATTGCTTAATTAATGTAGTAAAATAACGTATAACACATTGTCGATGAACTCACTCCCTTAAATACTGATCACAGCGATTATCTGAGTTGAAAGCTTTGGTTTTACACATTTTTCCTTCACTCGAGAGCTGCTCCATTGATTAATTGTAGCGGTTGTAATAGTTTAGTACGTAAGAGAAGCATACCTAGCTAAGAAGGTCAAAGTATGCAGGCGAAATAATAATATTTAATTAATATACTGTAAATAAGCAAAATTAAATGATTCATCCATTGGTTGCATGTTTGCTTACCCTTATACGTATTTGATGCCTTTTGTCAATGACAAAGTACTGTACGGTAGCCTAATGTACTTTCGGAATTTTTTTTTTTTACTGGCATATAAGTATTGATTTTGAATATTATATACGTATGTTATCATTACTGTTTGCTGTACTGTACTAGAGTCATCCTGATTCTTGGATTGCGGTGAATTGATATGTAATACGCCTTATTAATACTGTTTTAATTTACAGATGCTGCGATTAAATAAGACACGCTTGCAATTAGTTAATACTGTCACAAATTCTTCAAGATATCGGCTATTTACCTTACGGAAACAGCATCTAAAACAATCAACCGCAAAAAATAGGAAAATTCAAAAGATATTGGTGGCTAATAGAGGAGAAATTGCAATTCGTGTATTCCGAGCTGCTAACGAACTAGATATTCGTACAGTAGCTATCTATACTGAACAAGATGCTCAACATATGCATCGCCAAAAGGCGGATGAGGCTTATTTAGTCGGTAGAGGTTTACCACCTGTGGCTGCTTACTTAAACTCATCAGAAATTATAGATGTTGCCAAGGTATTTAGTACTCATGTAGTTAATATTTATTCATGTTAATGGTGGAAGCATTAGACGGTCAAATTAAATTTAAAATTTTATTTTTCTGCCAACATCGATAGTACTTATAGTCAGTCATACGTACACTTGTATTCGTATAGGTGTACTGTACGTATATCTATCGAAGGGTTTGATCCGATAGATAAATATTTGACTGTTTTTCGATACTGAATCATAATATTTATCTACCCTTCATTTTCATCTCTCTCTCCATATACGCGTATATTTATGTCATAGCAAAATAATGTCGACGCTATTCATCCTGGTTACGGATTTTTATCAGAACATGTTGATTTTGCTCAAGCTTGCGTCGATGCTGATATCAAGTTTATTGGACCATCACCAAGTATCATTAATAAAATGGGAAACAAAACCGAAGCCAGAAATACAGCAATAGCAGCAGGTGTCCCAGTTGTGCCTGGTTCAAAAGATGCAATCAGTTCGTATGAGGAAGCCTACGAATTTTGTGAGGAACATGGTTTCCCAGTAATACTTAAGGCGGCTTTCGGAGGTGGAGGTCGGGGTATGAGAGTAGTAACAGCAGCGGATGAACTACCTAAACTATTCGAGACTGCTACTTCAGAGGCACAAACCGCTTTTGGTAATGGTTCCCTTTTTATTGAAAAATATATTGAACAACCACGTCATATCGAAGTCCAGGTTTGTCTATATTTGATATTAAAGTTATAGTACTAATAGTTTAATAAATTTCGCTGTGTAAATCCATAACACTAAATTTTATGATTGTGTAGATTCTCGGAGATTTGTATAATAACGTAGTTCATCTATATGAGCGTGACTGTTCTGTTCAGCGACGCCATCAGAAAATAATAGAAGTGGCTCCAGCATTCAACTTAGATCCTGATTTGCGTGAAAGGCTTACCTCAGATGCAGTACGTTTATGTCAATATGTAAACTACGAAAATGCAGGGACGGTCGAATTTCTAATTGATAAAGATCAACGGCATTACTTTATCGAAGTTAACCCAAGGCTGCAAGTTGAGCATACTATTACAGAAGAAATCACTGGGTAACTATTATCTATGAAAATTAGAAACTACTAGTTTAAAGATATTGTAGTATTTGTATTATTTACTGTAAGTTTAAGCATCACCTTTCTTGAAATTATTGTTACTATCGTCAATCTTGTTATTAGTGTGGATATCGTACAATCTCAGATACGTATCGCTGAAGGGGCTTCATTAAAGGATTTGGACTTAACTCAAGAGAAGATTTTGCCAAGAGGCTCTGCAATTCAATGCAGATTAACCACAGAAGATCCCGCTCTTAATTTTCAGCCAGACATAGGTAGACTCGAGGTAAGCTATGATCAAATTAATGCTTTGTACCAATTTTGCCATAGGTAAAGAATTTACAGCTATCTAAAGGGTAGATGTTAGACTTAGATCAAAATTTTTTTGATATTTGATCGAGCCTACGTGTATAATATACATTGCATATCATGAATAGGTTTTCCGCTTGGGTGAGGGAATGGGTATTCGCATTGATAGTGCATCAGGATTTGCTGGAGCAATTATATCACCACATTATGATTCTCTTCTAGCCAAAGTAATTAGCTACTCAACGTCTTACAATCAAGCCATAAGAAAGATGTTGCGATCGCTTTCCGAATGTAGAATTCGAGGAGTCATGGTAAAAAATTATTTAATTTTTTAATGTCTTTGTGCAACTACCTTGTCAACGTCTTATCTTAACAATCTTGATAAATTTTTTACCATTTATAGACGAATATTTCGTTTTTAAAAAATGTTTTGACGCATCCACAATTTAATGCGGGAATTATACACACACGATTTATCGACGATAATCCTGAGTTATTCAAATTGGCACGCAGTCAAAATAGAGCTCAAAAGCTGTCAAAGTACTTTGGACACGTAATGATTAATGGGCCTTCGACGCTTTTCGCTACTAATTTAAAAGCGGCTAATATAAATCCAGTGATTCCTAAAAGTGACTGCTCAGAGAAAAGTCCAAAATCTGGATTTAGGGATATCTTAATTAACCATGGACCAGAGGCTTTCGCTAGGACTGTTCGTGAAAATAAAGGTTTACTTTTGACTGATACCACAATGCGAGATGCACATCAGTCTCTACTAGCTACACGTGTTCGTACATGTGATTTATTGCGCGTAGCACCATTCGTTGCTTCCAACCTAAATAAAGCATTCAGCGTCGAAATGTGGGGAGGTATCTTGCTTTAATTATTACTTCAACATATTAAACTAAAATGACTTAATACATTTCTATTATAATGGATTACAATTACAGGTGCTACTTTTGACGTGTGTATGCGATTTCTATACGAATGTCCTTGGGATAGGTTAATAGAATTACGTAAAGAAATTCCAAATATCCCATTTCAGATGTTACTTCGTGGAGCAAATACTGTTGGATACACAAGCTATCCCGATAATTTAGTATACGAATTTTGTAAACAGGCTAAAAGCTGTGGAATCGATATATTTCGTGTATTTGATGCGCTTAATTATGTACCCAATCTTCAACTTGGTATTGATGCAGCTAAACAAGCAGGCGCCATTGCTGAAGGCGCTATCTGTTATACCGGCGATGTATCTGATAGTAGCAAAATTAAGTATAACTTAGACTATTATATGAACGTGGCAGAAGACTTAGTAAAAATGGGCGCCCATATTTTGTGTATAAAGGTATGATCAATTTAGTGGATATTATGCTGTAATAATTGAGTACAGCTGCTGATTGCTAAAACTTCAGTATAATCACTAATATTCTCTTAAATAACCAAGGATATGGCTGGTCTGCTGAAACCTTCATCTGCGACTTTACTTATTAAGTCCTTACGTAAAGAATATCCATTAATACCAATTCATGTACATACACATGATACAGCAGGTGCTGGTGTTGCTTCTATGTTGGCTGCAGCAGACGCAGGAGCTGATATTGTTGATGTCGCCGTCGATTCAATGTCGGGTATGACATCTCAACCAAGTATGGGAGCAGTAATTGCAGCTTTACGTGGTCATGAAAGACTAGATACTGGTACAAAACATTTTTGCGTAGCATATATCACTCGCTTGATAAATAATTAGATAATGATATCTCAATTTAAGTTCTAGCTTTTATAATTTTAAATTTAATATGAGCTGAAATTTTTGTACAGGATTTTCCATGCAGGATGTACACGCTTACAGCGATTACTGGGAACAGACAAGGCAACTTTACGGACCATTTGAGTGTACTACAACTATGAAGAGTGGAAATTCGGATGTATACGATAACGAAATACCGGGAGGTCAATATACGAATCTCCAGTTTCAAGCATTTTCTTTGGGCCTCGCAAGTCAATTTGGTGATATTAAACGAAATTATGTGTTAGCCAATAAATTACTCGGAGATGTCATCAAGGTTAGTAATAACGTACAGTATGATAAAGTAATTTAATTTATATTACATTTCAATGATCTACTTGGTCTAAATTTGATTACTTTATTTCTTTTAGGTTACCCCGACATCTAAAATAGTTGGAGATTTAGCTCAGTTTATGGTACAAAACAATCTTACGGAAGATGATGTAGTCAATAAAGCTGACGAACTCTCTTTTCCGACGTCTGTTGTCGAATTCATGCAAGGCCATCTAGGCCAACCGCATGGTGGATTTCCGGAACCCCTTCGTAGCAAGGTCGGATACCGTTTTGAAAAAATGATCCATTTATCTATTAATTTCTTTAGCTAAAAAATTATTATTTGGTAGTATTTCACTTGCATGCTACAGTAATCGATCTTTCATTCAAATTTTAAAATTCTCAGACTAAAATTATGATCGATTTTCTATAAATGACAGATAATTAAAGACAGAAAAAAAATCGATGGTCGACCAGGGGAATCCATGGAGCCCTTAAATTTTGAGAAAATAAAAAGTGATTTGGTGGCGAAGTATGGAGACCATATTCGTGATGTTGACGTACTAAGCTACGCTTTATATCCGAAAGTCTTTGAAGAGTATCAAGGCTTTATAGAACAATTTGGTCCAGTTACTAAACTTGATACAAAGTTCTTTTTTAATGGACCAAAAATTGGTGAAATGGTAATTGTAGAACTAGAGAAAGGTAAAACGTTATATCTTAAAGTCTTAGCAATTAGTGATTTACTGGCATCTGGTGAACGTGAAGTCTTCTTCGAAATGAATGGACAACTCCGGTCAGTTTATATCAAAGACTCGTCTGCCAGTGAGGTTCGTGATGAAATTTTATGTGATAGATACACTTGTATGTTATGATTAGCTATATGTAGTTATTTATTATTATTTAATTTACTTCTATCTATCTTTGCACATATTCAATCATTTTAATATGGTTTAACTGATTGTTCTACGCACATTTGTAGAATTCGGATATCCGACTTAAAGCAGATAAAAACAATAATGGCTCAATTGGTGCTCCGATGCCAGGTATGGTACAATCGATTTGTGTCAACGAAGGCGATGAGGTTATCCAAGGTGATCAGTTAGTTATATTAAATGCCATGAAAATGGAAACTGTCGTAGTATCTCCAGTCAATGGTGTCATTTCAAGAATAACAACAAATGTAGGATCAACCGTCTCAGGTGATGATCTATTATTGGAAATTCAAGAAAAGCTATAATCTTAGGTGCTTAGATTCAAATTTATAGGGAAATGACAACTACCTTTCATGTTCACCGCGTAAACATATACTACGAGTATACAGCATATACGCGTACACGTACAATATATGATAAAGTTATAAAGTTATAGCGGTTATATTTATGCTTAATTGTTACCAGTTTATAAATAAATAAACAAGCATTAAATGATTTTTATTGATGTTACGCGTATTTGATAGGTCTGTGACTTAATTAAGTTGTTTTTATAATTACTACTTAAATACATTGTACATGATGTCAATAGTGGTATAAAGATACGTAAGCACCTAATTTCATACCTTGCTTACGTCGTCTTACGGACTTCCTCTACGCCATGTTAATACTACATAAGTAAGCTAGCGAAATAGGAATGGGATTATTTTTTTACTATCCGAATAGGCGTACTATATAATGCACCATTATAATACTCGTAAACCCGTTCGATAATAGTGTGGCTAACGGATAAAAGGAATATGTTATCGAATCGAATTCGACGTAGTCTTTGAATTGAGCTAATTTAACTATCACGCAATACTATATATAATTTATCATGCGTACGAATACATTCATAAATGCTTATCAGACAGATAATGATGCCATATTCATTTCCATATAGTGCTGTGCCTGACTTAATCAATCTAGTATATGCCCACATTATACACATTACCCGTGATATATATATATATACAATATACACTTAAAATTTATTACGTAGTCCGATGTAAAAATTTACTTTTTATTCTCGCTTCACTATAATGATTAAATAAGAATCAGTTAATTGATCTACAGTAAACGTAGTCTTGATGTACTCGAATGTATGTACTGAGTTTACTCACAGAGAATCTAAAGTTAGAATAAAATAGAAAAAACTAAGGAAACAGGTTTCCTAATCGTTAGGAGGTTTTATCTCTATCCTTCCGGGTCTTTTTTTACATCGACTTCCATTTCGGCCACAGCATCTGAATCTGCTTGCTTAACATTTGTGTTTGCTTCATTATCATTCTCAACATCACTACTATCCGAAGTTGTTGTGCCAACTGTTGATTCCGTCTGGTAAATAAATGATTTACAGAGTTACGAAATAGCCTATGAATGTACCGTCGTATGTTAGAATTTAGGCTTCTCAACCTACTTTTATTACATCGGTATGAGCATCGTAAATTTGATAAACATAGTGCGCCATTTGTGTCATATCATCGATAATAACTGATTCATGGTCAGAATCCTTATCCACCTGCAGGATGTTACAAGAAATAGGCTTTAGTTTAACACAATACTTTCGAAATGTTACGGTACCTTACCTTTCTAGTAAAGTTATGCCAGTTCTCTTTAGGTAATAGGTGTAACTTCGTTGGCCTTTGCATAAGCTATAAATAAATTATAGTACGTAATGAAATATTTCAGTAATAATACTATTACATTAGGTACATATCTGAAATAGATCTCACTGTGGGTTCGATATAGAAAATTTATGGTACTTACTACATTAAATGCTGGCGATAGCTCATAACAATTTTGGAATAAGGATACGCGAGCAAACACGTAGAGTCCCAAACGTGCTCGGGACATAGCCACAACTAAACGACGAACATCACGTAGATGCCCTACAGCCTTAGTTCTAACCAAAGATAGTAAGATATAATCGTTTTGTTGACCTTGAAAGCGATCTACAGTTGTAACCTACGGTAATTTAAAAATATTCTTAATATTTTATCTTCACAATGCGTTGGAGATCATGCTTACATACATAAACCCGGTAAAGATACAATATGATTTATATTCATCTTGAATGTTACTTTCTTTACCAGTTTACTGAATTCTACTTACCTTATGCGGTTTTCCTATCAAGGGATTGTTGGCACAGCGCATGTTAATTACATCACGTATAAGATGTTTTTGACCGTTGTATGTGGTCAAAATTGAAATAGATTCTTTAGGGTAGCCAATCAGCCTCATGTACATATATGTAGCAACAACATATTCAGCTTCGGCTAGATTCTGTAATATTTAATATATAGAACTGTAACGCAAGTAGTGATGTTATAAAAGGTCTTAATTATTGCTAAAACTATCACGTGAGTAAAAGATTTATAAAATCAGTACTTGAAAAAAATGAGGATTGGGTTCTGATTCACCGGTGCCCTGGAAGTCCCCAACATCTATGAGCTGATAGTCAAATTGAAAGCCAGGATTGCTCAATTGAAACTCAGGCCATGCTGCGGTATGTGATAAGTTTTCTAATCGTTTATATCGCCAACTATACAGTTTGCATAAGCTACAAGAAATAGATAATGTAAGAGAAAAATTTTTGACTTAATATAGCATACTGCGATCGATTACCTGGCACGAGCTCTTCCTTGCGCATCTAGGTCAACAGTTGGGACTCCTAACTTTACGAAACGAGTAAATAGTGGCTGTTCCATATTGGAGAATTTTTGGAATGCCATATTCTTAATTACGGGGGGAAGCTACATAGAATAAGCATCCCAAAATATAAACAATTACCATATATGATCAGATAAAGGGAGATGCATAATAATAATAATACCTGATGGTGATCACCAATTAATGTAACTCTTTTTAGCCTACTCTGACCATCTTCTGGATTCTATAGATTAATACGCGTAACACAGTCATCACCGGTAAGATTTCTAAGTTACTAGATTGTATTATCATAACACGGTCCTCATTTTACCTGAAGCATTAGTGGAATAAATGTTTCAATTTCCAATATTTGTCCAGCTTCTTCCATCAAGACGTTATCGTACTAATCAGAAGTACACAAACATATATATTTATATATGAAATGTAATATAATTAATTCGATACACCTTATCAACAAATATTACACGCTCTTGACTAACTTTGAAACCTAGTTTAACTAGATCGTGGCGTTTTAACGCTGCATGAGTACATGTCATGGCAACAATTCGTGCTTCTTTAATTAATAAGTAATTCGAACGATCTACGCCTTTGAATTAGCAGAAAGAATAAATCAATACAGTTACATTCATCAAATATTTAATCATCCCAAATAATGACAATCTCTTACCATTTCTTAGCAGCTCGAAAGCTCTAAATTCCTTTTATTTAGAAGAAGTTAAACAGTTTAGAAATATGCCATATTCGCAAGTTTAAAGTGTAATATATACATATTTCAGGTAAATAACACTCTTAAATTTTTAAGAACCTCAAGTTCAGTAAAGATCTTCTTGATATGACGAAAGCATCCCTTCGTACAAAATAGAAGTATATTAATTAATTATTACTGAGAAATATTTAGATTTTATCTTTCTCACTTCCGCGACGTCCAAATCTTCAGAATAGGACTTTCCTGCGAAGAGGGGCTATAGAACATAAATTGGGATTAAGTACTAAGCGAGTGATACAGTCTTCATTTTTAATTCTTACTTGCTCAGCATCTTCAAAAAACTTTGTGAATGGAAACTGCTCACCTACAGCTTTGACATCCTACGGTGTATTTTGTATATATGATAAGTAATACGAAATCAGCGAGTAGAAAATCACATATGGCGATACTAACCTTAACAGATCCAATTCTATTTACATACTCTTCCCATCGTGAAAGAACTTGATAATGAAAGAAATGCCCAGCTGTCTCGCAACTATACGAGACATCACCGTGAATACCAATACTTTCCTAAGTTCAAAAGTAATAATTAACATCAATTTAAGCGCTTAACACTTTCCCACGATATAATCAAACAAATACAAAAACAAAAATATTAAGCCTGACCTGCAGTTTTGCTACTTCATGAAGCAGCTGCAGACGACGTTCCAATATGTAATTGACTCTTCCATATCTATGGAATCGTAACGATTTCATTCAATCGAGTTGAAAGATTAATAAATCATCGCTTTCTTTGTAAGCTAGATAAACATACCTGCTAAAATCTCTTTCCGTTTCTAAAGATTCTTCCCCATGACCCAAACGCAGTAGGTGACGTTCGTCTATATCTAATGCTATTATCTTCTCGAATAATTGATTTAGAGCCTGAAGAAGATAAGAATAGCAGCTTCCTTAAAATTGACGCACCAGCGAAACGGAAGTGAGTTAATGCAAGACTATTTATACCTGATTTGAATGCGTAACAATTAGAGTACGTTGATCTTGGAAATTATGATATAAATTTGATATAATCTGCACAGCTACGTCAGTTTTACCCGTACCAGGAGGACCAACGACCTTAAAATTTAGAGATTCGTCTTAAGAGTATATAATTATGATTAATCTCTGAGTTCGCAGTAACTAACCAGAGTTAGTCCAGGCTGCATTCCAGAACGAATAGCTTCAACTTGTACAGGCGTAAATGGAACACAATTTCTGTCCATTCGTTGAAATAATAGAAGAAGGTTATAAAGTAAAATATAAAGCTATCTTAGTATCCCAAAAAAGCACAAACCTTTTAGGCTGGCTTGAAGGATACGGTCCACGATTTTCGATTACGTAAGGTTCTACTGAAATTTCATTGCTGTCGTTAGTATCTTCGGTATCAGCTTTACGTTTTTTGCCTTGGCTAGGTGAGTCTATGAAGGTTAATCTGTCAAAATATACATAAAATCGTAAATAAAACGGAAAATCGATGCTCGAAATTATATATTTATCTGGAGTACCTGAATGGGGGAACACGCTTAGCGCAATCCTCGGTTGACCACTTTAAGCGCGAAGGAAAGTAATTTAGCATTATAAGAAATAAATTATACCATGCTTCAGACACGAATTCCAGAATCAGAAATAATCTCATACCCGGATTTTATAATTTGGAAAGGAATTACAAAGATGATCCGATGTTAAGAAGGTATCGTTGAAGTCTAGCGTGGCAACCTGATTTGGCATACTTATAAAATAAAAGAGAGCATCCTAGATTAAAAGACTACACTATTTATCCATACGGATACCGATGATAACTTTACCTTGCATAATTCGCAGCAGCAGGATTGCCATAGCCTAAGAAAACGTCATGAAGCCAATCCGGTACAACGCAAGAGGTGTTCATTAAGTCACGAATAGTGTCTAGGACGGCCTTTATTAATTCAGAGAAGATAATAGCAACGGTCAAAAGTAATAACTGATAGTTTTTCATTACGTTTCTGTTATTTACTTTGAAGTTATTCTCTTTAGGCTTTCTCCTAACGAGCAAATTAAAAGTTTCATAGACGTCCTGTTAAAGGAAATTGGTGAACGTGTTAGAGCTGTAATCTCTTAATTCGCATAAGTTAGGTATTGATCAATACTTCAGCTCCATGCACAGTATTTGCAATATCTTGTTGATATTGATTAGTATCCAGCCAAACTCGGAAAGTTCTACCATCAGATTTAAATTCTGGTTTCGGTTCAAATCCTGGTAAGACAAACAATATTAGCCACAGTCTCTTAATCGTCCGAACTACTGTGCAGTGTTTGTCTGTATTGATTAACGAGAGTCACGTTACTGCTAAGTACCATACCGCCTTCTTCAATAACTTTTCCTTGTTCATCCAGCATTCCTTCAATTTCGCATCCTCTTACATATTCGATACCATACTGCGTTTTAAATGGTTTCATTTTGTCGAATTTTTGACCTGGTCCTATCGTAGCTCGGATCGTAACTAAGAACATTACATCATGCTTTTTTAAGCCTATTACGAGAGGAAAAAGTGATAGCATAAGAAAATAATTATAAATCGAGATAGCTCTACTTTCCATGATGTATATGTTCGTCTTATACTACCTTCCCACTCTCGTTTAAATTCCTTCCTTACGTTAAGGTTGACAGATACATCAGCACGAACACGAGCTGGTCGACTCTCTCCAATGTTTGGCTTGATTACCTACATTAACGTGGGCACGTACATTATTATTGAATGTAGAAGGACAAGTAAATTGATTTAAAAATTAACTTGTTCAGTAAGTCGTAACGGTCGTACCTCGATAATAGTAAAAGCAACGATTGGCTGAAGAGATACATGGAGTGTTAGTACAATTTACAATAGAATAAATAAAGTAAAACTTAATTTAACCTGAGCCATCCTAGCCCATCCACTAAATTGAGTCATATTATCCTCAGTTAACCTATCAGAATTTAAAAAATTCAAATTTCGTCGCATAAACTCATATTAACGGAAATAAATTATACATTACATAGTTTACTTACCACGGTTTCATTCTTGAAACAGCGTCTTCAATGTCTCCACGAATTTCATCTGTCAAAAATAAATGTCAACGCCTTCAACTTTAAATGAGTAAAAATGATTACAGTTAATAAATTTAACTTACATGTAGATTCAAGGCGGAATAAATTGAAATTTCTTAGTAGATAATCGTGCAAAGTCAGGAATTGCAAATTTAGTTTTGGCAAGGCTAAACAGTCTATTTTTAAACAATAAGAATTCGACTATAAGATAAAAATTTATGTACAGTAGTTAAACATGTATCAATTGCATGACGTATATACCCGCTCCGGAATAATACTCAGATGGCACAATATTTTCATCCCATAGGATCTATTAATAAATTTTGTTTAAAGTAATCACTGCTAGGCTAGACAACTCAGTAGCTACAGTAAATTCGGAAGAAACATTCAGTATCTTACTTCCTCAGTGGGGTACAGGGGCATATCGTTGATGGCGTCCAGTTGAGACAGCCTTCTCTCGTATTTATATATCTATAAAATAAAATAGTATTCAGACGTTTCGATAATTTGATATAATATATTGGTAGCTGAATCTTAGTGACATTTTTGAAATTGTATTGGATAACATACCAAAAGTTCTATTAAATACTTTTTACTATATTGTTCATCATCTTTTTCAGGTTTGGGTACCAAATTTAGGCAAGAAGCGAGTTGATGAATATTCTCCCTCCTGAAATTACGACGTCAATGTCAGAAATTAAACTTTGTGAAGTATTAAATCAATTTCAATGTTATAGAAATTGTTATGTAACTTACGGTAATTCACTTAAATATTTCATTATGGAATCTCTTGTATCAATACTTGCAACGTTATTTAAAGCGAGGTCGCGCAATTCAGGAAAATGTTTAAATACCATTCTCTATTATAATTAGTGACACAAAATTTATTAAAACAAAGTTGCTTTAATTTTACAAATGCGCGTAACCTCGCATTAAGGCTAGAGCAACCTTAATGGACATATTAGAACAACCTGAAGTGCTGTAATCTTATCATAATGGGCATCGGTAATATCATGATAAGACAATGCCGTTCCGGCGTGATCGTTGATTTCAAAAGCAGCATAAAACTTCAATATTTCTAGTAACTGTTAATTAAGAAAAAAATTTTAAGATATAGATAATCCCTTTAAGTTTTAATAATTTTACATTATTGCAAGACAGGACCTGTGCAAAAAGTCTTCCTTCTTCTCTTTGAATCAGTGTTGATAGCTGACAGTTAACCTTAACGACAATAATATCGATTATAAGAAGTAATTTTTTTAAATGAAACTCAAGGCTTTACGTATAATAAAAGCCCATGATAATAATAATAATCCAAAATATCGTACCACGAAACCACAGCTATCCAATAGAGTATTAAAGAAACGTCGAGTTGGCAGCGCGGTCTACGTAAGACGTACAGCATTAGAGATTTACATAGACTAGTTAACTAATGCATTTTGCAGTTCATATCCCCTAACCTCGATATCGATGATGAACTCTAAGTATCTTTCACAATATTGAACTAAATCTGCTGATATCGGGCCTATTTGATAATCAACAGAATAACGGGTCTATTATATATTATTCAGCTACATTTTCTTTAATTCATAATGATAAGTTTAGCCTCAACAGGTGAAGTTATAAAGCAATACCTGTTTCAGGAATTTTAGCTAAAATATCGAGAAACTTGTGCATAGACTTCCACAAAAATTGTCTCTCCTTGTTAAGGCTAAAACAAATATAACGATATCTAAATTATCGTACTAAATTATGACAACTTCCAAGGGCTTGTTACGTACACCAGTTGAGTTTCCTCATCCGCTTTGGAATAAGTTTTTTGAATGGACTTTAGACGTTTCTTATACTTTGGGTTATGCTGTACTTCCTGTTCCACTCGACCCTAAATAATGGAGATAAACGAATATAGCAGCTCTATTTAAATCTGTTATATACTGTATGTCTATATGCAATAAAATACAGAAGGTTATATTAAGGTTTTAACATCACTAGGTATTAATATCATTGATAACATTGCATCGACGCTTATCATCACTAACAGGTAGTAAACATGTCCAAATGGCAATAGATACCAGTCCTTGAATTTCTCGACGTATGATATCGCTTTCCTATTTAATATTCCAATTATGGTAAGTAATTTCATACAGCAGATAAAAGCGATAAGCAGCCTAAAGTTATTGAACTTCTATTCATACATTTATTAAGTACTACTGACTAACCATACTGTTGAAGCAGTGAATCAAGAATAAAAGTAGCACAGTCTGTTCTTTGATTGTAATTTTCTAAGATAAGTAAAGAAAAATGATTAAATTTTGAGAAAAATGAAAAAGAATGGGTTTTAGTCATGAACTATAGAGAAGTAAATAAAAAACCAATGTTACCTCCCAATCATCTGTAGTTAGATTCATGATTTGACGAAACAGCGCTTGAAAATTTTCGGGTCGATTTCTCAAAAACTATTAACAAGTATTGAAGAAAATAAAAGCACCAATGACAGTCAAATGATACATAGTGAATTAAGAATGGTCGTTTACCAGATACCCGATATGCTTGGCACGTTGCAAATATGAACTCAAACGTATAACAATCCCTACCTCCCACAATTGCACTCTCTCACGAAATTTCTCATTTATCATTACAGTAATGGATATGATATGGGATATCGAAGCCTAATAAATAGCCGTCGCATTAGCAATATAAATATAATGGTATCGATTATTGATAATTAGGGCTGGAATCATAACATAAATATAAGATTTACTTAAGATACTAGACAGTCAAGTTACCTTTTGTGGATCATAGTGTGGCCACAAGTAATTTTCCAGGTACTGACTAAAATGAAAGAAAACTTTGAGTTTAATCCTATTACATTTTATAAATTGGTTATAGAAAAAGTAAAATTTCGTTATGCACAATCGCGAACTCACAATAATGCATTGAATGACAATTAGGTGGTACGAAATTAACACTATACTGTACCTAAATTCTAGCAACACCATGCGTCTAATGGAAAACCTAAATGATAAGATAATTAAGCTGATTTTAGTACGAGCTAACATAGTTAAGATATAATATTATTCATATAGCAAAATGCTAGCTGGTTTAACAATTTGCATTTATCTCACAGTAGATAAGGTAATGCCTATGATATATAAGATACTTTAACGATATAGAAATACTGTTACAGCTGCTGACAATGTTTACAATCATACTGCAGCATAGCTTTCAGTCGATGCTTTGGGTTAAATATTAATTTTACATTTACCAAATTTATCGACTCAATTAATATTCAGCATACTGTGCCAGGCGAATATTTACTTACTTGCTACCGAGCATTTCCTCTTTATAAATTTTCTCAATAATCTGTTAGAAAAAGAATACAGATATTGATTAAAATTTTTAACAATTACTTCAAATGAGACTAGGCAGTGCTTCCGGCCAGTTGTAGGCATTCCAGGCAGCATTGAGTAAATTAATTATCATTCGACTCGAAACACAATTACAAAAGAAATTTATAATTTCTTTATTAGCGAAAAATTGAGATGGCTGTACCTCAGGGTCATAGGGAGCTTTTTCAGAGCTATGCGGTGCCCAATACTTGATAGCATACTATAATGAAGGAGTAATGAGATGGCTTTAGTTTATAATCAATATATAATCAATCATCCTCAAATTCCACAAGAATAGTGTGAATAAGATCTACAGTACTACATCGTAGTTCTGTATTGAAAGACATGAAATGAACAAGAAATTGCAATAAGTTAAGGACAAGGTACGAACTTTACGCCACATATTGCGGTCTGCTAATTGATATTATGCAATTTTAATCGCAATTTAAGACCACTGAATCATAAGATCTCTATATAACCCTTTGCTTTACTATGCTTTACCTCGGTTAAGACGTCATTTTGTATTTGCTGGACAGTAGGAGCAACGACGTGACCTTTCTTCAATATTTCACCTGTCTTTTGGCCTCTCTCGTTCTATAGTTAATTTTAAGATTAATACCGATAAAACACTGAAGAGTTATAATTATTATATAACTAGTATTATTGCTGCCATCTTGGATATTATTTTACTCTACCCGTTTTACTTGATTAGACTTCATTTTGCTTCACTACCACCTGATACGTAGACCTGACGTTGAAATCCCGTCACTGAAGTAAAGGAAGATATTGTACAATGCACATGAGTGATCCAGTACAGTACAGTACAGTACAGTAAGCTCGAGACCCTGTACTACAGTACAGTGTACTGTACACTGTACAGTACTACTGGCACTGTCAATGCTAAAATTCCCGCCGTCTCTAACTATATTCGTTACGGAAGTGATAGTGTTATAATATCTAGTGCATGATGGTGTGTACCAGTGCTCCATACAATCCTATTTGTAAAGTACACTGTACAGTACTCTACTGTATGGTATGGCTTTCGAAATACTGTAACAGTACAGTACAGTATAGTCACGGCGTGCCTTAGTACTGACGACAGATAGACAGACATCGTATTCCTTTTCCTTAGCTACTCATCATACGCGAAGTACACTACAGTATAACGAACGTCAGTTTCTACCATGGACTACTAGATGTACAGTACAGTACTGTACACTCAGTGTACAGTATGTGCATCTAGTAATTTATGGTTCTACTAGTTATTACTAATCTGGATATCAAGCTACCACGTACTTCTATTAGTACAGTACAGTAAAAAACTCTCCACTAGCAGTCTCATAGCCAAAGAGGTAAGAGGTTTTTCTTTTACCTCTCTGCTCATAGCTAACACCGTATTATTCCATGCTTACGAGCAAAAATATTAGATGTAGTATTAATTCGTTGGTATACGACATCATATTAACACAACAATCAATATGTTTTCATCTGTTGGCATGACCCATATTATTACACGCCACTGCTTAATGATATTTTTAATGTTCAAAGATTGTTGAATTGTAATCCATTGGTAAGGGGATAAGGGCTACATCAGAAATAAATCACCAATAATATTAGTACTGTACGTACACTGTAAGGTATTTACTTGTCCTTAATAACCCTGACTATACCCAAATATTGTATAGAATACGGGTAAACTTTCACACCACCACAACTTTTGGATCGAAGTTGTATTACTATGATTATAATTGAGTAATCGATATCTGAGCGCTTTGTGGTATTTGGGAATTAGTTACGATAGAAACGTTATCTACTATGCTTATATTATACTCGTAAACATACAGCATTATGCCAGAATGTGAAGATATGGTGTATCAGAATTAAAAAATAACATTATTGCGCCAATTTTAGAATATATATTTATTAAGCAGATCCTTATACATAGCTCTATTAACAATAAATTCGACCAATTTGATGGATTTGCTTTATACTGTATGAATAGTGATTTTAATAAATTCTAGATCCGTAACCGAATGTATCTTTCATACTTTGCCAGTAATACCTTTTCCATCCCTCTCTTGTTCGATCGATATCGGTTGCTGGTATACCTGATTGAACCAAATTTAATTTTGTACAATCGTCTTCCTGAGTAATGCTAATAGTAACTTTAGAGAAATGTCCTAAAACAGCCAAAAAATAAGACATGTAAATCGCTCAATAACTTCATGTATACAATTACTAAAATTAGCCAGACATTGCTTTTATCTTGATATTCGTTGTATAGAAGTAAGGCTTTACTTACCTTCAGGCCAAGACTTAAAACGCCATGTCTGTACAATTTTCGAATGAGGAGTCTAATTAACAAAATAATGAATGTATATCATCAGGACAAATAAAAAATTTTCCGAGAACAGGAGCATTTTCAAGTTATTGATCCGTTATGTCATAAGACACATGTATATATAATAATACTGAAACAAAAAACTGTACCAGTTCTAGGAATTTGCCAGTTATATTTCCATCTAGTAGAGAAAATGTACCACCTTCCTTAGAATCAACCATTGACTCACTGCGCATAAAGGCGGAAACTCTCTAAAATATCCCAAATGCACAATGCATGAACATACAGGCCGAAAAACTAACGCAAAATATCAAGACTTCTTATGCAATTTAACAGCAATTTAGATGAAATTGCAGCTCCTACTTGTTCAGTTATTAGGGTCATAAATAATTCTTCCGCAGTTGTTTTAAATTCATCCTTCATTGTTAATTTCATTGTGTCAATCTTATCTTTGGATGAACTCGTATCGCTTCCAGTTGATGTACTATCCTTAGGCTAAAAACAAAAATTTGATATGTTTAAGGTCTGCAATAGCCATGAACTATCTTGCAAATTAAAAGGTATCTTTAATAGGAAAATTTTTTAAGCTAAAAATTAAACATGTATAAGTAGTACCTTCGATGAGGTCTTATTTGATGAACTTGCAGAAGATGGCTTATGAGATGGACTAGTCTTGCTAGAAGAGCCAGATTTTCCAGACGTTGGAAGTATTAGTCCTCGAGAGAATTCTATAGGAATATTACGCAATATAAGTAAATTTTTCTCGAATGATATACATAAGTAACATAGAAATGATATATGAATAACCTTCTTTCAGCTTTTTAATGTATTCACGAATTTTTTCTCTTATCATCACGATTCCATATTTCTCTACGATGTTTCGTAGTGTCTTGGATGCCTCGTCTCTTGTTTGGGTGGTTACCGTTATCTATTCGTTGTTAATTAAGCACAAAATTACTCAAAATTTCTTTTATTCTTGAAGCAAATATGTTTGTTATAAACTTACGGTACTATACGAATTAGAGTAGATTTTAGGCTAAAGTTTATAAACATTAATTAACCAAACAATAAAATATCAAGTTATTGTAAACTAACATCAATTTCGTCTACGTCGTACTCTTCACCAAAATTGTCGATGGAAATTTTTCCATTAATTTCATCGTCATCATCTTTAAGTTTTCCTAGTAGTATAACGAGAATATGAATTTAGAACATTAATGATACTGTACATCGAATAGCACTGGTAGGATACTGCAAAATTATTTACACTCCATTGTTGGTCTATCTTTAGTTTCGAATTTTAGTAGTAGAGTACGCGTATATCAACAATACGAATTTAGCACCTTGATGATATATTAGATAACGCAGGTAAATAATATGATAGTATTTGTATTCCATTATTAATCGGTCTTTAGTTTCGAATAATAAACGCTATAGTATCAGACATAATTGTAAGTTATACTATAAGTAGGAAAAACTAAAATTGAGAAATTATGAATTGTTCCAATATTAAAAATAATTTATTCAAAATAACTTATTTTCTCCAATAAGTCCAAAATGCTAAAAATTTTAAAGTTGGTAACTATAGTAATATAATTTTCGAGCTCTATAGCTGAAACATGATTTTGGTGGATGAAAATTAATGAATGCTATTAGTACATGAGATAGAAATCTCTCTGTGAGCGTTAAAAGTGTACCTAATGACAGTTGAATAAGGATTACTGCTCTAGATACAGATACATACAATCAATTCCTAATTCTTAATAAGTTTATAGGCCAATATTTATTTCTCCAAGAATACCAGTATTTAAATGTAAAAATATACAGTATATATGCTTTTTAATATATGGGCACCAGAGTCACAGTTTTAATATAAAAGTATTACCTTTCCATTCGATTTTCAATTGCCAATCATAGAGAGTAATAAGTTTTGCTTTACGGTTACTAGTTTGCGAATACAACGTAATAAATACGAATTAATTAACGGTAAAAACATTATGCGTATCAATTAATAAAGAAAGCAAGAAGAGAGAGACTTGCATTACACTTGCTTACCTAACGGTAGCATCGCCATCAGCACTGAGAATCTTCGTCGTAATACAGTTACCTAATCACGTGAAAAATACGTCCAATTTTAAAATGAATGTAAATAAATTACAATCGAGGATGAATTATGAATATGCACAAAGTCAAAAGATAATTATTTTACAACACTGCATGGTAACATAGTAAATTCTACGATATGCATAGTTATGTGAGACTACTGCAGCTTAAAGCAAAGCTAGAATAGCTGCTGAATTTCGATGATGATGTGGTACTATATAACATATATATATATTTAATCAGCATTACCTTCTACGGTTTCAAATTTTAAGTCTAAAAATAGTTCCTCAAATATTCCTTTTGACCATTTAGAGGCATCTTTCTCACTCCTATTTATACATAAGATCATTTCAATATATATATATATAATCAGAAACGTGTTATTTTATTCACTTTATCTGACGAAAGTACATTAAGTTCGTATGGATCATTACTACAGTTAACAGCATGCCATGCGTGAAAGGTATTGTATTTTTTTTTTATTTTTGATACTAGAGATCTAGATCTAGATACACTGCTTTTCAGAACTAGCTGCACACACGTAGGGGATAAGTAGATAAAATTTTTCACTCCGCTACCTGCATTACGTATACAATATTTTCTAAGATAAGATAAATTAACGACTTCGGAAGTTAGTATTGAATGGAAATGCATTAACGAGATGCACGCTATACTGTATTGTACACTAGTGTACAGTGTACTGCAGTAACACGGGAATAGGCACCTTACTGTATGCCATCACCACGTACAGTAGTGTACATATTGTAAGTTTGATCAGCCGCGCTATCCGTCTCACAGATATCATTAATGAATACAATAATAATAAGTAATATATTTAAGCGATACACGATTGTAGTCGGCAGAATTGACATCATTTTCATCGCAACTAACTCATGATAATATTCGACTAAGTTAAAAGTAGCTTGGAAACGACGTGAGCTGGGATTGCAGAATTCGTGTAGTAATCAATTCTTACCAATGCCAGTTGTTCACATTAGTTGCATCATCTCTTTCTTCAACTATCCACCTCGGATCACCCTGTCCCCACTTCGCCATGCCTTATCTTTTAGGTTTTTCTATGTTAATATATGTTTATCGTCAAACTTAGGACCTGATCTACTCAAGCCACAGTATGTGAGATAAAAGTTTGAGAAATTTACTATCAATGGCAATGTGATTCAAAGTGTTGAACAGGGTCACTTAACGACCAAGATTGTGTGTGATCACCTAAGGAGTCCGTGACAATTATAGTACATTGCATCGTACTGTACGCCTTACGTGTAACAGTACACAATAAAGAACTGTACAGTACAGAAGTCTACTGTACAGACTTTGTTTTGTAGAGTACTTTACACTGTGCAGAATTCTAGAACTATCTATCATTGATCCTCGTTACTTGGCGTCCATACGTCCGTTAGTCCATAACATCGACAGCCGACAGGCTGCGTCGTCCAGTCCACTCGGATTGTAACGTATTTTATTGAATTAATTAATAAGTTGATTTTATATTTTCCTAGCCTAGAGACAGGCTAGAGTACAGTACACGAACGTTCTAAATTAAAGGAACTAGGAAATCTTAGTACTCAGAAGATTTGGAATCGTAGCTTGCATACGTGTTTCTGACTATGGATTCTGTTAAGCAAAGCTATAAGCAACAAATCGCTTTGGATGGATACAAAGCCGAGGGTGGTTTCCTAAGCTCTTGGGTTTTTCGAAAAAATAACACGAGACGTTTTCAGCGAGTATTTCAGGTTAGTGATGCTGATCACAGTACTGTATTAGCAAAACTGTTATTTAAACATCTTTGCACGATAAGGTAGCGTGGCTTATTACCTGAGCTTTTCATAAATTCATTTAATTCACGGTAACTTTACCTTTTAAATACTCTATTGCATTAGCACTAGCACACGCACGTACTGTACACTCGTACAATAACAGTATGTTGTGGTCAAAACCCGAATTTGGCCAATCGGGTTTTGACCACAACTTCTACAAATAACAGTATACGTACTTTACTGTACAGTCTGTAATATGTAAATACGTTTTTGTAGTTCGTCTTATGAGATAACTTGTTGGATAATGCTCTGTGTGTACGTTTAGGCTTTTAGTATCGACCACATAACATGACTTCGGATTACGTAAATATAAAACCATCAGTATAATCGAAGTGTTTATTCTTGTAACTAGCAACATCCAGAATTGCCGGTATATTTAAAAGGAAAAAATGACCGCTTGGTGTTCAGGTATGATAAAAGTGCTCATCACAACAAATTTTTGCTGTGCTGAAGCTATATCAGTAGATAAAGTCCAAGATATATTTTTACCGCTTATTTGATCTGGATTTTCCAATTATACACGGGAAATCTTACTTTACCCGTACAGTTAATATAACTTAATAACAGATTGACAGTACAGTATCGTAGATCTCTCGTCGATATTGTATTTATTGTGCAATGTGCATGTCAATAACCCAGGAATAAGAAATACTGATACTTTTGATCTTCGATAAATGATTTACATCAAGCTACTATTAACGCGCAACATAGCAAGTAAGCGGGCTACTAGTTATTGTGCTGTGTATATGCTGTAAGTACACCGCGTATTTCTAATGGTACTGAAAGGAGTTACAGCGTTAGTATACACATAACAAATTTGTAATGCATTTACGAAGTGTAGTCTCAATCAGAGTCCGCAATGATGCATTAACCAGTGCATCACGGTTATACACTAAGCATTCATTCCTACTTTGTATCAGAATATTTTTACGCAATATATAATGATGTCCAATATTTCTATTCCTATAATCTAGAGGTATCTTAGGATTTGCAATACTCGCCGGATGTTTGAGCTTGTTTAACATTTATGGCCTGGCAACTAAAAAATTCTCTGATAAACGAAATGCATAACGATCAAGTTATAAAGCGATTATTATAAAAAGATAGCAGATTAGACTATGAAAGCAGAATCCGCTTAACTATAACACTAGAATAATTGAGTTGTACGAACGTATTATATTGTCTACTCAATTATTATATTAAAATTCTTATATTTTTAATTTGATTTATGCTTTATTTCGGCACTGCTTTCTATGCAAGTGAGATACGGCTTCTTGTGTTTTTTATCATGATATAAAACTTGATGTGCGTGTGAAAGTAAAATTCTTGCTTTGATACTGTATGCAAATGTCTTTCGTAGATTAGCATCACCCAAATTTTGGTATTCAAAGGAAGATAGTAACTCAGCAACAATTGTCTACGGGTATACGCGTATGTGCGGAGTGAGTGAGTGACTTCTCATATTGTAATGGGTCATACCTGGTTCCATTATTTCAGTGATAAAAATTTTCGTGGGTAATTATAGCACTTGTACTTCAGTGATTAGATATTTAGTACAGCAGTGCTAGTAGAAATCTGTATGTAAAATGTGACGAAATACCATAAGTTGTGAGAGTTTACGCACCGATTGAATCTTAGCAGACTTAACTATCATTCCTAAAATTGAAGCGAGTGTGACGTAAGCCGCAGGTATGATATGTAAATATCAAATGGGAATGGGTTATAGAATGATACGTTAATAGTACAGTAAATAATCATGAACAGATCTGTTTACAAGAAGTTAAAACCTAGTTCTAGATCAACGAGAAGTTATCTTGGTTTAATGTACTTCAAAGCTTGTATACAGTCTACAATCCTTTTCGATAGTTCTTAAATTATTATAATAAAAGGATATCAAGTAATAAGAACACTGTCCATATGATAGACAACAAAGTTTACGTTGATACCGAATAGAAAATCACAAATTCTACGAAACTTTACATAAAAATGAACATATCCCACAATATATTTACGTATATGCAAATATTTTAGAAACAATTGAACGAAAAGGAACAGATTCTACAATTGATATGTCAATACAGTAATCTTTAGACAAAGATCACAACTATAACAATTTATAGAAGTTTCTTCGCTTTTTCATACAGAGCGTCTACCACCTTGCCCATATTGCTAATCGTTTCTAAAGCAGCTTCAAAGGACTGATCTACTTGTGGTTCTTCGTAAATTGTTAAAACTCCGCAGCTTTGATCCATTATGCCTAATTAAAAAAATTCTCATCATAAGTACTTCAACAAACGAAAGGATGCAACGCAAAATAATCAGACCGTAAAATTTCTTGTCTAAAATCATTTGGGATAACTTCCGCTCGACAACATTCTAATTAAATGAAATATACATGTATCAATGATAGATATTTTAATCCTATAATCTCCAAGAATTACAACTTAGAAATAAACAATACCAGAGATAATTTGATAATTGAGGCTACATGTTCGACCTATTAATTGAAATAAACAATAAATTTCTACGTTTACGATTGTTATAACTCCATAAGAATACCACAATCCGAAGCTCTGCTAAAAATCAGGTCCAGCAGGGATACGTACCTCAACTCTTGAATAAGGTTCGATAATACGTAATAAATTTTGCTCCAACAAATTGTCATAAAGGGCATCAAGGTGAGACTATACAAATAACGAAACGGTTATTAGATCTAGACTGGTCGCAATTAAGTTTGTAGTTATATACAGTAGTACAAACCTGAATTATGGGATCTTCAGTAAGTTCCTGTTTATATTTTTTAGTAGCCTACGGTATCAATACATAAAGACGTGAACATTACAGGTATAATTTTAAACGAATCAGACACACTATGTAAACATACGAACCTCTTCAAGCTCTGAAAGGGATCTATTATGACCTGCCGTGGCAATGCTTTTCATGGCCTCAAGCTAGACAGTATATAACATTTTCAATAAAATCATAAATTTCGATAGATAACAGTGATGATAGCAAATTTTTTGCGTCATACCTCAACGCCGGCATAGCGAAGAGCCAATTTTCCACTAATAATTGACTTAACATCATCCGGACTAGCATTAAATTGCGTTTCAGAATTAGTTGAGATATACAATCAATATCTTACAGACGACGAAGCAAGTTACCTATTGACCATAATTTTACATAACAGCATATATTTGAGAGCCAATTTTGCAGTTGAATCATCGATAGAATCATAACCCTAAAATCGTTGCAAGGTTGAAGAGGTTTAAGTCGTGTAAAATGTATGCATATTATTAACAAATGATTAATTAATTCACAATAAAGAAAACGAACTTGATAATTGATTAATAGTCGAAGCTGTCTCCGTATATTTTATTATGCTGTTCATATTGCAATAAACTAGTAGGTTATTATGCAATAATGGTTACTTTTCTGAGTAAAGTTCATACCTCGAAAGCTTCATAAAAATAAGAAAATGATGTTTTAAAATCTTTTTCTTCAGCATGCAGAATACCGGACTGCAAATCTAAAGAAGCCTACATTTGAGATAATGAAAAACGATTTAAAACGTATGAATCAGCCAGGCAAACAAATCGCTTACAAAAAAATTGCAGTTTACTTGTAATTTTGGAGGGCAGTAAATGGTATTAGCCGTCGTCCTAGCTGCAGTCAGAGCAGCTCGAGCTTTAGGGATATTTTTAACAGCATGGTATACCTTACTTTCGATAAGTTGAACCTAAATAATTATTTAGTATAGCTCAATGTCAAGAGTATGCATATAGGCTAAAGGCGTAGTAAGTATTAGGGTTAATAACCTCTACAAGCAATTCTTTATCGTCTAGTTTTTTCAGTTCTTTGAGCAGCTTAGAACCTTGTTAATGTAACGAATGAATAAAATTTCAATTCTGTAACTTTATGACATAGAAATTAATCATACATACTTAGAGACAGAGATTCTACGTAATTAGAATTCTCATAGTATAATCCAATCAGGCGTGACTAATAATTAATAAAACAAGATTCATGAGTTATTGGTTTAATTATTAATTTGAAACAAAACTTTCTGGATATAAGAGTTTTAGGAATAAAATTAAAATATAAAACAGACATAATCTTAAATTTCGAAATTCAACCTCTAGTGCTTGGCGTAGATAAGATCTTTTCTCATTTTTTGCCCACTCGATACAATCAAGACATAGCTGAATCTATCAATTAACCAATTTAATAGATGAATTATTAAAAAATTCACTATTTGCCACTTATACACAAAGGGAATATAAATTTACTCTCTGGTTAATATTTAGGCGCTACATTACCTCAGCTGTGGTTGATGCTTTTATTGATAGGAATAGATCCACAAGTTCTTTGACTAATCTAGCAGCTTTGGCTTTGGATACAACACTCAGAAAAGGTCGAGTAGCAGTAATTAGATCAGCCAGACCTAAACCAATGCAATTATAACATTGTTACAATAGCCGTAGTTACAGACTTCACCGTAGTGCATTGGCAATTTCGATATTTGCTATATTTAAATATTCACATTAAGCAATGAATAGGCATAGGCCATTTAGTACTTGATTCAGATTCTCAAATAAGGCGTTTCACCTCGATAATATGAATTTTTTAATACTAATTCTCGAGTCCGGAATCATAAACTTCAGTTAGAGACTTGTGACAATATTAGCGGATTTATAATTTTCATAATTATGGTTTTATGCGTAGTACTTCCAAGTATCAGCTCACAAATGCAAATTGAAATCAACCGATTATGCAGTAAACTGCGGAAGTAATGCATACAGCATTCAAACGATAATTCGTAAAGTATGTGGACTGCTATGGAAATTCACTTTTACGATCAAGTTCGAAAGTTTAGCTATCAAAATGTCCAATATTTACGTATAGATTATGAGTGACTAGTGCATTACTCAATTTGATGTTACTTCAGTAAGTACCTTGTGATTGCTTGCGTTTAGCCAATAAAGATCCGAGCGCCAAGACTGATTTCTCTTTCAATTTGATGCCATTCTCATCACCCACACGAATATCACGTTGTACTATATACGCGTTAATAATGGAAAGTTACATGTCATACAGTGCCGCTAACTAATCAGATCTAGTAATATTATAATTGTAAGTAATTTAATAGCTGAGTCCTGTAAGAATATGGATTAGGTACTGCGCTACAGTACTACAATAGCATCCTTTTACAGTTAGTTAACAAATAACATCAGTAACAATTCAGTATACTGCAGTAATGACATCAGTCGCTTTTTGCAATCAACACTCTAGCAGTTATACTACTGCAATAGCACAGAATATGTTGGCGAACTGGTAATACTATATTATAGTGATTGCTGAATATCATTGTTAGAATAGTGCCAGCAAGGTCGAAGCAAGTTACGAACACAGTAGACTTTACTGTAATTTTTGAAGAGAAATCCAGCAATAAAATACCTATTTCACTTAATGTTTTGATCGCTTTATCAGGATCGAGAGTCAGCTCTTTTTCTATCTCATCCCATTCGCTATTCACTTCCATTACCATAATTCTAATTCTAATCTTTCACCAAATTTTGACTAAGATTGCGTGCACCGCACTCGTTTTTACGAATGAATTTCTGTTTCCTTTTGTGTGATCTAGTACTGTATCGTACTGAACTATAAGTACAGAATGTCCAAATGTCAGTGTGTTGCTAGAGTGACACGTACGAAGGCAAGCGTGCAGTACGTTACATACAGTGCAAGATGCTTTACAAGTTAATGCAGTGTCATAGTCTCTAAGGCTTTTACGGCTCAGATCGGGTTTAATACAGTACAGTACTTTACAGTGTACAGTGTACAGTACTGTAGAGACAACGGATGGAGCTGTTCCAGACTTTAGCTGAGATTGCAGTGCTGAGTACTGTACTGTACTGTACAGTACAGTGTACAGTACAGCATTGTACTGTACAGTACAGTACAGTACGTCAGTTACAGTGTACAGTACACTGTACAGTACAGTACTGTACAGTACAGAAATTGACTGCCTACCGTACTGTACTGTACACTGTACGGTATACTGTAGTACTGTACAGTACAGTACTTTATAGTGAGTGACAGTACTTGATGTCAGTCCTGTCACTCTAGTCCTGTGCTGACTGCACTTTGATGAGATTAGACCTTTGCGAACTAACGAAGGATAAATATTGGTCACCTTGAGTAATTTGTGAATCGCGATAGTACTAAAAGTGCTTGAAATTTGTAAAATCTGAGTAAGTATGGCCGATGAGGTTGCTATCGAATTTTTACATATGGAAATAGTCAATTATGCCCAAAAGGAATTATCCGATGATAAAAAGGTCTGTATACATACTGTACATGTTACTTAGCCTTTACTTTTATGGTTAACTTGTCAGTTGAAGTTATTAGACTCGCTACCATAAACTCGTTATTTCATGATTCAAAGCTATTCACTACTTCTTAGTACTACACTGTAAAACAGAGACCTTCTCGCTGATATTATCTTTGTATTACCCCTTATTAGAAACCTATTTTGGACTCAATAGGCTACCGTGTAGGATACAGCCTAGCTGAAAGGTTCGTGCAATGTTATGTGATTTACTGCATAGATTGATATGTACTGTACTATGCCAATACTGCATTATACAAGTATGTGCACGATCACCTATTTGTGCATTCAGTAGTACTGATTAACTGTACGCTGCAGGCTATCGAAAGAGACACTACGATTTAAAGATGATATCGACTCTGTAAAATTCATATGCCGGGAACTGTGGAATTTTATATATAAGAAGCAAGTCGATAATTTACGCACTAATCATTCTGTAAGATTTAAGTTTTATTTTAATTACAAATTGATCTGTGATTTGTTCTGAATTATAGTACGTATACAAAATTATACCATATTGATGTGAATTATTGCTAATGTATAGGGAGTTTATGTACTAGTAGACAATCATTTCCGTTTCATTTCTTCAATGGCTGAAGGACAGCAGTACATAAAGCTAGCTCCAGTGGTAATTATAATAAATTTTAATTATCAATTAACAATATTGCTGATTACTTCAACTTACAAATAACTTTACTTTTATTGCGATATTCCATTGATACTAGTACTTATACTATTCATGTGGACTAATAAGAGGAGCTTTAGAGTGCTTCGGTCTGAAGTGTATGGTTACGGCTGATATTACTTCTGTCCCAGTATGTAAGTACAACGAAAAGTAGATAACAGTCTTGGTGAGACCTTCAAATGCAATAGTTTATTGATTGTAAACGTGTAGGATGTTATATCAAAGATACATAAACAATTTTACAAATTTACTTTTAAAAAGTAGATAAATGCATCGATAGCGGAATAAACTAGGGATTGCTACCCCTTTTTAATTAGTCACTAGAATAAACACATATACTGTACACTGTACAGTACATTTCCAAGATATCGTCATTCAAATTAATACTTATCAGTATTCGTAAAATACGTGTATATCATAATCTTTTTTAATTGAAATAGTTTGTAAGTTTATTTAGCAAATGACATTGAAAATTTCTCTTATTAATGCTTATATACTGTATGCTATTACTACAGGTCGTTTTCACATTAAAGTACTGACGCAATGAAAGAAGAATTATAGGCAGCCGAAAACAAACGTTTTGAAATTAAGGTAGACTGAAATTACGCCAGAAGACGCTACTATAATCTCCTCGAACTTACCGGCCTCTTCAATATGCATTCCTTTTTAAGCCACCTAGCTATTAAAGTAGCCAAATCATAGATTTAGTAGCTGTATGTCGCGTAAAGTATCAGCTCCTTGTTTTCAGTAGCTATAGTATTATAACTACCGACCTTTAAGATATAAATTGATGCAGATTTAAGCTCGCTCTACATTGTTAGATTCGCTGTATACATCTAACATAATCACAATCACAATTACTACAGACGTCTTAAAGATGTGTACTGTATATTCTTGAAAATTGTATTTAAGTCAAGTTCTTTAGTTACTGCGAAGTCACTTTCTTTCTAAAGTGTATTTCGTATTTGTATGCATATATTCACACTGTATTATTAATAAAAGGATTCTTTATGTATTTGTGCTTGCTCTAGACAGCAACGTGATTACATAAATATCTATAACATAAATTTTATGAATTAGTTATACAGTTTCACTACGATATTGTCAATGGCCTTGAATGGCGACTTCAATAACAAGCCATATAACAGCTCCTAAATGCTAAAGCGTTATAGTATTCAACTTAGATTTTAAACTGGTAGATATAACATTAAAGTGAAATGTATAAGCAATAATAAATATAAATATGTTTTTTAATATCATTTACGAGTAAACATTTGTTTTTGATACATTTTTCGTTCTTAAAATATACAAATGACTATAAACTGATCTTGCAATTTAGTCGCTGTATCAGTATCATCCATCGTACCTTGATTTCTGAAATTACTAATGATGGTGTACCACTGTAGACACCTTCATCTGATTCAATGCGAAAATGGTATCGGCTATGCCTAATTTGTATCCGAAATTTTATAGAGCTGTAATAGTACTAGTAACATAAAATATAACTGCCATCGATTTTTTAAGATAGTTATGGTGAAAATAGATGAAGGTGTCGTTTTAGAGACTTTTCACAGCGCCGATACGTATCACATATGGTACAGTACTATAACCAATTTTCTATATGATTGATAATAATTATATTACCTCATACAATTTTGCGAAAAAAGTAATGGTAGTATTTACGATAAATGGTAGCAGACTTTTTCAGCGATATGGCATAACAACTGAACTAATCGATGTCTTAGATATATTTAGAAGGTATGACGAATAAAGCTAGTGAAAACGTCGTTACATTGAGATCATAATTGTTTTATTAGTAGCACCTGAGGGATACTCGTATACTTACGTAATGAAAAAGGGCAGGATTGGTAATTGCATTCAAATTTAAAATCAGGTATTGATGATTAATTACCATTAATATATCATCCATCTTTTGATAGAAACTTATTGCACAGGATCTATAAAAATTTGCAGTGCTAGCGGAATGATAGATTCAAATATTTTACTATTAGAACTAGATTTAATCCTGTCTAACACTATTGCTTAAGCTTACAAACAGTATACCAATACCTGGAACCGGAAGCAACGAGATAGAAATATTACTATTGATAGCATGAGTATATCCTTAAAAGCTAGGCATGATGGGGTATCTTGATGCAACAGATCTAATTTCATATAGGACATGACCCCAACCTTAAAAGAGCGATGTAATTGTGAACTCTTATAAAACGTACTACGAAAATTAATTTTCTGAGTAAATGTACCGTTCACACTGCTGACTAATCAGAAAAAGGGAACAGTAGAAGTGCGAATAATCTTTCAGTTAACCGTATATAGTATTCAGGTACTCAACTACTTCTATTTCAGAGAAAAATGATCAAAATTAAGTACTAAGTAAAGCGATTCTTTTAAATACATACACCTATTTGTACAATGCTCTAATAATTTCTAATCAAATCAAACGTTTCAGCATTCCTGTCGTGGTCATCTTAGTCTAAACTTGGTATAAGCAGTATCGTACGGCAAATAAAAGATCGAACATCAATTGCGTGAAGCTTCACAGTTATTCGCAAGTTGAGATGGTTAGAGTGACGCTATTACTACTTCAGCTGATACTCTCTAAAATCTAGAAAAAAATCTCATAACCTTAACAATCTAATGGTAAATTCATAAGTCATGGATGGAGATTTTCTAGTTCATGGTGATCCTGAAATATGGAAAACAGCTTACGCGTACGATGTAAGTTTGAGTAAATATTAATAGTAAATAATTTATCCATAGCTGTAAGCTATTATCGAAGAGTATACTAGACCAGAAGTAAAGTAGCCTTAACATTTAATATATAATAAATGTGTTAATTGAAATGAAGAGACTATCTGTTTTCAGAATTGTCTTGCTGTCGTAATAAATGCTTATGAAAGGTAGATATCTATTCTTGCATCATAAGTTACATCAGACTTTGGTAAATATTAACTGATATTGTCCTTAGTAGTATTAAATATAAATAAACGTTAATCTTCTCGTAAATGATACAGGGTATGAACCTAATTAATAGCATTACAATGCCAAAGAGCTTCTGGAGTTGTAATCCTTACCATAGTTTCTGCAGAGATGTTTCCGGAGTAAAAATGATGATGCATTGCAGATGCTTTATTCTCATTAACACTAGAGCTTCCAATATAGTGATAGAACAATTCAAATAAGAAATTTTCATTCTTCTCGCTATTTTCTAAACTTGATTTAAATTTAATACTCAAAACTAATGCTTGTCATTTTTATTTCACAGACGCCGGGAGATAATCAATACCTAGTCGATTTTGGGGATGACCTGCTTAAAGGACACGATATTTTTATGCCACCATTGTTCTCAGATTACGAAGAATCTAAGTAAAAAACTCTCCATACCACTATTAATTTATCTTAATGTTTTAATAGAATATACAGCAGAAGCTTTCTACCACATAGTCGCTGACGTGGTATTTCTAGTTATATTTTTTTGGTAATACTATCAGTCAGCTATATAACGAGATTCACCAAGAAAGAACATTTACATTGATACAAAAGCTGGGAATTAATCACAAGATGCCTATCATATTTTTTGATCTTCATCAACTGCATACAGCTTGCATTTTTACAAAAATATACGTAGTCAGTTTTAGAGTTAGTAAGCGAACCTCTTGCTGGCACTAATTAATAATTAACGTTAGCTATTGGTTATCATTTATCAGTGATCTTATGACTGGTTTGGTATCTAATACGAAAGATTCAGTGATTACCAGTGATTCCCTAAAAGATGCAGTGCCAGTCGATTTAAAAGGTAATATTTACTCCATTTGAAGCTATACGCACCAAAATTAACCTATGAGTAATATTAATTCGCACCTACTATAATGTTTTAAGTTTATGTTTTTATAGTGAACAGTCACTGGAATATTTCCTATAAACTATTTCACTTTTCCAGGGCGTAGTTTTATGGGGAATATGAATATGTTAGTGGATGCTCTGAAGTTAGTACTGACTAAATTATTTAAGCAATCTAAATATTTATTTAGCATTAGATCTCAATAATCTTAGAAACCACGAAATTAAGCCCGGAACGACCTCGGTCAGCAAGGATGCCAAAAATGTAACACTAGATTCCAAGACAATCACACTGCAAAATAATCCAGTAGTTTTTGATAATGCGTTCAAACTGCGTCCAATTATTAACAAAAAGTATGAAGATAAAGAAGAGAATCGGAAAATGGTCAATAGCATCGAGGGTAGTGAAAGAAAACTGAAAATTGCTGACTTAGCGTCGTCTCGTAATATTCAATCTCCCATGCCAGAAAGTAGAGATCTAGATAATGCATACATTTCTCATCCTTTAAATGAAATCAAGCGCAGTAAGCACGAAAACGAGCAACTCAAAATCGCTAAATCAGACATAGCTACCAAAGCAAAGAGGAAAAAGCCGAAGGTGGAGCAAGTCTCCGCTCTGATACCGACGAGTAAAAATATCAAGATTAATAATTTGATTGAATCGGATAGTGAAAGTCAAAGAAAGGCCTTTGCAAAACACATATCGATTGGGAAGGAAAATTGGCCGCCGAAAAAAAATAAGAAAAAAATTGTTAATATGGGCTGTGAAATTAAACAAGCGAAAGGGAAACGATGCAGTGTAGTGCGAACTCCAAATGATCTCATAAAGTACACAGTGGGGAATTCAGCTATGAATGCTTGCGAGATACATAGCTCGAAAGAAAGTCAGGTTTTAAAATTATTATTAAAATCTGAAACTAGTATAATCATAACCTCTAGAACCATTAATCATGGAAAAATTAATGACATGTAATTTAGAATTTTTTTATCTCATAGAATAAAATATCTGTAAATGTAAATATACGTAAATTAATTACTATCATAGGAAAAAAAACATCATCAAAGGTCAGCGAACAAAAATTCTGGCTCCAATCTTGCATGTGGTTCTGAAGTTAAAAAGAGCCTACGACGCGAAAGAAATAGAATTCACAGTCGTAACCATCGTATAAAGAAAAAGATGCAGTTTCAAACTTTAGCTGAAGATAATCATAGACTGCAAATTTTGCATAAGGCAATGAGAACTCAGTATGAAAAATTCTTAGCTCAGCTAAAAGTCACTACTGAATTATTAATGAAGGAAACCAGAAATAATAAAAATGTGACTCATCTCAAAACGGCACACGACACAGCTCGAAAATTAAGGACTGAGATTGGAATTCAAATCGAATGTCTCCGTAATCAGTATAACGTTTAGTAATTTTAAAGAAAGTGGTGCAGTGATTAAATATCTCGATCTGATTTCAATAGCATTATCGTTCCAGATTCAGCTTTAGTTATTACAATAATTACAGCCTAGTTTTATTGATGTTCCTACTCCTACAACTGCTAGTTATATTGATATGAACGCTATGCACGGCCGTTAGTAAATAATGATACTCCTCAAAAATAACGACTATTATTACTATGTACTTAAAATTGTTATACACGTATAAGCTATTTAATTAAAGTCAGTATCGCGTGAAATATGTAGAAATTATACCAGTATTATACGCAGCTTTTCGTTGCAAAGCGTACAGATAAAGGTATCGAATATATATATATATATATATATATATAACATAGGTTGTCATTAATTATTATATCAGTTTTGCAATTTGGTGTTTATAAACACGTGATTATAGTATAGCGTAATTCACTTCATGAGTTACTACTACTCCATAAGCAAGTAATAGCATACTTATGGATTGAAATCTAGATATTTATTGTCTAAAAGAGCAGATGTTCAATGTAGTACTTTTATTCTATGCTGTACCAACTTTGATGCTTTGCCCATAGATATTGCATTGCACCCGTTGTATGGTATTTTAGAATCAAACTGTCTCGTAATGATACTGGTCTAAGATGATTTAGACTTGTACTTAATGAATTTCGCGCAATAAGATAACCGTAATAGTAAATAAATGATACAGTGTTGTGATGTGATATGGTTTATGAATCATGAAAATTCCTGAGATCCCCTTAATGTACCACACATTACAATGTAGCCTTAATCTAATCTCAGTATCTAGAATTCTGAATTCTCTAAATTAAATTCAAATATAGTAGTAGGAGAGTGCAAATCTTACCTTGTCGGTATTTACTCAATACTACTGTACTTACCATGCGGCTGCGGTACGTCGTATCAATGGTTCCTAATTTGGAACACAATACAGTAGTTTGTATAGTATGTGAAGTGAAATGAAAGAGTTGTTTACGAAACCGTGTGTTTACTGTGTTGTACTGGATAGTAGGTACGGAACGGAAGTGTACGATAGTGTACGACATACAGTACAATACATGCAAACAATTAAACCATTTAGCTGGATCATACAGGCATATTTGCAACGTTATGTGCAACCGTTGTGTTTTTACTCCATTTCCTGATCGGGTAGGATTTATTTTAATTTTTAATTATTTTATCATCGATTGATACGCGCATTTCAGATATTTTAAGTCAGGATAATGTGTAGAATATTAAACTTGAGGTTAATCACTAGACTGTACTGCACAGTAGTGTATGTTGAGCTTGTGCAATGTACTGTACTGTATACTATACACTAAGTATGCAGTACTGTAGATGATGCACTCTCTAAAATGTTTGCAGGATCTTCGGGTGTACTTGTTGGCTAGCTACTATTGTAGAATGTCCAAATTGGTACAATTAACAATTTAATTCAGTTAATTCATCGGTGCAGCGTAATTGATAACACATGAGTGACTGAGCCGTGTATTTTCTACCAGACTTATCTGATGTCTGCAATAAAATTTTGATTTGTTTTTATCTAAATTATTCTAATAACGTCAGAATATCTACATGGACAGAAACCAATAAGATTTGTCATATTGTAGAATATACATTATACACGTTACTATAGTATCTATATATATACTGCGCCGGTTTGTAAAAGTAGTGACTTTAGGATAAAGTGTACGTATGTACTATACTGTAGTTATAAAAAGAAAGAAATTTCATCCGCCTTACTAAGATAGCAAACTACTGATTAATATACGTATACTTATCGTGAAACCAAAGACAATTGATTGTCGTATTAATTACAGGGGAATAGCTGCCTCGACACTGGATCATTCTTTTTAAACTTTAAAGCTTGTAGTAGTTGTCAGAAAAGGACACTGATTGAAACTTGTAATAAAGAATCGAAAGAGGAAGAAGATCAAACAGAAGTAATCAAGTATCAACGTAAGAGTGCTGTACCTGAGAAAATTAAGCTGAGCTGAATTAATCATTGACATCATTGAATAATAGTTGATGCATCAAATTAAATCGTAATTATTGCTAGTGAAATTGACTGATTGTACGGTAAATGAAAAATCACAATCACATTAGTTATGATTAAGTTAATTATTATAGGCCTGTTAGGTGGAATCTCAGCCGGATGATGAAACCTTGCCAGTTGCAACTAGTTATAACTGTATTTATACAGTAGTTATTCGCATAGTATTATTTTCTTTGATTAATATATATATGTATATATATCTTTATTAAAAATGTATATTGTAGATATATGTCCTAATTGCCGACACGTCATTGCCAACCATGAGTACACTTTTCAAGTAGAGGAAGGTTATCAGGTGAAAACTATTAAGTTACTGCAGTACATATTTTTGCCTTAGCAACCTTAGCCTACTGTATCGTATATAACTGATATTTCGCTTTAACAGCCAAGTTTAACGTGCTATAATAGTATATATTTAGATTGTATTTTGTAATCATGTCATTGTAACATTTTAACTTCATAGCTTTATTAATCTACTATAATTTATTTATTAAAATCTAACATACACATACTTATCATTCGTGCAAGACTCAGCCTCTGCTGACTGCGACTAAAAGTTACTTTTCATTATATTGTTATCAAGATTTATGGCATGGAATGTTTACTTTGTGGTTGCGGTGAAGCAACCGTTAGCGTTATGCCTAACGATCCTAGAAAACTTTTAATCAACAATGGGTATTGAATATCTTTCAATGTGATAGATCTTTATTTAAAAATTTACTTAAATAATAACGACAAACATAAAAATTTAATAAAAAATTTTGAATAAAAATGATCACTATAATATTTTCTTGTACTGAAATTAATCTTTACTGGTTGTTTTTATCTTTTTGGCCTCCATTTCAACATTGTCTGTTTCAGTTAGTTCTCTTTTATTCCGAAGTGCATTACTCTCAATACTATAATTATCTTTACTTTTAGTATCACTGTGTACTATATTTAAATCTGCCTTTCCTTCGTTATCCATATTTGTACTATCTTTGACATTCTCATTGTTTATGACGTCTTTTTTATCACAATCAGAATCAATCTTAATTCCACTTAATAAGTAACCGCCAGTACCACTCATCATAGTTAAAGGATGAGTTCGATCCGGCAAAACCTGTTTATGATAAATTTAAATAAACATGTGTTATGTAATGTAATAAATTATTGTTCCTGATTCTTAGATTACCTGATACTCTCGCAACCATGTTTCTGTTAGCTGAATATTTACTGCTAGCTGCTGCTCTTGCAAGTAGACGTAACATTCTGCTAGAGGCTACAGAAAAATACGAAACACTAGCTAATTATCGATAAATATATGCCTTTAAACTAGAATTATCAAGTCTAGTATATTGAACCAAGAAATGATGTAAATATTACTGGTATGACATTGTTTACGAAAGAACTGAATTTGATAGTGTTGAGTAACAAACCTCCTTTAAAAAGCAATATATGATAAATGGTCGTGACGGGGCAATATATTTTATCAAGGACTTTAGAATTGGCAAAGGATCGAATTTTGTAGCTATGATTAGCCTGAAAGAATGTATTTTCAACTTAAATTCACTGTCGTACTCCAAAATATGAAGAGTACGAAGAAATTAACAACGAATTAATATCCATAATTTATAACATTCAAATTTTAATTTATTAAGAAAATCTGGTAATTAGGTTAGTAATATGCATAGATCGCGTATAATACCCGTCCAAATCATGAGTTGATAGGTGTTTCTTAGCTTCTAACTCCATACGAATTCGTTGATTTTTATCAAGCTAATACAAATAAATATACATTTTAACGTATTATGTTAAATCGTACTGTTTAACAGTAATTCCAGAACAATGCCATTAACTCTATGCTGAACTAATTGATAAACTGTTAATGTGATTCAGGTTATTATGCTACTGTAAATACTGAATAAATTAGGGTATTTTGTAGGTATAAATCAGATTGAAGAAATTCTTGCAATACAAACCGAAAATTGTTTAGAGTCTGTATCATTAGCAGGATCTGTCGACATTGCTAATTTTTTTTCTATCGCATCCTGCTTTTCATTATCACTATCAGCTAAAATTGATGTCAATTGTGATTGAAATAGAAAGTGTTGTCCATATTATGTCAGGCGGGTATTTCATGTTTCGTGAGTATCTCATGAGTACTGTATGAAAATCTTACCTGGCTTACTTGATAAACCCGTCATATTATCAGATTCTTGGCTGTTAACTTTACGTAGCGATAGATATAAGATCATATCCATATATGCTTGTGGAAAATTACAATTTGTAATGGAATATCTGCAAAATTATCAAGAATACTCTATCACTTTGACGTTGAAGCTCATACAGTAAAACGCATGTAGACAACTTTGGAGCTAATCCATAACCGAATCCTAACATTCTTACCCAACTGTCGGAACATCACCGGCATGTACCTGAATGATAACACCTTCACCTATTAATTAAAGAAATCTTTCGTAAGATACCCATCTCATAGCGTAAAATTGTTTGTATAACTGTGCAATCAACGAATTAATTCCTTTTTTATTACCTCCCATTCTTTCCATAACAGCAGCCGTTACCAAGCCCTGACATGATTCAGCAATTACTAACTTAGATTTCGCTTTAACGTCTGCCATAGTTAGGAGCTGTGCCAATGTATCGTAACGTAAATGACTAAGAAAGGGCAGACACAAGTTAGGGTGAAATTCAATTAAATAAGCAAGACAACAAGTCTTATATTGCATTTCTAATTTCAGGATTGTTTAATTCAGACCATATTTTATTGGGGGCATGATTCCAGTAATTACGGCAAATAATTCTTGCTGTTGGCCATCTAATGATGATACGATGTGAATACCTTTGAAAGTAGTTTTACAAACAAAAATTATCCATCGTTAAATTAGATTTATATATATATACCTATATATATTTAGTGCGGTAGTTCGCCATGTCAATTTATCAGTTATAAGAGATACGTTTTTCATTAAAATGTTCTAAGAAGTGTTTCACAATAAAGTAATTCATATTTCCAGGCTAAAAAATTACGAGATACAACTTTACAGCGTTTTAGCTCTTACTTTTTAAGTTTCTTTTTAATGTACTTTACTTTAGAAAATTCAGTTTTTGCATCAAAGGTAGCACTATTCTTCACTAGCTTCTCAACAAGGTCCTAATAAATTAAAACATTATAATAATACATAGTCAGTTAATAACTGCGATATCATTCCCATCTTATTTAAAATTATACTTGTACATTATAGATCATTAGTTGTAAAATACAAATTTGCTAAGATCTCGTAAGCTCCCACTTTATTAAAATATTTTTGGGGAACTTGTATAAGGTTGCAACTAATAAAATTGTTTAACAATAAACTTAAGTATCACAGCTTACCATTCCTATCACACCACTTTTCTTATAGTCTTCGATTTGGCTACGTGATAGCTTTTGTGAGCTTGGATCATCTGCTAATGTGCTATTATCTATACCTTCTATTACAGCTATTACGTATTTCGGAAATTTAATTGTTTAGTTTTAACGTATAAAATATGAAACTTCTGTTATTTTTTTTATGTAGATAAACATTGCAGAGAGGGAGCACTGTACAGTTAGTATTTAAGGCCGTAGTACTGTACGCATAATAGATCGTAACATTACCACAGGTATAGCAAGCTTGACTTCTTACCGGGTTTGCTAGTGGATGATGAAATTTCTTCGTAATGAAGCTTATAAAGATGATCATTTCGGACATCAAACGTGGTGTTGTAATAACAGCCAACGGCGTTGTCTAAATAAAAATTAAGCCTGTCTATGCACGCCTTCCTGCAATACATTTTAGAACGGACATTATTTAATATTATCTATCAGCAAATGCACGATAATTTTTAGTTTTTAAGTCACATAGATTATGTAAATTAATATAACTCTTAAATCAGATTAGTTAGAGCAAGATCTTGAGTTTGTAGTAGCTATCTAATAGAGCAAATGCTTTTAAACAAACCTGACTACAAATTATAGTGATGTAAAACGAATGATATATGAGTAAGTTTTCCATACAAGAGGATATACGTTTTGTGCACGGATATTGAATGTTTAATTTACATGTTTATTTTTATGTAGGTAACGTAGCCATACATCATGCACGTAGATATACCGCACGCGTATGTGCATGATACAGTTTTGTATTATAGTGAAAAGGAATAGTTTTCTTTCGAGTCCAGTTATGACTTCAAGTAGTAGTACAAATTAAAGTGCATTTCAACTTGCAATTTTGCTACTTGTGTATCTAGTGAGATTGTAAATTATAGATGATACGACAATGGAAAAATCTACTAGAAAAGGGCCTGAATGGGTTACTTGATAAATAATTACACTATAAATGATTATAATTATATAATCTGTGAATATTCGTACTTGTATATCACGTAGGACGGTTCTGTATATAACTACAGTTACTGTAGTGCCGCAGTCAACAGGTTAAGAGGTAAAGAGATTGAATAGAAAGATACCAACATTTGCACAGTGCTATCTATATTCTAACTAAATCGTTCTGTGCTTATATTCACCGTTTATACTAGCTCACAATGCCAATGTACAACCATAAAATGTCCAAGCTTGAGCGAACAACCGTGCACTCAGGCATGGGCTACTAGAAGCTTTTCTTCTAGTACAGTAGTACATGACTCAGGTCTGAAAGTCTGCTCGGAATAGGCAATACGTATATTAAATGCTAAATGTTAATCGTAAACCTGAGTAGGATTCATGCAGCAATCAATGATTACTTGCGCTCATAAAGTGTACAGGATATGCAAGTTCCAGAAATGAAGTTTAAGAGCTTCCTGGCTCTAAGTTACAGTACATAATATTGTACTACATGAGTATCTAGAGATTGCTTATTTACATCGCAGTTACAAGAATACATCATTCCGGCTACACAAGTAGTTTAATTTCGACACAACTATCGGTACAATAGCTTATGTCCTATGTACGTATATATGTTCATATATGTATAAGTATCTTACATTACCTACCTCCCTTTTCTTATGGTTATATACTTAAATTTATCTCCCTTTTCTATTATAACTTTATCACCATAGTCGATTTTTCCTTTCGATCGCATTCTTGAATCGTTATTTATGTACTTGTACTATAAAAATGACAACAACTTTTCAATCTATTACTGCTTTAAATAGCCTAGAGAGAGGTCTTTAATATCCAAATGTACACATGTACACTTGTTCAGTAGACCTTAAGAGTAGTACTGCACAAGTTCAGTATACGTATCTTACTGTACTGTATGCACTGTACTGTACAAATAGTATACCGTACTGTACTGTACTGTTACAAGATCAATGTACACTGTACAGTACCGTTCATGCAGCAAGCTGGAATGGCAATCGCTGTGATGCCTCCAGAAAGATACAGTAAAATTTGAGAAGAAAATTAGTATGTAGGTAAGTGATACTTTTTGGTGGTAAATCTACAGCTAATACTAAGTGAACCTGCAAGGCACCAGACAAAGTATGGCAATAATTGCAAGCTTTCTCGGATGCCAGAAGTATGATATTGTACATGAAAGTCTTTACTCACTTTGCTAAAAAGAACATTTACCGTAATTGTAGTACGTTCAGGTGTACTTGCATACTGAGTAGTACGCGTATATGCCAAATTTTGATGATATCTACATTAATTTATACATGTAATACAGTATTTTATTCGAGCCTACATAGCAATTGAACATATACGTATACTGAATAATTAATTAATTAATTTGATTTTGAACTGATTTTAACGACCTTGTACGCGTATTAGCAATCTGTTAAGATATACAGTAATTCGAATATATAATATTGCCATATATGAGGTAATGCATATGGTTGACGCAAATTTACGGTTATGCATCAAAAAAAGGATGATGGAACCTTTGTTACACGCAATGAAGTTTACACAGAAGATATTACTCTTTAAATATCGATAAATTGCATGCATAACTTACGACACTTGCTAAAATCAACTAACCAAAATAAATTGTGTATACAGCGTCATATTCTATTGATATTACTTTAATTATTCAAGAGTGACGCAAGAAATATGCAATTGCAATTCTTATACATGTTTCGTATTAACAATTCTCTACTTGCATTTTATAGTCCCAGTATCCTTAGAAATTTTTATATACGCTCGTATATATACAGTGAATACAATTGAACCGTTACCATAGTAAAGGAAATTAATAAAATAGTTGCGGTTGCTGAAGTCTGCGAATATAAGAATAGCAAATATCTCGGCAAGTAATTACTAAATTGACAACAGAATTTAACCGCCAGCAGAGCGAAGGGTAGTAGATCAGTAATTATAATTGCAGTAAGTATATATACACCAGAGTTAGCATATTCTTATCCAGATCACAGCGGTAGCTGATTAAACTTGACAAATTTGCAGTATCGAAATGATTAAATTAGATTAATCCAGATCATGAAATCTTCAATAAATGGATTGCTTAAATTTATTTTGGAATCTACATAACAATGCAAACTTAATAATACACATATTTCTACGGAAGCGTCGTAGCTGAGTCTGTTCGTAATTGTTAGAAACATACAAAAACTGAAGAATTTACATTAAAGTTAATTATTAGGTTAGATAACAAAGATACTTGGCTTTACAAAAACAATTTTTTTATCATTACATTATCAATTATAAGTAGGCAAAATGACTCAGTAATAGACGATAATTACGATACATCACCTGATAAAATTTCACATACTGACAGATTTGCTTTCAATTCAGCAATAACCAATTCTTCATCCTTTACACTCATCATATTTCTAATGTCTAACTCTTCTAACAGCCTGAGCAAAAAAGGAAGATAGAAGATATATTCTCACGTTAACTAATATTGTAACGCATACTTTATGACTCAATGATGTCACTATACGACGTGCAGTAGCACCTTTACAATTAGAGAGTTTTGGTAAAATTTGTCCTCGATATTACATTTTCTACGTAAGCATTAATGTAATGACTAGAATTTTATCAATAATCTAATCGTTTACGTCTTACTTTAATTCACGAAGGCTTAAAAGTCCGGCATTCGTGACAGAGCTGCAACCATTTAAATTTAACTTAATCAAAGATTCCTGTAGGCTACTGATATGATGCATTCCAATATCGGTTACGTTATGACATGTGCATAGGTTTATCGATTTCAGATATTTAAGAAATGTAACATGTCTTAATCCTTCGTCAGTAATAGTAGTTTCATTAAGATCGATATGTTCGAGCATGAAAGAAGCACGAGGACCATCACTCAGGCTATTATAGTCACTAAGCCACTTTTTATTTGCAAATTTTACAGACCCACCACAGCGTAAAACCCATTCCGCTGCAACTCTTCAAAATCATAGTGAAATTGTTAGAAAATATGGCCGATGGATGATAATCAAACCATCCAATATGAATACAACGGTACAATATCATATAGTATTCTGATGGCCTCATGCCCACAGTATCTTGCAGTTAAGGTTAGTCAAGACAGCACATGCTATGGCATAGTACAGTACGAGTCTACATTCGTATATATACAACGAACGATAATTAAGGAAACACAGAGCGTTCTTCTTAAAATCTGGCGCAATAAATACTTCTGAACTTTGTAATACTCACAGATAACAGTTAAAAGTACAGTACATATGCTTATATAACTAGGTTATCAAAGACTTTTGTGTAAGTAATACGTTTGTAATGCAAGTCAGAATTGTTCTTACCGATCTGGTCCAACGTCTTTTATTCTATTCTCGTCGACTCTAGTTGTACAATATAACAATTTTCAGTTACTCAATATTCAATATTGGTTACATTTCAGGGTATCATCAGTAAATGCGTATAGTATTCCTAATGCCAGTTTTACCCAAGTATGGTTATACTATTCCCCAAGTACCATATTACTGCTTACAGTTACGCCAACCGCCAAATACTGTTTGAAAATACTGAATACTACCGCAAGTGTACTGTACAGTATACAAAGACATACACGAAGCAATTCAGACTTGCAAATTGATAATAAAGTTAGAGTACCATAATTAAGAAATGTATTTTCATACCTGTTGAAAACGTAATTCAGCCAAGAATAAAACAGGCGATGAGAAATAGCAGATTGTAATTTGCCAGTCAAATGCTGTCATGTCAGAATTGATATACGCGTAGTTAGAGATACGGCATATGTAGTCATTTCACAGCAACACCATATACCGTTTGTACGTATTATACACTATTTACTTGATATTCCTATTTCAATTCGAATTGATACCACTATGCCAACATTTATTGTGTGACTTGAGCGGTAGTAGTAGAATGATGTAAAGTAATAATCGTGAATTTAAATGATTCGTACATGATTCAAATTGCTAATGTGATAATTAGATCATTTTTAGTTAGCTACGCTTGCCCTAAGTTTAGAAGCAACGAAACTTAAACTGGTATAGTTAGTTATAGCAGTAGTGGAACCGACTTGTTTCATAAAAATAGAACTCATTTCATGACTAATACTTGTCATACAGTACATTAGAAGTAGATGTATAAGCGTACCTTGGTGGCTGTATGGCTTCTTGATGCAGATAAAGTAATTAACTTTGGATAGGCGAACATTTTCTCGTAGTGCAGCCCTCGACGTGCATAAGGTAAACCGATTTCTCCCGTACCTTTTTGACGGCTATAGCCACTTTAAACTATAGATTGATTTCTCTCGTTGTAGGGCTTAAAAACGGATTGCCTGAGCAAAATTAGCATTTAATAATATTACTATTTATTATTATTATTATCATTGCTAACGATTCTATTCTATACTGTAGTATACTGTATACTGTCTACTTTACTGTACCGTACGGTACAGTACTATGATAAGTTTAAATACAGTAATAGTAATTAATTAAGGGATTAATTAATTAATTAATTATACTGTACAGTACAGTGTACTGTGCGCTACAGTATAATATTGTACCCAGTACTGTACTGTACACTCACTCAGTCGGTGTCAGTGAATGGATTTTGACAAATTTAACAGCCCGAACCGATGTTAGTTCTAGTAGTTTGTGACACTGTGACACTGCACATTGCACAACACTGCAGGCAGCATCGGCAAATGAATTAAGGACCCGGATACAGACTCCAACTAAGTTGACCGAGATAGCATGTACTGTACTGTAGTAGCCCATACAGTACTGTAGTAGCCCATACAGTACAGTACAGTAGGTGCTATGCTGTACGCTGTACTACAGACTTAGTGTACAGTAGAGTAGTAAAAGTGCACAGCGAGATAAAATAAAAGATACAGAGTTCGTACTACCGTACAGCACAGTAGTTAGTACTGTAGCGTATAGTACTACTACTGTGAGAGTGTGAGTACCCTGCGGTAGGCTGAAGCTCTTGCAGCTGCCATGGAGTCAGCAGGTAGCAGTATGGAGAGAGGCTCTTTTACTACTGTAGTACAGGGTACAGTACAGCAGGTAGCAATACTGTACAGTATGGAGAGAGGCTCTTTTACTAGTACTGTGTACTGTAGACTACAGTCCACGGTTCAGCGTACTGTACAGTATGTACTGTACACTAGTACGGTCCAGTACTGGACAGTGACATGCTTTTTTAACTGGCAACACTGAGAAAGCAAAGCCACAAGCACATACGAGAAGCAGCATGATGGCATCAGAATTAGAACAAAAAGCAAGCGTCTTAAGGGAAAGGATTAAATCCGTCGATGAAAATATAAAAAAACTAACTGGTAGAGACCCATCTGAAATGAGGTATTATTACAATATTGTTTCACTGCAGTGTTAAAAGATTACAACTTGCAAATCAATTTACAGCATGTTGTCTTAATGTCAAAGAATCCATGACTACCACTCATTACAGTAGACTACAGCGCTATTTCCAACTCCTGAAGATTTTATTTACCCGACGTCAGTTGAATATTCCGCGAAATAGTTTCCATGTCAATAAGATATAGATTAATTCTGCTTTTTCTGTAAACAAGCATGCTCTGAATTAGGATAACATGAAACGGATCAATTTGGGTAATTTGTCGTACAGTACATTATTAATATGTTCAAATCTAAAGCTTCCTTTTCGCTGGGCAATGAGATGCTACTTCTTGTACTTTTCAACTGGCCGCTGTACTGTACTATTGCTTTTACGTCAGTAATAACGTAACCATCCTGTAATTGACTTTTGAAGAAATCGATAAGGAAAATGAACGATGCAATACACTCATGCTGTATTCATTAGGAAATTTAGTTTTTATTCTACTGTACTGCAGTTATCCCTGATTATAGTGACACTGCATATACTTTTCAGCTTGACTAAACGTGGACTTCTACAACCTACTTTGTCTTTTGGTTTCATATTAAGCTTCGTCGCTCACCAACCTGCCTGGGATAGAAAATTGATCCCAATTAGTATAGTGATTAGAAAATAAATTTTTTCTCTGCAAGTTAAACACGGTGGCGGTAGGTACTATAACATATCCGCCATTGTTAACTTAATAAGTACGATATACAGTATACTGTACTAGGCAAGAATCGAACTAGTTTTTCTTCGATACTATTTCATAGCCAATATTATAATTGATGGAAATATAATAGATGGTCAAGTTCCGCCACTATGATACTTCACTTCTAAAACAGAGAAACATGTATACCAGAATAGTAATAATACTCTATAACTTACGGATCTCAACTGTCTTTACTTCTGTAGGCAATTTCAACGACGAGGTATGCAGCGAGGAGATAATCGCAAACGGAGTTTCGCAGAGAGGTAATAATATTGCCAGTATATACGTACACCGATTGCGCCTTTAGAGTCACACAAATCTTCTCTAGCTAGCCTTATTGAATCTGTAACGTCCGCTTCATAAGTATTGCAATGTATTAGACGACACACACATGTACCGTATATCTGTTAGGCTACTATGCTAATGTACTGTACGTAAAGTTCTCAAATCGGGCTCGCATACTCTAGTTTGACTTTTCTATTGCTTTACAGTCCTTGAGATGTACGGTAAACAAGCAGTAAGATCATACAATGGCGGTAGCTGCTGAATCTCTAGAAAGATGCTAGTTTCAGCGTCTACTGAGATAGATGGCATGCAACGTGCCTCGATCCTTGTAATGTGTTTATGATCTACTAGTAGAGTATCACGGTACTAGAGTATGCAAAAATACAATAATAGTAATAAAAAATAGCTATGTTTAAAATCAACTTACCTTGCGTTATCTTGCGCATTTTTATAGCGATGCCAGTAACAAATATCGTCGTGCGGATAACAGGTTTGAAAAGAAGTTATATTCAACACTAGCTATTAAAAACTATTGCAGCAAATAAATTTTCGTAAACCTCAATGAAATTTTTGGATATTTTTACCCATCGATCTTTAAAACTTGTTATACATTGCTATATTTCGTTCAGCGGAGGTCGACGGTCTTCCTACAGACGAAGAGGCGAAGGATCATCGGATAGTGAAGCAGACGAGGATGAAGATGATGAGGAAGATAAAGTATTGCATCATTTTATATCTCATTCATATCGAGGATATAAATTAAATAAAGTAGATATGTGACTTTGGAATTACAGCATAATATTAACTTGATTAATCAGTTCATAGATTCTTATCCGGATTAATTTAACTCTATTATCCGATATTAATATAAAGTTAATAAATAATAATAATAAATTAGGAGATTAAAGTATTATTTTTTCTCAATTGTTATCAGCCCATGATTCAATCGTCTGTTGTGGTAACAGAACAAAAAGTTTCGCGTCTGCAGAGAGATTCCGAATTAAAGGATGAAAAAAGTAAAGCAAGGTGAAAGGACATTCGCATTGATAGGATGTGAACATAAATGAAAACTACTATTTCTGAGCTCTTAACCTTTTATTATAATGAATGTGGCATGTATTTAGGAATCGTCGCATGTTCGGTGCTCTACTAATGGGAACGCTACAGAAATTTAAAAATGAGTCCCAAGAACGCTCTGAAAAGGTGTTCTATCTTATCAAAGCACTAATACGAATTGCAGGAAAATTTTCAATCAAAGCATTTCCTTACTATTTCTATTTTCTTGTTATTACTCTCTAGGAGATCAAAAGAGCAATCATTGAGGAGAAGTTAGAAACTGCTCAAAGAGAAGAAAAAGAAAAAATAACAGCAGAACGACGCGAATTGTACAGTAAAAGAAGAAGTGAACAAGCCGAGTTGAGAGATATTGAAAGGAAACTAGAAAGGATTGAAATGGTTAGTCTTTTTCATCATATTTTAAGAAACAGCTTTCACTTACAAATGTCCTTATTACTAATATTTGGCAGGAAAAGAGAATGCAAGATTATTACAATGATTTAGGTATATTTATCAAAACTAAAACTTCTCCGCAGTTATTTTATCTTCCTGCTGAGCATAACGATAAAACCCGAGAACTATTAGAAAGTTCGAACAAAGAAATACAAGGTATTTTCTGTATTGCAAGAAGTATTTCAACTACGAATGTCATTCCTTAACTTTGTATAAATTACTTGTGAACAGAACTGCATTCTAGTCGCCTCAAAGAACTAGAAGATCACGAGGCAAACATTCAAAAATTGATTGCAGAACGTCGTAGACGTAACGCCGAAGGAGCAGCTATGGATGTTGCTGAAGAAAAACATTTGCAGGAGGATATAGATGACAAAACGAAAACTATGGACGAAAATAACGATGGAAATGATAATTCTATGGACGTAGAAAAAGCTAACGAAGTCACTGAAGATAGAGAGGACGCAAATACGGAAGAAAAGAATGACGACGTGGAAATGAATGAGGTATAAAATTAGTCAGGTTGTATTATAAGGTAATTTTGGACATTTGTATTGATATTATTGGTGTAGCAGGTCAATTGGTGTCTAATTTTAAGTTATATCCGAACAATCGTTTTACCTTTCGTGGGTAATGTTGTTATACACTTAATGATGCGTAAATTCCATCAGCTGCTGTTCTACAAATTTATGATGTGGATTATAACTCTTTCTACTCGGAACATTTTTATCTGGTGTTGTGTACTGTACGTTCTAAGTTCGATACGATGTTATGAGATGATAAGTCGATTCATATATTAGAGTAGTATACAATCTTGATGGCATTTTGTCATTGTAAATTGAAAAGAAATATATTGCATTATGGATATCAAATAAATGCATTATAGAATGATTATTTTGAAAATGATCCACTTAAGTAATTTATGAACTATCATATACTGTAGTAATCGAAATAAGCTAAGAGCGTTGATGTAATGTTTGATAGCTGGATACGTTATCCGCTCGTAGTTTTGGTGATTTTGAGCACACTGCCCCAATTTTTATATCTGGTCACTAACGACGCAATTAGACTAAGTTAATCGTCCCGTGCAGTTATGAGAAATTCTTATTGGAATATAATACAGCACTTAAACATGATTAGGGGAAATTATAACAATTAGAAGATCATAAAATCACTAACTATCACATGTGAAATAAATTTTTACATGCATACGAGCCTACTTATTAAGATGGATCAGTTGTTGTCTGTATATACATATATATATATACTGTATATACCTGTGATTTTAAAGGACGGGAATTGTAAAATATCAATTTGTACATAGCTACAAATTGTGTTAATACAATTACGTATCTTCACGTATGCATTGGTATCATTGCTTGAATCTTTTTCACGTACATCTGTAGTGCTCTTGCGATCGACTCCTACGTACAGTATTTTGCATTACAGTTAACTTTAGTATACCATAGATCAAAAAGACACAATCCACAGAAATAAATGTATACATGTATACTATAGCTGCAACGAGATGCTATTTTTATGGCAATAGACTTAATACAAAAATTTTAACTACTCTCTCTAGTGTCGCATTTTTTCTCTTTCAGTCAAACCAAAGAATATAAAACTTTATTAGATACTAATTATCATATGGTATCATATTTCTATTTACATACGCGCAAAATGTTATACAGAAGTATGGATTAATTTATGTACATTAATCAATATATCGTAACAACTTCTTATATGACAATATGTACCAAAATATAACATGATTGGATTAGAAAAATTTGGCAGGCAAGCAATAATAAATTTTAGCCAAACCAAGTTTTACCCAATCTACAAAGTCTGGATTTTTCCTTTCTAATGCAGTATTTGAACTTGCCGACAATAAAACGTTTTTTATCTCTATAATAAATTCCAAATAGTATGATCAATATAAATGCGGTACACAGTAGGAAGGTGTTAAAATGATTTGCTGAATATACGCCGCTATTTATAAATTCCTTCCATCCTTGGGCGACCTATTCATTTGGAAAGAAACGTTACGTATGCTTTTACTAAATTCGAATTCCATAATACCTTACAATTTCTGTATATTTATCAGTATAGTATAAAATTAATATAATAACGATATGTATTCAGTATAACAGTAAGTTATACGAATGCCCACTTTGCTCATTACGAATAGATAAGTAATAACATGTAATTAAGGCAATATACGTTGGTGCATTAAACCTTTGAGCTAACAATACTGTATGATGATTCGCAATCAATCAACTCATTGTATCACGGGTATTTACATTAGCATTGGCTTAAATTATTTAATAATACTGTAGTAGTAATTTAAACTTGAAAGGATTCTCCTAATCTATAAATCATCTCATGTTATACATACCTTGAAGTTAAAATTCTGTTCTTCTTGGTTTACTTGATCAATCATGCCGGACATTTGTGAATGAACTTGCAAGCTATTGTCATATAAATTGAGTTTTGCATCAAAAAGATGCTTGTTTTGATTTCTTTGCAGCTTTTTTTGAATTAGGCTAGTTAATCCAGCCACAAAAATTGGATAAATGGATTCTAAAGCAGCCTAAATATCGTAGAGGTTAAAATTTTATATTTATTTATTAGAACTTGTGAAACTATTATTGATAATAAGGTGTGACTTTAGTGTCTAATGCTTAAAATGCAAGTGAAAAAGAGGTAATAAACCTAGTAGGCTAATACCTTTAGATCTTGAGAGTGAGGATTAAACAAATCGAAGCAGCGCTTATTTGAATTATCACCATTACCCCACAACTCGATGGCGAATGAGAAGGGGATCTATTCATATGATATGAATAAATATTAACAGTAAATATCGTACTACTATAAGTTACACGATATCTCTGCTGCTATTGATAGCATCGAGCTAACTTTTATTATCCTCATAATATCCTCTATTAAAATTTATCTGCACCCACTGGTATTACTAGTTAAAAATGATTTATTAAATTTTTATTTTAAATCATTTATCTTTATCCCTACATTTCGTTTCCCTGCCATATAATCAAACACCGTACCATCAGCAGCATAGTCATTTAAGTCGTACGCATGGCCGTATGTAAATTTAGAAGCACTGCTCTTAGCCATTATTGAGGCCAATTTCAGCTGTTCTTTAATATTTGCGGGCTTTCGACCTATTTTCTGGGACATACTGTCTGCAAAAATAATACCATTAATATGTTTATGCATTTAGCAATTGGCTTAGTGTAGTAAATCACACTGTGCCATCGATTAATTAGAATTTAGTAACCTATGCTTGAAACTCATTCGATATTACTTAGGACGTGGGTACAATTTCAGAACGACTCACTACACTTTCATACTGTGTTCATACTGGTTAATTGTGAAAGACATTTTTATCGTTATTACTTTTGTGTTAGACGTAGAAGACATGGTCTACGTTGGAAAAACTGAGAAAAAATTAGCTATGGTACAGTATAAGTATCGTATGGGGGACCAATGTAACCTAGCACGTTTGATAGAAAAATCTCTCATTCAACTACTGTATAATTATTATATCGAAATTAGTACGATACTTACCGGAATATGGTACGTATATATGCTTAATACCAGCATGTAGAGAGAAGAAAGCATCAAATTCGTATTGACTTGTTAAATCAAGCAAGACGTTGCATTCTGGTTCTAATTGATTAAGACGTTAAAAGTATTAAAGAATGAAAACAAAAAGACTTCATATTATTTTTGGTAATCTGTGTAATAATTTAACCATAAAAACAGGTAAACATGGAATATAACAAATTCACAATTACGTTTACCATTAATCCTGAAATCAAGTTTAAGCCTTTCACTAGTATCGCATTATATCAATTCAAGTAAAATATCTGGGATGATAACATCTCCTCGAGCTCGTAATTGAGTAATGTATCTTAATCCTTGACTTTGTATAACTCCTATACACGATATATTGTACAAACCGAGCTTCCGACACCCCTAATCGTACATATAGCTAAATTACTTGGTATATGCATGAGCTAACTCTAAGGACGAGGTGATATCTTGAAAGCAATAGCGAACTATAGCTACCTAGCACAGGGCGATATCACATAGCTGGTATAATAGTCATACTGTTAACAGCTAGTTTAAGTTGAAAATTATAATACTTTTAATAAATGCAGAACTAACATGCAATTTCAGGCTCTACTTAGCATAATAGTATTTCATATTAACATCGATTTGCATATTCATTTATTATTTTTAATTTCGTTAACTGTAAAGAATATTTAGTTATGGTGTCATAAATTAGATTTAATAAAGAGATTTTGCATCAAATTAATTATCGGTTTCTATTCGAATTAAATCATTTTTATCGAGAATATTACATTAACCTATGACAAATGGAGCGTAGATAATTTTTGTTAGTTAAGCTTATACTAATTTCTTAAAGTGGTTTTACCACCTAGAACCATGCATGCATAATATTTTACCAGTACATCAAAATTTAGCACTTGATATAAAAAATACAAGTTGCAACACAGTTAGGTTGCGGCTCTGCGACTTTCATTGGTGAAGGTTTGCCCTACATGTAACTCTACCTGATTGATGTTGCATATCGACCAAATAGAAAGTATCAATTTTAATTTACCTGAGAAAGAATGTGGACCGCGATATTCTTCATCTTCCTTATTACTGGAACTGCCGCTTCCACCAAATTGCCATTCAAAATTTCTATTTAAATCTACTCCAGTACTAGTACCTCTCCAACAATAATTTCGAGTTCGTTCCGCATACTTGCGACCATCAGGATTCAACATTACGATAATAAATAGATCTACGTAAGTTAAAATGTAATGACTGAAGCGATAGGCAGCATTATCCATTGGCCTTTTATCACCGCTATGTTTTAATCCATTGGTTATATTGGTTAGCAAGAAAATGACACTTTCCGTTGGAATCAGTTCTCTTGCATGTTCGCCGCTAGATATTAAAAGTTTTACTCTTTTTTTACTACTGTCATTCCTCCAGTAATTTGTAATGTTTTGTTTTTTTAGATGAGTGAAGTTAGTAACACGTACTAATAGCTGTGGTTCGCCTAAACGAGAGACATAAGATAAATCCAGTCTAATATAGTCTTTGAAATTATCAGCCAAGGTTATTATAAGTTCCTTGGTAGTTTTATAATTATGATAAATATTATAATCCGGATAGTATAATTCTTGTCTAGGTTTAACATCGCCACATTCAGCTAGGTAAGGGTGGAAGCCTTTCACATCGATTTTTAAAAGTACTATCGTTAACAATAATAAAATGCTGGATCTAATCGATTGAATTAAAATCATCTTTTTCTTCTTTCACAGATTTGTGCTGCAGCACACAAAATATGATCGCAACAGATCCAACGGACTACATGGAACTTCTCAGTATCCGGCAAGGTTCTTAATGTTTAATTGAAATATTCGACTACAAGTTGATTAGCTTACCCTATCAGTTTTCCAATATTCAACGGCTTACTAGTTAAATGTAATTGTAAACCAAGTAACAGTTTACGCGTACACTAAAAAGCTACCGTAGTGTTTCAATGCAATATCTACCTTCACGTTGATATTATAATTTTTAGCAGGTGTAAAAAAAATTTCGAAGCTTACACTTCCCTCTATCTATACCAGATAGCAATATACTATACATCAAATAAATAATATATTGATTAACAGCTATGTATGGTTAAGCGTTATTTGTTTAACTTTATTTATTTACTGTATGTCGAAGCTGATCCTGAATGCTACTTGTTACTTATAAACTCTACTACTGCTACACGAATAGTATACAGTATATTAATCTGTATACAAATAACGTACGGTACGGCATATTAATTATAGCAGTATATAATTATGATATAAAATGACCTTCAATGTGGTTGTCAATAATAATATATTAATACGATTGTATTAGTATGCAGCCGCAGTCGGTAAGGTTAAAAACTAGCTATTGTTATTAAATCATTATCATTACATTATAATAAACTTCAACATTGAGAGCTTAATACATACAAGAAAGCTTTTGTATTATTAAATGAATTCGGTCTAGTTCCAACTGTCCGGTACTGTAAATAAGAATCTAATTTATTCCGTGTTTTTTAATATCCTTTTATGTACAGTACTGTAATAAAAAGGGTCAATAGACTAAGCTGGAAATTTATTTCTGCGAGCCTGTAGAAAACTAGACGTTTTAAGTACAGTCGTAGCTTTCTGTACATGGATAATTAAAAATCTACGCTTGAATTATACCGTACTTGCAGAGGTTTTATACGCCCCTCTTTTTTCTTACAAGTCCTTGACTAATAATAACATAAGGCGTGGAGGATCTACAAAGATTTTAGCCTTCGAACATAAAAATTACGTTAAATAATTTAGTTTAAATAGTGAGGTAAAATTTGTAGCATCAGTAACTTTATTCGTGTATTTTTTAAAATAATTAAATTGTAATAACAATTACAGCTATTGTGATATGACGGTTAATGATGTATAATCGTGCAAGGTGTATGCACATATTGCACATGGTACTGCAAACCATATTAACAAAAAATGAAGAAAAATGCGCTGTACAGTAATTTAACGGACTGATAAATGCTAACTTTGCAAATTCTTTCTCTACTCCATTATCAATCGTAAGTGCATATCTCAATTTGTTCTTTAAGGTGGAAAAATGAAGTGTGATGACGTCCATTACGTGATTAAATAAGTAATTAATAACTACTGCACGAGGTTTATACATACAACAGTAAAATTTACGATAGGTGAAAGATGATAGGTAGAGAACTCGTCTACTGTGCAAATAAGTGTACAGCCAGCACTGAATACAATAGGATCGTTCAGAATTAGCTAAAGTTATGTTTTTAGTCCTCAGCATCGATATTCTAACGACTGCAGTATTAGGCACGATGCCAGCAAAGTATAGTATGCACACTCTAAGCTAACTTTAATTTAATCAGGCTTTCATGATTTGTAGACATCAAGTCGTTAATTCTCTGGACATAAAAATATCTATATATTTAATTAAAACCATGGCTTCTTCTAGTTTTGAAGTGCAGCATAATGCAACATTCAGTACAGCGTAATGATGTGCATTGCTCAATTTTTTTTATTCTAAAAGCCGTCTTGCTTTGGCTAGCAAGTTCATTTTACGACGATTGCAGTTAAGTTGGCGCCGAAACTACAAGTCAGTCGTATGCAAATGTGCTTACAGCTGATTTAGAATAAACAATATCGCGCATCTTAATTAACTTAGCTCCTGCTTTATTAATTGTAATTGCAATCATCATAGCTCGACTTTCCTGGAGTGAGAAATTGCGATTGTAACAGCTTTCAGAATAGAAGAAAATTTAGGCACCTACAGTGTTTGGATACGAATACACCAGAAGTCTGCATGTACAGTACTATTAGGTGGAACGTCTAGTGATAGACTTGTCAAATTTCTCTGTAGTGTGCTGTATTATATTTATTCGAGTGATTTATTACTATTTCATTGTCAAGTCAAAAGCCGGTTTAGGCTACCTTAAGATATTACTGTACTCTCCTTAACTAGGCATATAATTGCGCCATCGTTAAGTCGTAGAACAGTATAAACGTTTCTAGGCAACCCTGTACACTGTACACTCAGTGTACAGTGTACAGGGTGTCTTTACAAGTTGATCAACGGTTAACAGCATGATACTAGACGCAAAGCAGCAAACTGTACAGTACTGTACACTACAGAACTGTACTGTACGCCTGTACTGTACTGTGTATGTCTTTACAAGTACTGAAGGACAGACTGACTGAGACAGCGCAAAGCTCAGAGTCCCCTGTTGGAGGAAAATACTCATGCAAAATGAATAAATTTTAGTACAGCTGCTGCAAGGTGTGCGTTGATCAACGGTTAACAGCATGATAGTAGACGCAAAGCAGCGAAATACTCAACCTTAACATTCAAAATGATTGTAGTTGATATAGATTAATCGTAGTAAGTGATTAATTATACTGTAATTAGTAGTAGTAGAGGGAATCTAGAATGTCGAACAATTGCTACCGTTCATTGCTCAGGCTGCCAGTTGTGAAATATGTAGGCTTTAGTCGTTGTTGCAGCTGGATCATGTCGACCGGTGTAAATCTCCTTCATACAATTAATGATGCTAGCTTAGAATCACCATTTAAGTACGATGAAATTGTAATGGCTGAGCATCGAAAAGGTAGAAAACGACTGTTTCGACTAACTGTGGGAGGCCAATTTGCATCCCCTCTAGGTATCATCCCTTACGCACAAATTGTTGGTACCAATGAAAGGTCTACAAGCTTTACTTCGCATCAAGTACTCTTCTACAGACCTACTCTCGAAGATTACATATTACATATGAAGAGAGGACCTACCGTTACCTATCCTAAGGATGCAGCAGCTATGGTAACTATGATGGATATTGGCTGTGGTAGCAAGGTTCTAGAATCTGGATCTGGATCCGGAGGACTAACTTTATTTCTCTCACGTGCAGGTACGGACAGTAATATAACTAATTAATTACTGTATACTCATAGGAGAGCAGAATTTGCATATTGGAAATAGGTCACTAGAACGAAATAGTTACGGATAAAAAGATATCTTTATAGTCTGCTTGTATAAAATTGGTTTGAAAGGTTAAAGAATGCAGTACGACTTACAAGTATGCTACAGTTTAAAAATAGCACTGAGGTACAATCAATTGTAGTAAACTTCACTATCGTACAGTATAATATAATATAATATCCGTAATTTAACTTTCATTGTACTGTACTGGACCTAGTTGGTAATGAAGGCCGTATCGATAGTTATGAAGTAAGATCTGGTCATTTAGAGATTGCGAGAAAAAACGTGCAAGCATGGAAAGGATCTTGGAATGTTAACCATTTGCAGACATGGCCAGATAATATTTATTTCTTTCATCAAGATGTTATTAAGGCTCTTACAATGCCTACAGATGTTTTCGACGCGGTAAATATCTCATAAAATGCACAGTGCTTATACACAGTATAGTGAAAGATGGCACAATAATTTGCAAGGCTTCTATACATGGCAGCTTGTAGTATTTCTTATCGAGCAGTTACAATGCTTTACCATTATATTATTATTAACAACTTCATACCGTATGTTTGATCTTGTCTAATTTTACACACTTAATTATTGACGTTATTAGGTTGCATTAGACCTACAAGATTTATCGGATGTTCTTCCGTTTGTGTTGAAAGTATTACGGATTGGCAGACCAGTTGTCGCTTACTTGCCTAAGTACGTAAACCCGTTGATACTATTACAAAATTAATAGTAAATAGATTTTGCCGAAAAATTGATAATATATTAATTACAAAACCGTTATTTAGTATCACTCAGGTCATAACAACACTGCAGCGTATTAAGCAGCAATCATTGCCATTTAGTTTGGATAGAGTAGTCGAAGTCTATCATAAATTATGGCACATTGCCCCATCTAAGACACTCAACTTCAGCTCTGGAGCGACCCACTCGGAATCGAATGCAAAGAAAAACGATTATGATTACTACTTAGCTCGACCTTCTCATGCACAGCATCCACACACCGGTATCGAAAATGTCTTTATAAATCCTTTAATATTACTAAATTTTATATCAGAATATTAACTTTTAAGCAGTTGAGGTTATTTATCTTTTAGTCATAAATATAATTTGAAATTAAAATTTTATATTTACATCGTTCTTGATTTTTTTACTTATGTAATCACAAGCCTTCATTATAAAGATGATAAGAATAGAATAGGATTGACTCGTGTAAGTTATTACGATGATTCTAGAGTAATTAGAGTAGCAGTAACTTTTTAATTGGGTAATATACATTGGTATCAACAGTACTACTACTTCTTCGACAGGTGTGCGAATTCGGATACCCTTCACTATCATAATATCTACGATATTTCGAAATTCCTTCTGGACTACTGCTTCTCCATTAGTAATTCTACTTCTTCGACAGGTGTGCGAATTCTAATATCCTTCTCTACCATAATATCTACGATATTTTGAAATTCTTCCGGGAAATAACATACTCCATCCATATAAATATCCTAAATTCAGATTTTACATTATTATTAGTATCAATCACGTAAGGGCATGTTATGATTATTGCAGTAGCACATATCAATGGCATTCTTAACTCCTATCAGTTTTTAAAACTGTATGTTGTACCTTAGCCCATGGACAACTTTGAAGTCCTCGATAAAAGACTGCTTTGGCATTTGCAGCGTTTCCTTGACTCATCTAAATATACCGAATTTGCGTAAATAACAAGAAGCTATTTTATTAAATCTTTTAAATTGAAATTTTCACGTTTCTGATGAAATATCGAATGTACGAATATGGCTTACGAGAAATTTACGGTTTTAACATTACTTACTTCATAACGCATGTAATCTCTCCAAATTGCTATGCAATGTTTAGTCCAAGGACTAACAATTGCACGTTCGTAGATGGATCGCACTCTATGACTAATGCCAGTATCAATGGAGGATAGCCCATCTGACGTTATAGTCGTATTATTAGTTGGATTTAATTGGTTATTAAAGGTATGCAACCTAAATTCTTCTTGCTGCATTGCGATAAGCCATGGTAACGATGATGAACTTCGGCTGATTACATTATCAAAATAACGCCTCATACGTCCCATAACAAACATTTGCGTTTCATTGTTAGCAAAAGTAGATAGAAGATCCAAATTGTATGGGTATCTATTCAGAGCTTCAATGTTAAATTGGCGCTTCGTATTATAAGAACAATATGTGGTATCAGTATGAATTTTGTAGAGAAGTAATTGATTAACGGTTAATTTTTCTAATAGAAAATTCAGTGCTGACATATTTTGTGATAGTTTTAATTGCAAAAATGAATCTTTAATTGATGATATTGTCGATTCGAATACATTAGAAGCAGATTCCAGGTTGTTTATGAGATATTCAAATATTGCATGGCAAAATGTGAGATTAATAATATGTTTACATTTTTCTTCTACACTTGAATTAATATTTTCTGAATTTATAGATGAAAATAAATTATCCCTAATGTTATTCATATACTTTTTACAACGAAGAATTTCAGTTGATGACAACGTAGTGGATGAAATTGATTTTGAAAAATCCTTTGCTTTATCAGCTAGAATGGATATTACATTGAGTACCGTATTTTGGACGTTTTCAGTGATAACAGAGTTTAAGGATTCATCATATAGATTTAATTCCAGTTCTATATAGGCCTTAATAACAGCAGTTAGAAATACCATTGAATTTGTCTTTTTTGACATGTCCAAGACCTGTTCCAGAATTCTTTTCGCCAAGTCAAGGTTGCCTAAGATCATCTCTAATCTAGCATATGCTAGCCAAATCTCGATATTGCTTCTGTTTAATGATTGTCTAAGAAAATTTTTGCAAAATTTTTCGAAGTTCTTATTTTTAACCATTTGCGACTTCTGATGTGTTGGGTTGCTTCTTATTAACCCGTTACAGGTGATTACTTTGCATTTATAAGCAACATAATTTATCCATATCAGTGCTAGCCTTGTGTAATTATGTGCACTAAATAATGATAGCGATTGTGCAAATATATTTGAGATAAATGCTTCCATATCGGTCCATCGTAAAGATTCTGCATTGATGAAGGTCCATCCGTGATAACCTTGCATTTTAAAGCCTGGGCATAGCCGCACTTGATTTACATGAGTATATGTTAGCTGATCGAATCGTAGGTCTTCTTCAAGTGATGATGCCTCGAGTAACATTACCGGCACTCCTAAAAATTGGAGGAATTTAATAATGATTTCTAATTTTAGCGTTTCTGATGCGATGATAAAAAGGCAAGAATTTATGTCATCGAATAAAACTAATCGATCGACGTCTTCACAATCATCTTCGGTTTCTCCTTTCAGTCGGTTCGGCTTCCACGGTAACCATCCTTTACCTCTACGATATTTTTCAAGGTTGTTCCAAGCTTTCCATAATGGTTTGTCCTTTACAACGCTTTCATCATCTTCAGTATCTGAATTAGATATTTCTCCATTTGATTTATCGATAGTGAAATTTGATCCCTAATTTATAACGATCAAAGGAATTAAAGAAAGTAAATTTATCGTAAATAATTAGGTGCATCGTATGCTACGTTTCACATGACATGTTACAGAGTATTAATTTATTGCTCAATCTATCATATAAATGAAGTCAATAATTAAAATACGAGGGATATTAGGTGTAATAACCGTATTACTGACCTTTTCTTCAACACTTTTCATCCATTCATGCCATCCGCTAGCGTTTACTTCTCCAAATCGCGCAATATTACTATCCCAGAAAGTTTCAAAAAAAGCCACTCGTCCTGTTAGGGTCGATGTGTCACAGATTTGATTGGGGCAAAAACAGTTAAATTCTATTAAGGCTTGAAAGCATGCTATTGCTTTTTCAGTGTGACCGACTTGAGCTAGAAAAGAGCATTTTTGAAGGAAAATTTTTATCATTCCTTCCTCAGCATTAGATTCGCAGCCATGCGATACTAAGTTACCCTCCTTTATATTCGACAAGTTATCTAAGCATTGATCATATAAGGAAATCAAACGAGTGGCAGAAAATGAAGAAAATCTAGCTTGGGAATAAAGTAGATAATATCTCCATATTATAGATCGGTTAGGGTAAGTAAAAGTTAGTTTTTTCCATCTTTTTTCCAGCTGGTCATTATCCCAAACTTCGGCACATAATTGCATATGACCCAATATTAATTCCATAGATGTAGGATTTGCTTCGAGTGCTCGCTCATAAATAGCAATTTTTCGTTCTGTTAAAGCCTTTCTCTTAATATTAGCAGTGAATTTATCTGCATAAGTATCCTGAAATTGAATAAATTGTAACCATAATCCAATATTATCGGGATGCTCGCGTAAATCCTTGTTGTAATCATTAGCTAAATTCGATAGATATTCATCCAGGTTGGTAGCTTTAAAAATATGTTGGTCGGCTTCTTTCGCGCCTGTAGTATTAGTTAGAATCGCAATTGTTTGTCTTTAATAAATTTTAACATAATTGCACTTTTATCAATCATCAATTTACGTATAAACTATAAAGCATAAATAAGTATTTGCATTTAGGCTGTTTTATAAGGAGAGACTTATAAACGGTTCGTTATAAAATATAAAATTTTTCATTGTTTGTAATAACTCTACATCGTTACATGAGGCAAACTTATAACCTAGATATAATAATACGAACCTAGGATTTTACGATCCAACGGTATGAAGAGGCTACTGGCTGCAGAATTCTTACACTGATCTTCCTTATTACTTTCCTTAAGGTTTTTGTATAGAATTTCGTTATCGTTGCTACACACCTTACTGACTAATTTGTAATAACGTCGCTGCTGAAGAGGATTAATTACATCTTTTTTCTTTAACCGTTTCTGTCTCCATTTTACTATTCTGTTACGACGAAGCCCTTGGACTTCTACTTTCATAAATTGCCGGTACTCAGGTATGTCTAGTCGATACAGCTTTTGATACCTTACATTATCTAGGTCAGCATGGCGATCAACTCGAAATGCATCTTGCGGCTTTAGATTCGTTTCTTCTATCCATATGGTATTTGGCTTCTCCTTTATTGTACTTTTAAGAGTATCCTTTGAATGCACTTTCTTACGCTTCTTTTTATCGATTTCCTCCAATCCAAAAGTTACGTTGTGTTGTTGTTTTGGTGCCTGAACTATCCCTATAATTTTGTGAATGGGTTGACAGCATTGAGATTTGCATATTAGTAATTTAGAATGTAAACAAGTTAGCAGAACAGATACGTGTTTACACTTAAAATGTGCTATAATTTACTAACAGATCTAAGTTACCGATTATATACTGCAGTGATAGATCGTTCTAAATATAGGCACGATAAAGTGTATATATTATTTTACTAAGACGTCACTTTGAAATTCCAATTAAAGTGATGGGCAGTAAATTTAACAAAATTAGTTCCTACAAAGGCTAAATTAGTAAGGATTCGATTTATAAAGTGTAAAGATATGAATACGTATCACAGGAGTATAATTTTAATTTGATAATTATCACTGACTATTAAAATGGGTATCTTCATAGTCGTCGTAGGAATAAGGATCATAATCTTCCCAAGTGTAGTAATTTGCTTCAGTAACCTGCTGAGGATCGAAGCTTTCATTTCGTAACCAATCTATTTCATTTTCTGTTATTTGCATTGCATTTATTCGAAAAAAGAAATAGATTTAGCATCGTACGTCATTAAATATATAGTTATTATTACATATTATATAAAGAAATGATTCATTTAATGCGCATACTATGGCATAATACTCAACGAGTACTGTATATTCAAGATCAATCAGGATAAAATCGTTAGAAATGATCAAAAGTATCTGATGGACGATCCCCTATTTTTACGTATTGTATTTTAAACCGACTTTATAGCATTAATAAGTCCCTAAATAGGGTAATCGAACTGCGTGAATATAGTTTACTGTGCAAAACTTCAGTTATAATGCAGACAGATAACAGCAGATAAATAGACGCTTTCACGTAGTATAATCGACTATAAATCAATAGTATTGATGAAACTTTATCTTCGAGTACGGTAATATTTTATTTTAGCTACTACATATGCTATATATGCAATATTATATGATAGCGTAAGGTATCAAAAGCGAGATACTGTATTGAAAATTTCCAATATAATATAATTTTTTATGCTTCGACACTGATTGCTAGAGCCATTGTTGAATGGCATACAAGTAGCTGGTTGACTGTTAACTTCATGTAATAAACAAGCAAACGAAGTTCTGAACTAAGGGCTTGCTTTCACAGTTATGCATTATGACTGATACAGTAAATGACAGCACTAAAAATGGGTCCAAATCTAGCAGTTAAGTGCATATAAATCACACAGAATATATAACGGAAATCAATCATTTTCTACTATAACCGATTTTGTTAACACCAGAAATCATGTCAGCAATCTTGCAAGCAAGGAGTTACAGGGAGCACATTACCGTATTCCGTAATAAATACATTTAATACATATACGTGTTAATAGACCTCGATGGGATAACTCCTCGGCCTCTTGTTGGTAATCATGACTTTGCGTTAGAATAGGAAAGAGAGGCGTTGTATTTTGTCGATTGGAAGTAGGAGAAGTTTGCATCTCTTACCAGGAAAATCTTGACGAATGTTGAAGGAATGAAAGTATGAAACAGTGCTCGGTAAGGATTTGTACGAGTATACGGACGGATAAGACTTGCCTACAGTATCTAGTACTGTACCATGACTCCTAGCCATGCTCCAGCTCGAATATTACATACTGTTACTGCACTGTATAGTGTACAGTACTGCATGATACACTGTACTCTCAGTACACTACTACTACGCTACAGTATACAGTACAATCTACCATAGACTGGATTCAAAAACCAAAACAAGTAAAACTCCAACAGCTTCACGATTTCGTCTACATCAGTGGCAGTCTCCCGATACAAATTCCGAAGGAATTTTATTTACTAAAAGTTAACTATCGCCGTTTCAAATACCGATCTAAAGCCACTTTTAAAATGACAAAAAATAGCGTTGGATCAGTAATTTAAAACGGGAATAGGCCACTTTTAGCAAATTGAATTCCTTCAGAATTCATATCAAGAGACTGCTACTAATACAGCATACGCGTACACGAATCTGTGAAGCTGTTGGGAAATGTTGAATTTTGAAGTTTATTTTTGAATATAGTCTACAGTAGTCTATTTTTGGATTGTACTATTACTATATCATCATACACGTACAGTACGATATGTTACATAAGCGAATTTCTCTGCTGTGAATCTACTGTACTAGGTCTGTCTACTAATGTAGACAAATCAACGGGTCCAGAACTCGCTTTAAATAATAGCTTCCAGTAAAGGCCCTAAACTACAGTTACTAAGCACTGGTAATATTTACTAAAGGGATTTGCACTATCGCCTTTCGATTCCTGTATACTGTATAGTCAGTCAGTCACTTGAGGTATGCACTTAAAAAGACTGGAATAGACGAATCCAAAACAATTTCGGCTATATGATAGTCTTTAAATGCAAGACCTCCATTATTCACACCCTTCATTGAAGTCTGATTGCCTTATATAACTAGAGTAGTTATAAATTCTGACTGAACGGTAAAAATTAGTCACAGATGAAATAGCAAATACTACATCTTTTCGAATTTAAAGTTATAGACTGCAATCCCTTTGTTGTTTTAGTTCCAGCAGAAGAATGGAAATCTGGGATACTACAGTAGATATACAGATGATGCACCGTATTTACTCCTTATCATATACTATCGAGGCTGCAAGATTCCACTATGAATATAAAATCTGCACATTAAATGCACATAGTATATCGATCTTTACATAGCAAGGCAATAAAGTGTTCTACTCGAATGCACATAGGTAGTGACCCTTACTTTATACCATCACTTGCAAATGATACATTAGTTTAAGCTTATAGATCAAAGAGCTTTATCATAAGCAAAAATACGTCAATAAATAAATATGTTATCTATTAAGCAATTCTAGTGCAATAAAACCAGATCCAAACGCAATGGTAGTATTGTAACCCGAATAAATTAAATTAATCAATTAGCAATTTTTTGATAACATTAAAAATTTGCAATATTTGTTCTGTATCATTAAATATCATTGCATTTCATTTCCTGCATAATTATCTAGATTCATGTAGGAATTACTACATAAAATACGCAGACAGAATTTTACATAATTAGTAATAATAGTCATAATCCAGTACTGATACGGTAAATTGAAATCATTAACATCATCGGCATTTATGTGATTTTTTCTAACTTTAGTAACTGTAACAAATGCTGTTAATATCATACTGCCTTTAAACTATAGCAGTACAGCAAGATCTTTAATCAGTGCCTTTTTATTCCCAAAATAAACTATAAATAGATGATTATTTTAATATTATCATGGTGTGCAAAAAATGATTGACGCAATAACTTAAAATATACTTCATTTTAGAATAAATTTAATTTTTATAACCGATGACCCAATTCCTGTATACTTAAAAGAAATAGCTACTATTTGCATAAAATATATTATAATTTTTGGAATTGATATGTTGAAGGTTTGTAGTGCTATAAATGACACTAATCACTCAATCGCAGTTAACATTTCTTACACATTCTTGCGATAGTCGGTGGTAACAGATAAATATTTTAAGAAGGATTACAAAACCCAAGATCTATAACAAGTCCTTTGCCTTTATAACTAATCTATAACATAGAACGGAAACAATTTTTACAGGACTTAAGGTTAACAGATAAGTTTATAAAGGTATGTTACCTCCTATAGCTTTATCTTCTTCAGTAGTAGTAGTAGATGCATAATTAATATCTGCAATTACTTTATCCATTTCTTTTTCAAAGTCATCAGGAGATCGTGATAGCTCTAAAAATTAGATATTCATGTAATTATACTTTTCATAAAAATTTTTACATAACATGAACCAAAAAAGCGTTAAAGGAATCTCTTACGATCTTCATCTCCTTCTATATCATCCTCATCATCAGAATTATCATGTAACATTCGTAGGCGATTCTTTCGACTATAATCACCCTCAGCATTTAATTCACTGTAATCATCGGACTTTTCATCAGAATCTGTTACTGTTAATACGTTAAGTATACATTTAAGAAGTTCAAAGAAATCCACATATCACCCAAGAAGATTATATTACCAAGGAAATAACTAAAACGAAAATATTTTCACTTATTAACATCAGTAAAACTTACCTTCATTATTATTGCTGTTGTCATTCATTTTTTCAGAAGCTAGTTGATGGGTAATAGCTTCAAATTCAAACTCTCCTTTGAATTGAGGGTTTTCGGGCGAAATAAATCTGGGAGAATCTAGACTTGAATGGGTGGGCAATTTTTCAAAATGGGGCGTCGGATCTTCTTTATCGCTATCAATACTACTTGTCTGCTTTTCGAGTATTTCGTACTCTCTTCTTCTTGCCTTCATTTTATTTCTTTGACAGTATGAATAAATGTCTGCTAATAGTCTTTGCTGCATTACTTCGTGCCCCTATCAGTATATTGCTATGGTTAGTGTCTACTGTAACATTTTTATATTATACAATGTCTATAAGCGATTCACTAGTTAACAACCGGCTCTTTCTTCGGATCTTTATCAATATCAAGTCTCGTTAGTGATTCGTTGATTTTTAGACTAAGAGATAAGGCTAATAATCCTCCAGCTCTTATATCATTTTCTCTAAGGTCCAGTCTGATTAGTCTTTTATTATCAGCGATAACTTCAGCAATAGGTACAACACCTATTTAGAATAAGTTACCCATAAATTTTTATAGAATACTGGATCTCAAAAATTTGTAAATAGCTATATTATAAGAGTAGCGTTACAAATACCTTGACAAGTAATTTTTGCTGACATTAATCCCAATCGTAATAAGGATCGGTTTTTAAGCAAGCCTGTCCTGATTATATGTATACCCTCGTTTGTAATTCGATTGCAACCAAGGTTTAATGTTTCTAGATGTTTCATTTCAGGCTATTCAACAAAAAATAATTCTTACATAATTTCAATGATCAATTATTAAATATGAAGGAATTTAATAAATAAGATTGTACCAGTGATCTAGCGAGATGTTTCATTCCTAAATGAGTTATTTGATTATTCCACAATACTATAGTTGCAAGACCTCCAGTACGTGGTTGCTCAGCTAACCCCTGGCATAGATGAGCTAGACCGACATCCTTCAAAATTTTAATGATAACTTTAAATCATAATTTACACTTACTCGTAGTCGTAACAGCTTAAGCATTACTCTATTTTACGAGATTTTATTAACTTTGCCTTTACCTGAATAATATTATTTCGTAGATCAAGTAATGAAAGGGTAGAATTATATCTTAACATGTTCGCCAGAGGCACAGCGTCTGCTGATACTAGTTTGTTATCTCCGATAAATAGGTCTCTTAATGCTTCATTTAGTTTTAAGGCCGACGCTTGTTAGAGATAATTAAAATAAAAGAGTCTGATTTATGTCCTATTAATATGAAAATAAAACATCTAGATAAGTGTTTGACATACCTAAAAGGAACAGCGGCCGGCCGCTAACATGGGTATTTTCCATATGTAGGGTAGATAGACAAGATTTTGCCCTTATCGTTCTAGCAAGTAGTGGTATACTTTGCTCGGTCCACGTTGTATTGCGCATATCAAAGTACTCTATACTAGTCTACCATTTAAATGATCGAGAAGTATGTTTAGTGTTAATAGTTCAGTAGCAATGTATTAGTATTACGGGAAAGACTAGTAATATAGCAACCAAACTTTTTCTTACATATGAATGTAATGTTTAATTTTGTATTAAACATACCTTTTTGATCATTCTAGAAGCAGCATGCCATCCTCGTAATCTGATTTTCGGGTTATAACCACAGCTCAATCTCATTGTGCTGTGATAGTACTCAAACATTTCAAATAAAGCTATTGCACCCTATGAGAGCAATCACAGATTGAAAAAAAATTGTAGAAAAAGTGCGATAAATATTAAGGAATAAATGTCTATCATACTTTAGAAAAATATTAAATATTATAATAGTACAGAATAAATTTATACCCAATACCGACATTAGAGATCAAAACTAATAAATGTCACTAAAAAAAGTATCCAAGTGAACTAGTTGATTATGTGAAAGAAATTTTACGATTAGAATATGTTGAAGCCAATTGATATTCAAACTTGAATGTAAAAAGCGTTGCTCACGGTATCAAGTAAATGAACTGTAAATTAAGAAATGTTGCTCTATAGTGTATCGTTATCGTATGAAGTCATGACTCTTTCCACTATTATTAAGTGTTGGAAAAGCGTTTAAGTAGACAAAACATGGACATGTTCTATTCTAAAGAAAAGTTAAAATACAAAATACACACATGGTAAGTGCATAAAAGATTATTGCACTGTCTAGATGCGTAGCATGAGCACTGTATCATAATTTAGTAACACATGCTATAAAGATGGATAGGTACCGAGACTGTGAATGTGAAGAGAAAGCGATTATACATTATCTGGCGATGATATGTCTCACCTCGTCGTCTAAACTGGTATTCTCAATATCGATAGTGATCCATCTCGCTCTTTTGAAAATTTCTTCTAGTGTTTCGCACGTTTTGTTGTCTGCTAATCTAGCATCTATAAAAAAATGGCATTAAAATTAGTTTAGTACTGTACGACTGCAGCAGTATGGGATAATTGTAATGATACGACAAAAATGATAAATATATCTTTGAAATTGAAAGATGTAATTTACTTTCGTCTTAATCACATACCTTTTAAATTCAGGTAAGCCTGTGGTTCATCAAAGTCAGTAATATTCTTATGAAAAAATATCGGGAAATGGTTATTATATGAAATGTTGATAGTTCGATTGCAAATTCATTTGTTAGGTATATCATACACATTTATAATACCTCTAGTTGCTGTATCAATTTCTCTATGGGTTTAACTCTTAATTTAGCACAACTTTGTCGGTAAGCTGATATCATCTCGCTGGCGGTTGTAGCAGAAGCTATAAATAAAATGTAACTAGATCAGATACAAACTCGTATAATTTTAACTAGACCTTGCTTCTTTAATTGCAACTGTCTTCCTGTATTAAGTAGACAATAAGCATAATGACAAAATAACTTTAATGCTACATATATTATATGATACTGCACCCCATTAACCTATTATTAAAATCAAATTTAGTTTCATAATTATTTTAAGCTTCAAAGTGTAGAGAGGATATACTTATTATGAGTGCAATAGGCATAACTAAAATGTTATGTGAAACTTCACACAGCACAAATTAAATGATAAACTATTTAAGAAATCAAATCTAGTTTCAGGGGTATTTAAAGCTCCATGATGTGGAGAAATTTTCTTTACTTTACATCAACAAGCATAAAATAGATGTTGTTTGTGACCAGAATTAACTTCAGATTGGTAAATGTCAAAAAAACTAAGTTAGATTTCAGTAAATACAGTATGATTGCGATGCTATAGTATTTAGTAAAGAATAAAATAAAAGTGTGACAACTTTATTCTATTCAGGGACTACAGTACTACCCCCAGAAACTCCTAGAAGTCCCTGACTACCCCCCCAAAAAAAACTCTAAAAATGAATTAACCGATATCTTTGATCCACGCCAGATTTACTCAGATATGTACAGTACAGTAATAGAAACTCTTAACGGCCATTGCTAGTATAATCAGTTTTGATAAAATATTATGTTCCATATCCACCTTATTTATTGCTATGAAATCGGAAGTAAAATCTTGGATAACCTACAGGTGATTGCTGGAGGTTGATATATTTAGGTTCGATGATGATAATGTTACTCTTAATGATGATATTGTGTTCATCAGTGTATTTTTAATTTATTGTATAGCTAGGACTTATTTCAACAGCTAGTAATAAATGTAGCTTCATCTTATACTGTACTGCAGTAGCTGGTATGAACTGTTAATAGAATATATCTATCTGGCTCTAGATAATTTACACGAACCTGATATAATGAATCATAATTAATTATTGCTAAAAGGTTGGTAACAAAAAGTGTATATTGTATAATACTTTTTGACACTGTATGACAGCACTGGATGTAAACTTGTAGAATAACTGTTGTATGCCGTTGTACAGCACGATGGTATTTATAATAAATACATCAAAATATATCATATTATTACGAATCGATAAGATTTTATTATCCGTTACATGTTTGTTTGGATAAATACGAATTCATCTGTTGAGTTATTATTAATATGGCACTTCAGTAGTCAGTCTATGCAGTAATCTGTTTTCCACAGTAGAGAGCAACTGCTAACTTTTACCTCTAAATGTACAGTACAATACTGGAAAGTTCACACATGGTCATGAAAATTTTTTTTTGACTACTAGCTACTTTAATTTCATCATTTAAAAAGTAACAAATTCACTATACTTAACTCTGGTAGAAAATGTACTAGTGTGAGTTTTTACATAGCCAGAATTTTATTTTTAGCTGAGATCAAATTATAGCAATTTTAAAAATTCGACCAGGCATTTTGCATTAACGTGCACAGTTTAGCAAGTTCACTAAAGTCAATCATTGCTGACTGCCGATTGTGCTATTGGATGTATGATCCTTGAATTTAAAATCAGTCATGATTTTATTAATATTTTTTTAAATATATCATAGATATTGTCAGCCAATGTACTGTACTGAGCATTCACAGTGATTACATGTAATACACTCAATTGTAGTCATGATAAATTATTAATTAATTAACATCTGCGGTTTTATACTTTTATTAATCTTACAGTATGGTACCGTAAAATGTACGGGGTGAGATATACTCGAAAAAGCTGTGGGAAATCATACAAGTACAGTATATGATTTACTGAGAACGTGGGCTTCTAAACATTCAAATACCTTGAATAAGTTCTAGGATAATTATGACATGGTTTACATTCGATATGCTTTAATAAAAGAGGACGTATCTAACTTGCAGTGTTGAGCGAGTGTTGATCAGTTTTTTTTAAGACAAATTATAATACTGTGGTTTGACCACTACTAAGATTAGCTTAATAAAAGGTGGCTAAATCTTACTACACATTCTGGATTAACGATTTTTTTTAATCTACTATATACCTAGAGTTGGAAAGTGTATTATAAATTACTGACATACGAATTCGTTACAGCATTTTTGGTGGTAGTATAGTTATATTTTATCACTTATTAGAAAGCACTCTTTAGTTTATGTTTTTGTTAGTTGTGAAAGATGTCTTGAACTTGAAAGAGCGTTCCGATTGTTTTCGATTCAAAGTACTGTAAAGGCTAATGATAGTGCCATTTAAAGTATACAGTCCATTCAGTACATGATAAAACTAACTAATAACAAAGTTACCAACTGTACTCTCTATATTGTGTACAATTCTAAAGACTTTTACCGAATTCGTATGAAGTAAATAAATCAGTGCATGTTAACTCGGTTAAATCAAGGACAATTTGAATTAGAGAGCTGTTCAACTGGTAACAGAATGGGGTTCTACTGGAAGTAAAAGCAATCGAGAATGATAGAGCAGCAATAAAGCGTATGTTCCATTAATTTCAACTTGTACGTATCAGAAATAAAAGAAACTGGAGTGAAAACAGATACTGTACATCCATGGTTTTATCATATCGAAGAAGCCATATGAATACTATTTGAATAAAAAGGCACTTGATACGTATGGTATACTATATAGTATCGGTGTAATGTGGCAAAGTTTGTTTTAGAGATTGGTTAGCAATAAATAAAGATGATGATGATGAGATGAAGATTAATACTAGTCGATGATGCTTACTTTTATTTTTGAATTGAACTATTCTACTAGTTTAATATCAAGTTCTATTGTACTCCTTTCGATTTACCTGCAATCAAAGGATCCTTCACTTCAGCAACACCAGAAACTAAATTTTCATCGGAAAATTTGACAATCTTCTTGCCGCTTCCACTTGATAACGATTCATCGTCATTGTTATATTGTTGTGGATGTGAATGATGAGAGTTATCTTGAATAGTAGGAGCATTAGCGTCCTGTTGATCATCAGCAAGATCTGTAGTGCTCTCTTTAGGTTGAAGATCTTCACTGACATTAGCCTCTATCTTTTCTTCCACCAAGGAGGCATGTTGTCCTTTGACATCGTTAATACTGATATCGACACTACCCTCTTCTTGTAGCTCTGCTGATTTATCGCTTAGCACATGTGTATCAATTGCCAACTGATCGTCGTTACTCATTCTTGGTAAATAGTATATCTAAACCACGACGGAAAGGTAGCTCAAGTTGATACACAAATCAGGCTACCTTGTCTAACTAAAGGGGAAATTTTGAAGCAATAGAAGATACAAATTAACGATTCGCTAGATATCTAATTTATTTTCGATCTTATAGTAATTATCATCAATGTTTATTATGATGAATTGATCAATATGATCGTGATTGAGACAGACCAGTACAGTACGGTGGCAAAATGGAAAGTACTGTACACTGTAGACTGTACTCTATCACTCGGGCTCTCTGTGTACTGTACAAGTGTATAGGACAGTACAGTACGTCCACTACAGTACAGTGCTGTGTCAACAGCTTGAGCAATACGACTAACACGAAGTGAGCTAAAAATTGAAGATGGCCAAGGATGATTCTATGCAGTACTGTAATTATTATGGCGGCAGATAGAGGAGTTATTTATTGCACAGTACAGCAATAAGGTCGTGAAATATAGCCATCTAAATCTTCTTCGATACTTCAGCTGTGAGCTATGGTAAAAAACTATGTGAAAATAGATACCATATGAAATGGTAGACTGTCATCTGCAGTGAACAACTACAGTACTGCACAGTTGCTACCGGTGTACAAGTGCAGTAGTACTAGTACACTACTAGAGTACTGGTACAGTACAGTATGTCATTTTTCACAGCCACAGGCTCCCAACTGGTGATACCGACCGTGTCACACACACACACTTACCACTGACTTTACCAGTCATATGGTTACTATCAACTTGATGGTCTCCAGGAAAGTCCGTCTGCACGTCTGTACCGCACCCTGCCGAGTCACTTGTACTAGTACACTACTAGTACTGCACAGTATGTCATTTTTCACAGCCACAGGCTCCCAACTGGTGATACCGACCGTGTCACACACACACACTTACCACTGACTTTACCAGTCATATGGTTACTATCAACTTGATCGTCTCCAGGAAAGTCCGTCTATACGTCTGTATCGAATCCTGCCGAGTCACTTGTACTGCACAGTATGTCATTTTTCACAGCCACAGGCTCACAGCTAGTGATACCGACCGTGTCACACACACACTTACCACTGACTTTACCAGTCATATGGTTACTATCAACTTGATCGTCTCCAGGAAAATCCGTCTATACGTCTGTATCGAATCCTGCCGAGTCACTTGTACTGCACAGTATGTCATTTTTCACAGCCACAGGCAAAGTCACAGCTAGTGATACCGACCGTGTCACACACACACACTTACCACTGACTTTACCAGTCATATGGTTATTATCAACTTGATCGTCTCCAGGAAAGTCCGTCTATACGTCTGTACCGCATCCTGCCGAGTAGTGTACAAGTGTACACTGTACAGTACGGTATTTACCGTTCGTTGCTTCTTCCTCCGCAGCTGTGCCCTGCCAGCTCTTCTAAATCTACAGAGATTAACTACTAGACTGTTGTTTAGTTTGGCTTAATTTGAACTGGAATTATTTTAAGGGATTGAATTCATCATCCAATCATGTTTTACAAGTATAACTCTTTTTCTCATCGGTTACAGCCTACTGAACCTCTTCAAGCTTACAAACCTGAAGTATGTAAGATATTGATCAATTAATTAGAATATTATACTACAGTACTGCACATAGGGGCGGAAAGCTTGGACACATTCTACTGTACGTACATGACTGTGGACTATATGTAGGCCCTTGTCCACTTCCCAAAATGGCGTGCTTGGATAGATTTACGCCAGCAGACTTGAATAAAGGCAAATTTTAATTTATATTCCAAATCAATTCAGCCTTTATTCACTTATGTAACTGTAGTCGTTTGAATAAAATAGGTTATTGTACCGTTTTGATTGTACTGTACAGTACTGTAATTTTTAAGCGATTAGGAGAGCTTCGCTAATAGCGTTGACCGATAGTTCAACTGTTTCAGTAGCTACTGTAACTGTATTTTATGATTTACCAAGCGATCTAATCCACAAAACAGAATCTTTTTGATAGTGTTACTAATGCAATTGCTTATTTAAGTATTGAAGTTATATCAATTTTCACTATAATTCTCATATACGCATATGAAAAGTTATTGTATTATTCTATTATACCTAATACATACATATGGCAAAATTGGGGATCGCAATATCTTCCTATACTTATGAATTCTTCTTATTTTTGAAAGGGTTTATCCAATGTCTTGCGTAAAGCACCAGAGATTCAATTTTCAGGAGCAGGCAAAGGCTATAACTTTATTACTTCCATGGTCTATAGGCCGAATATGACGCCATTATTTCAAAGAATAATGCAGGCAAGCTTTCTCCAACTTTTATAAGTAACTTCGCAATCATCTATTGTATGAACAACTTACTATGCAAAAAATGTTTGATACCCCAATTGTCCACTGTGCGATCGATTTTACGTAATTAGTGATAATAGGTTAGCTATGCTCTAAGTTTGGGCTATTAACATGCACGAATAAATGTTTTAACCTAGCAAATTTACTAAATTTATTTATACGCGTATCATCACACCAGTCGGTAGTTTGCTGTGGAAGAGGACGAATTAAAAATTACGACTATTATAACTTTAATGAGTAAAAGTAACTGCTCCAAAGTAATATAATATCAAAATTTCATGAAAAAATATTTCATATAGTATGTGCACTTTATCCAGCTTAATGTTAAGCCTTAACTTTAAGCAGCGATACTGCATTCTTAAACGTTTGTTTACCGTCATTACCGATTAATATCAAATATTTCACATTCACTATACAGTATGCAGTTATAATCGGCTAGATTACTCTACAACGAACCCTCGAGATAGATTTCTTTACATCAGAAATAAGGTTACAAAGTTGGCAAGTTCTCTTTACTCTCTTCCTTAAATATTTCGCAGGCCAATAATAATCAGATGGTCTATCTAATGCGTGGAACCAGAGATAAAGTGATATATCGCGGATCATTGGCCTTTGCTTTCCTCGCTTTTGGTCTTGGTCTAATAAATATTGGATTGGTAGCAATAAACAAAAAGAAACGTGTGCAAAGATCTTAAGCCTTAATGGTGGCGTATAATGTATTTCTGTAATAAAAACATGATAGATCTTGCCTAGTCTTTGACTATGACTCATTTCAAAAATTTTTAGTTTTTACGTACATATATATGTTTGATATGATCCCACAGTATTATCGTGCCAATATTGTAATGCCAATTTCTTGTACTTTCCGCTGCGTAATTCTATTATACTGTACAAGCAACACATCTGCCGTGAAAACATACCGCTGAAAAGCTCCTTCTCAAGTATCGCTGCCAACGTATCTGGAAAAGATTGCAGCTAAATGTTGATTTATTATGAGCTAGAAAATAATAAATTACAAATTCATACTATGATCATGAAAATGTAGAGGGTCGATATGCGTAATTCGATATATCTGATAAATTTTAATTTGTAATAACGTTAAATATGGATTATGTTGTATTTAAAAGAAACATTGCGGTACTGCATTTCAAAAGTTAGATTAAATGAATCGGTGCTGTATAGGAATTAATTTCTCAGTACAGTAGAATACAGCATAACTGCTATTCTGTAAATTTTTGGGGCAAAGTTTCTAAAGAATGTCGTATTTTGTAGCAGAATATGAAAGAGCTAGTACCGATACTGGTAATAATATACATCTAGTATTGGAACATGCTGTAGTTTAAAAGATTTATACGGTGTATTTATACTAGTGCTGAGGCAGAGTTACGAAAAATTTATTATACTTACGGTCTGTGTGCTGCATAAAATACCGTAAGTTATGCATAATTTCTGTAAAAAGTATTGTTTACACAGTTTTAAAACAATATCAAGTTTGGTACTACCATCATTAACTCAAACTTTTTATTACCTACAGTATTTTGAATTAAAAATTTCATTAAATGATAGCTCCTTAAGGAATATAATTAACTCCTATGCCTTGGACTAAAGTAATAGCGCAATAGTTGCCGTACAACACGTAGGAAGCAACCATCTTTACTCCTTAGCGCGGAGTATTCGATAGTTGTACATAGCATGCGAAACCATTTTGATATGTGGCCAGTTAATAAAGATATTGGCATTGCCTTTGAAATATAGCAACGATTCAAATTCATTTATATTGCCATAGAATTTTATTAAAAATAGAATGATATAAATAACTATATATGCGTATACTGTACATTCTTAGAAATTTTGAAAAACCTATTTGCAACACGTATTGTAAATAATTGTCAGTCGTTGCAATATATTGAGAAGCGTGTTCACTTATTAGGCAGGGTGATGTTGTTTTAATTTGCCTATCTACAATAATTAGTTGTATATTTAAGTTAATAAATAAATACAATTTCTTATAAAGACCAGAAAGTACAGCAAAGAGAAAAGTGTTAGGCGTAATAAGATAGCTTTCTGACTATGTTGTTAAACTTAAGGCATTACCTTAATAAGCGTACATACATAACTTGATATAATCATGATCTTAAAATGTATCTTTCCCTTTACGTTAGAAAAGTTACAAAATAGAATTAAATGAGAGTGTTACAGGGATCAGTACCATGGCCGTGTGCAGGTAACATTAACGCAAACAAATAAAAAACAAAATCGAAATAATCGATATCATGAATACTAGCTATAATGGAAAATAAGAGGTTATCAGAGATCTGCACATTGGACATGTTTGAACTTGCAGTAAACATCTCTGGCACAAACAGCTATGCCGACATGGCAATAAGACGCTTGTAATTGCCTGTGTTTGACAGACTACACATACATTATTTAATTCTTCATTTTCAATGGTATTATCAGTTGAAATAAGGTCAGATTCGGTTTGCAAAGATTCATTTTCTTGATCTACAGCAAAAATTTTCTATAAACATAACAAGGACATAAGATTTTATCTTTAAAATTTCATAAATCTATTTGGAAGTATCTTTTGACGTTAAGCTTTTAAATGGCAGTATTAAGTACAGGTAATGTTAGAAGTAATTAAGGTTTCAATATCAAATCTACTATACTAAAGTACAGTAGTTTTCCATCCAAAATCAAACTTTATAAAAGTATTTTAGCTAAACCTGAAGTTGATATATGTGGCCATCAATTGTTAATACTGATTTTTGTAGAATTTCACAATTTTGCTTAAAGAACTCGTCAGGTAGATGAATTACCATAATGAGCGCGATCTGCAAATAGAAGATGAGGATCAAATGTTATTAACATAGGCTGTCTTCAAAAGTGAGTAACTGACGATGCAGAATCTACAGCAACGGTATGGCAACGAAGTATGCAGTACTAGAGTTTAGCAATTCTAGTGCACAGTTATAAAGAAATTTAATGGTAGCACTATAAGCAGTAAAAATAAATTATAATGCTAAAGTTTTAAAAACTTTGGTGATTCTATAAATGATGCAACTATATAGCACTAATAGTGCAAGAGATCTCTAATACAAGATGCAAGGCTATTGTCTGTATTTTCAGTCTGCACTACAGCCTTTATCCTTTAGTGTAGTTTACCGTATTGTTAAGCAGAAATTAGTAGTTATTATGAACAATTAACCGTGGAGGGATAATTTGGAGTACCAACTCATCCTTGCAGCTAGAAATCAGAGGGACTAGTAGTTAGATTACTTAGATATAGCCAGATTATGTCCGAAGGGTTTCCGCATTCAAGAAGTAGTCAGTAATTCGTTAATGAGTAGCAAAAATTTATTCTTCTGTAATACTAAAATTGGGTGTAACTGAGATTGCATCCAGCCCTTGAATTGATAGAATTGATTCAAGTTTGTGACAGATAATTTTAAGATACTGTAAGGAATGTCTGTCTAATGCAAACTTTTGTTTAGGATAATCTTACGAATAAAATCTTATACATGACATTTTAGAGGTATTTAGGTAAGACATGGATGTTGACGTAGTATTCTGAATAAACTTACAACATATTTATCTTCTAAAACATCGACCCTCTCTTCTTCTATGATAATTACTAACGGATACGAACTTCTCGGTAAAGAACCCAGAGATATCCGTTGATTATGTAATAATTTACAATTTACAATGTTCGGCTTGCATTCTTCGATTCTGAAATATAGCCATAAAACAAGGTAATATAATTAATATTTCAATTTATACAGTAGCATACTACACTGTATTTCTCTAAACTTGTATTGTTGGTTTAGAATATTCTCTAATTACAAGCTCTCGTAGAATGGAATATAATGAAAACTTTATTATCGACAACCTAGAGCAAAGATTTAGTACTTATACGTCGTAAACTTCGTAATACAGTAATTATAATTATTAGGTATTCAACAGCTAAACAAACGCGTGCAATGCAAGTACTGTCATCTTTAGAAAGTCGAGCTATTATAAATAATCTCAAGACATTATAAGCACATAGTTGAGTAATTGTAATTATTAATACTTGAATTGCTAACAGTTGTTAGTTGTTATAATGATAGCTAGTTAACTACCTACAGATAAGTATTTCATTAAGATCTTTGTAATTTTAATCTTAAGTGATCCATAAACAAACCGTGAAAAATGAACAGTAAAGATATAGTTATCTACGTATGTAAGTTGCACGGAACTGAGTCGATTCACCTTATGGAATGGCTATTAACTTCAGAAATACTAGCAAAGGCATCACTCAGCAACCGTCTCTTCCATCCTGTCTTACGAATACGCTCTTGAATATCACTGATTATACGATACGTTTGATCGATTTTGACTCCCCAAAAGCTGTTGAACAAACCGACAGTTTTACTCCTTACTTCCAGTTCAATTCCATCTATCCATAGAACATTTGATGTAAAGTAAATTAGCATTTAAAGCAATCCTTACTAACTTACCGTAGCTATATATTACTTATGTCTGTTGCATAAAAATACTTACTCTCCGTAGATGCCGCTTGTTGATTTAAAATCGAGACAGAAAATGGATTCGAAACTCGACTAACTTGGATAGGTCTAGCCAACAACTTGTAGGGATTATTATTTTGGTTGGTTACTGTAAATCCTCCCACTAGCCGAGTCAAGTAGCACGATATAACAATACAACACATAAATATTACTGCAATAGTATAATCTAAACCTTCATTCACTTCATTATTCATATTGGTAATGCCTGAAACTCCATTAGATCTCTTCCATAACCTAGCTATCCAAGGGATGAACAGTATTTATAGCAACTTAACTACGAGGAATCAGTTTGAGCGATATGGTGCATAATGCAGCTTTCAGTACTGTACCTCTTACTAGAGTACTAACAACTGATGAAATCATCACAGTACGGTACGGTACCCTAGTGATTGTTATTACTGTAGTAGAAGCTCGACAGTATCCTACTTTTGCATTCATTGCATGCCTGGAGCTCACCGGACACCAAATATAAGTTGTAATATACTATTAATTACTAAATGATTAGAAGTTAAGACTACGAATACAAGGCGACTAGCTCATCAAGATTAAAGTTAGTCATTTTCTATCTGGTTAAATGTCATATCAAAACAGTCTTTTTGGTAATTGTCCGTTGCTTATCCCGCAAAATGATGATCTCACTTGTTACGAAGGCTTTATAACAGTGCAGGTATGCCTGCTCAGAATTCACAAAGAGCAATATTATAACTGCAATAAAACTGACTAAGGTAGACTAAAATAGTAGCAGTCATTTAAACTGTAGGATGCATATTATAATAATAAATTACAACTACAGTAGATAATAATTTATTATCCAGTATCATATCATAGCTTCGTGTTATAATATGTTTACCATAATGGTCCGGTAAATATAATTATAGTATTCTGATCTTAATTTTGACTGCGCACGTATCTTGTTTTTTACCCTTCGACTACTTTAGGAATTCACTGCAGTACAGCTTAAACAGTGTAGCATTTATTTAGTATAAAATAAATGCATGCATTATTATGTAGACGCTTATTGATCCTACAGGCATGTTCATATTCTTTGGCGATATCTATTAAAATGAATAAATCATTCGTACTGGAATTGAGCTAATTGCTTTAGCAGCTTGTTGTAAATCAATGCAGTTAGAGACACTTTTACTGTTGATTACAGTATATTATAGAATCTAATAAATATATCATGAATATTGGAATTTTCGATATAATACTTCTCATATTTTTTCTCAAATCGTTAGGAGGATGAATTCAAAATGCGTATTGCATTACCAGAATCTGGGTTACTATCCCAAGCGAAGTTAGTTTAATATATGGCTGTATTTTGTGTGTCCATATATTAGTATTAGCATGAACTGTTGGATTTGCAGATAATGCAGATATCACGGTCTATTTTTTTCCCCAGAAGAGAACTTAGCTTCACTCGCTGCAATACCATTTTTAAATGTACAGTACGCTATCCCACTTATTGGATATACTGGAGCTCTACACTATAAATAATAGTATAATTTAAACTTTTCAAATATTTTACGGTGTTATTCCTAGCGGATCATTCCATGCATTTATAAATCAAATTTTGTGCCTGTAGCGAAACTGTTTCTAATTTCTGGCATGCACCTTGTAAATAAAACACTCTGCCCTGTTGTTCTTACAAATGTTGCTTACTAATTTCTAAAAATATATTTATACGAGTATATATCCATATCATTAACTACATACAGAATTGAATGCGATTGGAAATTAAAGAACATTCTTTCCAACTATAAGCAAGTTATACAGCAAGTGAGTGGCGGCTATTTAACATTATATGAGTATAGATAATACCTTTTATACTATGCTGCATATTGTTTGAAAAGTAATGTAGTGATTTAATGAAAGATTCATACAGCTAATGTGACTTACAATGCAAATAATAGTCTTCTTGAATTACATGATGACCTTGTTGATAAAAGTTATTAATTTAGCTTGCTGTTGGATCTTAATTGCAATAACTTAAAATTTGTGCTCCCTTTAGAAATTAGAAAAAGCGGCAAATCTTATTCAATTTATGAAAGAGTTTAAAAACTTATTAGAGGTTATTAGCTAATTACTCTTACGCGTTAGCTTAACAGAAGATATAAGCTTAAATTCTTCAAATTTGATACATGAATTGAAACTGACTACGGATATCATATACTGTAATGTATGTTGTAATAAATATTTTAGGAATCGTATAAAGTAAAACTTGGAACTACTTCTGGCATAGATGACGCATTTAGCCTTTCTTTCAAAGAGATTTTACCTCAATTAGACGATATAGGATGGGAGAAGTTAGCACTGATTTTACGGCTATTACTCTTTATCCTTGCTGTAAAATACTTCATAGCTACAATTTAATTGAATTTATTTAAAATCTTTGCATTAATTTGTTTAATTATAGTGTAGATAATATTGATGATTTATTTACTTCGATACGATTGGTAAAAAGGTAATCTTCTGTAGAACTATGCTAAGTAGGCTGATAATAATTGTTATATAAATGTCATATGATTTCGAAATATATTTTAACTTTACTACCTTAATTAGTCGCTTATCATGTATAAAGTATTTCTTCTAATTTAAGCTTCACAATTTCGATTGCTTTGCTTAGAGATTTAAAATCACGACATCACTACATAAATACTCGGTTTTTACAAGAAGAGGAGATTTGTACGCCTGTTTTTACTACCGATTTACCTATCCCGTTACACTTACCAAAGGCAAAATATCAGGTAACAGCTCCTTTATATACAGTACATTCTTTCTTAGCGTTTACTGATGTCCTATACTAGTTTCGTTAAGGAAATCTTAAATAACCTAAAAGTTCGCATTGTAAAAATAGTTAAATAAAATTAATAAACTTTATTGTACTCGAATACGTTGATTATGATGAAACTACTGCATAATTATTGGAAATATTTTATTATACGATTAATCCAATTACCTTATTTTTATATGCATAACTATTATATTATGATTCAAAACTATATCTACTTGAAATAATGAAATATTTTTAAAATATGCAGAGTCTGAAATTCTCGATAAAAGAAAGCTATCATTATTTTTGCGAAGTAAGGATTACATTCCAAGAAAGCTGGTTTTGCAACTGAATATACTAAATATATTATTGTAATTGTTAAATAAGTATATTGTTACCCGAGCACTCTTAGCATGTATTCAAATATGTACTAATACCATCGATTCACTTCTAGGCAATTGAACTTTGTCAAGCATTCTTTGATGTCATGGATGAAATAGATAAAAATACGTGGGTTTTAGAGCCACAAAAAGCGTCGCGTGCGAGCAAAGAACGTAGATTTTGCTTAGGTAGATATCATAATTTTGTTGAGCTATAGTCTCATTCTACGACACCGAGAAGGGTTGTAGCTGTCCAGTCATCATGTAACACTAAGAAATATGAACTATGCTAATTAACCTTCATCAGGTAAAAATATATCTGTTCAAATTGATGTAAACCCGTACTATCCATCAACTATTCCTCAGTATCGATTTTTTGGAACAGATCATAGTAAGCTAGCTTCACAATTACATTAAAATAATGCAGAATATGATACACGATGATTTTCGATTCTTATTAATTATAATTTTTTTTTATTGTTTTTATTGTAATACAGATGTTTCTTTATTGAAGCAAAAATTGAATAATAACTTACAGTTATGGTTAGATAGCATCGTTATCAATAATAGCGACTTTTTTGTATTATAAGTAACATTTGTAATATTATCTTTATTTTTAACAAGGAATGAAAGGAAATCATTATTGACTAACTTGCAAAAAATTTTAGAAATCTCAATTCCGTCTCCTACAAATAGTCAGAAAGAAGTATGTAGATTATGTAAATGAAAATTCGTATATCTTGTATAACGCGTACAATATACAGCACTACACTATGCTTTCAAGAATAACACCATTATTCTTGAAACTTTCTTTTAAAAATATAAACAGGAGTTTATTACACCCTGTGGGATCTGCTGTGGATATCGCCTTAATGCGACACTGCCTGATAAAGTTTGCGATTATTCTTTGTGTGAAAAACAATTTCATTCGTTGTGCTTATTAGAGGTAATAACTTTCAACCAGAAATTGGAGTTGTGTCTTGTTAATTTTATGGGATAGAAATTTTAATATATCTATATTTGATATATTTCATGCTAATTAAATACCTTTTAGTGGTTGAAAACGTTGCCTTCATCCCGTACTAGCTTCAGTGTAATTCATGGACAATGTCCATATTGTAAAAAGGTAAGTTATCAAATTATAACTCTTCTCACATTTCCAGAATGCTTATCATCAACTACAAAGTGTGTCTCATGTGGTAATATACTGTGTACTGGCTTAGCTTAAGTCATCTCTAATCTATCGAACTATTGCTTTATCCTAGCCACTTTCAATGGAATTGAATTTTAAGTGACCTCATCTCAATTTATTTAAATTTCGCTACCGCTAAAATTCTTTATCAAACGAAATATTGGTTCTCCTAATTATAATCAGCCGCTAAACCATTACAAACTGGGGTCTAATTGTGGATATGAATTCTGCGACGTTAATGGCTTACTAGGAATTGGAATGGTGTATAAGATACAACAGCATTAAATACCATTAAATGTATGCGATGTTTTCATCTCAGCAAATGTTATTAGAGTATCATTCCGCAAGATATAATGTAGATACAATATTCTTTTTATGTACCGTATCATACGTACAATATGTAACGTAATAAATTTAATTAATTAATGTTATAAAAATGTTGATATTTGTGACATGTTGATACTGTATATTGGTAATGAACTGGAAATCTTATATTGACGTGTGAGTTTCTACAATCTAAGTATAGTACGAAGGTCTAGCTTAATATTAAAATCCCTGAAATAATGTACTGTAATGAATATTGATAGACATACAAACTATGCAATACCGAATGATGTGGAACCAGTTCCTCATTTAATCAAAGATAGTATCGATATGCTGTACAAAAAATTTATTTTTCGTAATTACGTTAAATTAGTCATTTTCCGATTATAATCACTTTCACTGTGATTACATGATACGATGATATCAGCAGGGAAAGAATCGTTGCATTAAATAGAATTATAATAAAGAATATATAATATCTCAATGTAGTATATAAAGCTGTGAATCATGCGTAAATTTCAGCTAGATGATGAATCGTAATCATCCTCATCAACTATTCGATTAGTATTGACAAATAAATCGTCGTCTGATGCGCTTTCTGATGCATCTTTATCTAAATCTTCATCTAAATCTTCATGTGTCTTAGCGCTGTTCTCGCGATGCATAGATGCATTATTCGTAACGAATTCTTCAGGCCTATTACAAGCAGTTTAATTCGTACTTATTAGAACTGTTATCTTTCTATGCACGACCTACCGGTTACGATATTGTTAATATAACTCAGAACAAGAAGGAAACTGACCACAAGTTTTCCTCTTTAAGACTTTTAATTTGATCTGCATTAAGCACCGATGAAATTTCAGCTCTAACTTTATTGCCTTCCTCAATTGGATCTACAATTACGTAATCGCCTGTATAGCAAGAATAGGATAAACATAATTTAAAATATTTAATACTAACGTTATTTTAATTTATATGCGATATTCAATTCTGATTTACAATCCATAATTCTATCTATGAATTGTACTGTATGATCATTGAGTGTAAAGGTTGCAATTATAGCTCTATCTACAGTTAAGTAAATCGTAAATTAACATAAAACTACGGCTTAGTTTACCTCGTTTAATCCAAATCACCCGGCGAAATTTGGATGGCATACTGCTTAAAAAGGTTTCACCAGATGCTGTAACCACCTCATGTAAATTGTTACCTCTACTAGCTACAATCTGGTAGATAAAAAATAATATTTTTTCACTTTGTGCCTTGTATCTGGTTATGAAATATACTGCACTGCATTTACACTACATGATACTCGTATACTGTGAACTACTGTACTAGAAGAGTACTATTATTCTTCTAGTAGTCCAGGCCAGCATATTTGGGAATTTGCTAATAATATTTTAGACGTGGAATACGGATCAGAGCTGCGTAATAATATTATTATACCCCTATTAAAGTATGAGTACATCGAGAATCAAATGATATCTATGACAATTTGACGCTTTTCTAACTTGTATCTAATTCAAATAATTAAAGTGAATAATTGGATGCAGTGATCACTAAACAATTTAATTGAATATGCTATCTTTATGCTAAGCGCGACAAATAATACTGTACTGTACGCGTATGCGATATATTGTAGTGTACCATAGTACGAGCGCTATAAAGCATTGCAAAAGTACTTATTTTTATCTACAGGTCTACTGTATATCTTGAACTAGTATTTCGTTCTAATGTAAATTTTCAGCGTACCTTAAAAATAAGTAACGATTAGCAACCCTTTGAGACAGAATTTGAATAATCTTATATAGTGTATGAATTCTTCGCAAATATAGAACAGTAGTTACAGTACTTTTCTGAAGTGAATAAGAGTGCGGGATCATGATTGATTCCTAATTCGTATTTTGGCAATTCTATCAATTGAAATCATAGCACTACACCACTACAGTACTGGGATAATGATATGTTGACTAATTTAGGTTCTGCATTATACACTAATTAGTATGGGGCATATGATACAGTACACTGACTATCTTGAAACGAATTTCTACAATATTTACTATATTGATCCCTAACGTGTACATGCGTATTCACTAGTAGTAAATAAAACTCTTGATTAATTTACATGATAATTTTTACACCAATCACGACTACCTAATTTTTTACCTTACTTATTAGTCAAGAATCTCATGTCTCATAAGTTAACTTATAATACACGTATACATACTACATATCGAGAGATATAATTAACAAAATTCTTTCTGCTCATTGTATATATATATGTCATATATATCAATAATCACCTTAACGATCTGTTGTGACTCCGCTAGGGAAACATCACCAGTCAGTAATTCTTGTCGCACATATTTCTTCTTAGTAGCCTTCGACATTGCTAGAGGTATCCACAAATATGCAGTACTGTATCAGACATTGAAGAATAATAATTTTCTTTTATAGAAACTTACAGATGTATAAGTTGAATTTTGAATGGATAAAACAAGTTATTAACGCATATTCTTCGCCATCAGAAATGGTGCACGATTTGCAGGTGCGGTATGGTAATTAATCAGAGAACTGATGAGCCACCGTAATTTCCATACAGAGTACTGTACACTACTGTACCCAGTAAGAGAGTTGTCAGTAAGAAGTCGGTTCGGTCCGGTTCAGGACTTCAACAGCACTGTCTGTACTGTACTAGTAGAGTACAGTACTGTAGTGTGTACTGTACAGTACAGTACTGTACTTGTACAGTGTACAGTACAGTACAGTACTGAATCCTTTCCGGTAATGGTAAGTACAGTACAGTACTGTACAGTACTGTACTGTACTGTACTGTACTGTACAGTACATGTACTGTACTGTACTGTACTGTACTGTACAGTACATGTACTGTACTGTACAGTGTACAGTATACAGTATTGTACTGTACACTACTGTACTCGTGTACAGTATGTACTGTACTGTACCCATAAGAGCGCTGTCAGAAAGAAAAGCGATTTGATTCGGTACGGTTCGGTTCAGGACTTCAACAGCGCTGCACGTCTGTACTGTACAGTAGAGTGTACAGTATTGTACATGTATGTAGTGTACTGTAGCTACGGTACAGTGTACTGTACAGTACTCAATCGTTCCCGGTAATGGTCAGCCCAGTACTGTACTGTACAGTACAGTACAGTACACAAGTACAGTACAGTATTTTGGATTTTTTTAAATACTGTACTGTAAACGGATCGGATTTGATTGGGAGTGACTGTACAGTACTAACGACGAAGCTGTACAGTGTACAGTACACTACCGTTTAGTACTGTACACTGTCAAATAAATTCAATATTAACGACTCCGGTGATATTTGAAATTTATTTTACTGTTGGCGCGATTAAGCTACTGTACCGTACAGATTAGACGTCATCTCTAACGGACGACAAGAAGAATATAACAGGTAAGAAAAAGCATGGCTAAAGACTGGTAAAAATGAACTATAATTTAATATTCTTTTACAGCTACTGATGCTATTTGAATTACCCGACTTAGACTTTGTATCGGTAGCAGGATGTGGAAGCTGATCTTTTGTAACATTTTCCTCTTCTAATCATTAGGCAGCATTGTCAAGATGAGTTCAACCAGTGTCAAGCACCAAAATTTTATTTCCGAACCAATGGGTGACAAACCTGTTACGGAACTTGCAGGAATTGGTGATGCTCTAGGCAGTAAACTTCATGAAATAGGCTTCGATAAAGCTTATGTCGTCCTCGGCCAATTCTTATTATTAAAGAAGGACGAAGAATTATTTATGGAGTGGCTAAAAGATACTATCGACGCGAACAAAAAACAAGGCGGAGACTGCGTACAGTGTTTAGTGGAATGGTGTGATGCATTTCTGTAATAACCCTTCCATGCCGAGGTAACTAGCTACAGTATTATAAGTAAGTAATCATAATTATCAGAGGTATCTAGAATCGCTGCTTTCGTTTTAATACCAATAATACAATACAATTGAATACAAGATACTGTACCTGATAAAATGTTGCAAAAATCCCAACAATTATACTTCAATAGATTGACTAGCTTCATTAATTTTTGTAATTTTATTAATTTGAATGCACAGTATCTAAAAATTGATCTTCTGTAGTTGATATCACATAGTAATTATGACTGTGTACACCAGAGGTAAAAAAAACCCTAAACTATCTATCGAATACTACGTCATGCTAAGAATTGACTTTCTTATATTCCCTAGGAAACTGCAAAACCTAGCAACAATCGCGTTTTACAACTAGATTCCAATTGGTTTTCATAACTGCCTTAATTAACCACTTAATGTTATCGTGATAATGTATTAAATGAGCTATGGTTATATTTTAACGATGTAAACGAAGGTTTAATGGTCTGGGTCACAGTTAATCAATCACTCGTGAATGTATGCGATATTGAAAAATGATGACGCTGCGTTAGTTAACTTTATAAGAACATTTGATGGTTTCAATCTGTGACTTCCTTGTCTGACTATAGGACACGTAATACGTTTTCTTGTGCTACCATTTCTTTGATTGAACACTTTTCATACTTTACGGGTGTGTTGAAACACGAGTACAATATACGTAGCAGTTTGAGATTGCAATAGCGTTCTATTAGTTTTCACCTATAGTACCTACGATTATATTATTATAAATACGTATTTTAGCTTTCTTGTATGGGTCTCAACTTGTATTGGAATAAAAACTTTTAAAATCTTTTTGACAAAATTGATTTTAAATTACTTTGTTGTAGTGTAGGTACTATTGCTATTCCGATGTATGTTAAAGAACGAATGATTAACCTATTAAAATTGTTACCTGAATTTTTAATAATAATATAGTATAAAGTAGCACCGTTACGGCAAAAAGACGTACGAAAGATTTTCGGAAGTAGAGTACTATGTTGTACCATAATTTTAAATCAAATTTAAAACTCCAATTTAAACCGTACGATTTTTATTATCCTACCACAATTTAAAGGTAATATGGAAAGAAAATATATGTAAAGATGTTACCGATATTATCAATTTAGTCAAGGCGATTGAAAGAAGTTTTTACAAACAGCTGTTCATTGCATAATTCAAAGTTAGAAGCTCTTAATGACAGCGTATTAATTAATTGATAAACAATCATTTTTTATAAGTAAAAATGGTATCCATTAACACCTAGCTAAAGAAAAGTCGTTTAGTAATGTAATGATTCCGTTCTAGCTTCTAGATCAAATTGTTCATACGTTCGGTAATTACTAATACTCTTAGAATGAATGTGCATTAACAACGTAAATTGTTATATTATCGCATATACAGTATTATATACGAACAATATATATAAGTATATACAGCGCAGTGTGCGTCAGTTCTACTTTCTGTAGGCATCAGACAGAGATCAATGACCAGAAATAAATTCTAAAAAATATCCAGGGAGGTAGCCTACCATATCTCGGAGAAGATGAAAGAAGCATATATTCAATTTTGATTGCCTCAGTGTGAAAGAATAAATTTTCCATTCTGAAGTTGTCTTATATAAACCCTTATTTTACTACCGTCTTCTTTCCCAAGCCAGACTTCGCTAGTGTTAATTGAGCAAATGATAGCTCTAATATGATGATGAGGTATAATTAAAAATTAATAACAGACATTAATTACAGAGTTTTACGCTAATAATCAATCGTTTGTAAAAAGCAAGGATCTGCAAATAACCTGATTTTAGTTCTTTTGTCGTCTAATGTTACCTGTCCACCTTTAAGTAACCTGATTAAATAGATGTAAAAAGAGTCAGGAAATACTGTTCAAATGGTACACGTCTCAAACATAAGAACACTGATACTTAAGTAGCAGTTAACAATTAAGTTACATAATAAAAATAGCAATCATTCCAGCAACAAACCATTTAACTAAATATAATAAGTACACAGTTAAATTTTATTATTTTCGCTATTGGGTGGGACTGTGGTGCGATAATGAATCGGTACTTTGGGATAAGATGAATAGACTTACGTCTGCCCTTCATAAATTAATTTACCATCTTCGAATCTGGCATTATAACGATGATCATCACCATGGTAAGAATCTAATATCAAATAACTGATTTAATATTGTGGGCGTATCGTGTAATGTGCATGATACGATATTACTGTAAATTACTGTAATATTCTAATATCATCATAATTTTAGAATTAAAATCACAAAAAGCTTACGATCAGATCTTCTTCTGGCAGCGATTCCCCTTGCCTATAAAACAGAATATTTTGAATAATTAATTGGATATTTAAATAATGAAAGAATGATATTCCGAGAGCTAATTATCTATAATAAATTTAAGATTTACTTTTCGTAAAGTCGTCCAATCCTCTAGAATATCGACTTCACGCAGCATATAGACAATATAAGGACTTGAGATTTGTTAAAGAAGATACTTAGAAATGACAGTAATATTTTCATATATCGTTAAAGAATTCGGTAAATAGCAACAACTCAAAGCATAGAAGTGAATGAGGATATCAGACACAGTTACAGGTTTCTTGCGCTTCTGTGGGTACAACAATCCATCAGTGCTATCACGTTTGCGACTTCCTTTCATTGAGGTATTATCAGAACTTTTATACCAGAGTTCTGCAAAAGATGCCATAAAAAGGTATGATATTATTCTACAGAGCAAGGTAAATCTGCCAATAAGATGTAATGGCAAAATAAAATTACAAACGCTCCTTACCTGATGACAAATCAACACAGTTGCGATCTTCTTCAAGTTTACGAACTTTTTCTTCATATTCAGCGCACATTGACTCTAACAATGCTCTTTTTTCGCTCTATTTATAAATCAAACAAATCAAGTAGAATAGTAACTGATTATTAATAAAGTAATTACTGTTATTACTGTCTGATCTAGTGTAAAATGTCGATAAAATGTAAAGTACGTTAGCAATGTGGTATACTGCTCCATGATTAATTAGAATTCTTAACTATTAACCTCAAAATGTTGCTGTGAAGCGATTTTTTCAGCTTCGAATATGGTTGTTATAATTTGAGCCTATAACAAAGATTAGAGTTTTACTACGTAAGAATTTACCAATTGCGTAGGATCTTATTTGCAATATTTAAATAACATACCTTACAGTCTCTAATTAATTCTAAATGATTACGTAAATAAAATAATTAATAGATTGAATAAAGATCGATAATATCACTTGAAACATTGCATCGCTTACCAGACACACTGTTACGCTTTTTACAATGATCCTCGATTTCCGCTCTAGATGCAATATACTCTTCCGCGGTTTCTAATTAAGGGTTAAGTTATAGTTGTTATAATTACTGAAAGAGCTTAATATGATATAGGTTATACTACACAGACATCATCTTGAATTCTATACAAAGACAATTTCAGCATTGATACTAGTTGAAACAAGGTACTACAGTAATTTTTTTATTTCAACTAGACTATCTACCCAATGGATAGTGACATAATATATGGCTGCTTGCAAGCAAATGTATATTAATACGGATAAATAAGTTACAAGATTTATAGCACTGCACAAAAATTACTTGGTCGAGGCATAATCTGGAGTTACTAAGGGGTTTACGGACAAATTTTTGCCTAGCATCTACTTAAAGTATAATCCGATCGTTTTAGGCTTTCGTAGGAGTTCTTAGTATCATTGACGTAGCTTAAATTGCAGCATAAATGCAAACAAATGTAGCAGCGCATTTCTCAGGATTGTATAAAAATAATAATAAATGATTGATTGTTCGCTACAGTATAGGCCAGGGCCCTAACTTTCACTGAGTAAATTAAGAAGGATATTCTTGACAATAAACACGCATATTTCACTACTACATAATGATGTCAGCAACACAATAGGTCATTTGTCTAGCATCTTCAGATTAGCTACTGATTTACTCTACGAGATATATCAAAGAAATTCACACCTTTAGAAGGAGTAAAAATTGTCTGTATACAAAGTACAGCAATATTAGTATAACTTTTAAAATTAATAACTATCATTGTAAGTAGTCGAATACAGACAGAATCCTGCTAATTAATATGAAATGGAATATCAATTATTTACGCAAGTACCATATCGATTTTATAGAATATTACAGTAAATTCATAGTAATTCACGATTTTTGGAGTGTTTTCAACTTGCATATTTTAATACAAATTTTGTGAGGTACTCTACAGTTGGCACTATAAAGAATGATACCGTGGGTAAGGAAGTGAAGGTAGTCCATACTACATCATTAAACCGCAATATACTATATATCCAGAAGCGATGCATAGACTCGGAAAAATCCGCGTATTTTGAAGATTAAATCCCATTTATTTCAGAACGTAGCTTTCTCGATTTTATATCTGTGGTTCGGATAAATACTGTATAGTAAATGATAGTATACAACCTTTACCTCTTGTGCACGCGCACGTATATTAATTACTCCGAATCTATTATGCAAAAGTGTAAGCGTAAATAATTGCAGCTTATTGAAATAACGCAGCCACTGCGTTCAAGAGGCAATGAGTACTGTATATAGTATACATTAAGGCAGAAGGGTAACAGCAGCATGTATACTACAAGAAATAGGTAATTTTAGAGGTTGTACAACAAATATTATACACGTACGCGCATATGGGGTATGTGTATAAATATCTGTAATGCATGCAACTGTCGTGAGCAGATAGATTACTGCCAAATATCTAATGAAAGTGGACGAGATTGTTACGAATACTACACTTTTCAATCTGTGATCTGTAGTTTAGTCTACTGGAATTCACTGGTAGTAGGCTATATCATTTAACATTGCGATTAGCTAAGTAAAAAAATGTAGAATTGTACCGTTTTTGATTTCCTCCGCTTTCTGATTCAATTCATTTAATCTTTCTTGAAAGAATCTATAAGATGATGAAAGATAATTTATGTTAGTTATGACAGACTGTCCAAAAAAAATATCTTACCCGATAGGACGATTGCATTTCAAAAATTAAATGACGCAACACAGTAATCATATCTAGCTGAAAACAACTGCAGCAAAGTGTGAAGAATAATCCTAAATAATCATGGTAGCGGTTGGAGAATTATTTCTAAATATGATACAGTATCGTATATCAATATCGTAGTTGCGATAACTATCTGATCACAATCAAAATAAATATGTTTCATAATTAAGTACTGCAATTGTATAAAATATACCTGTCCTTGATCTCGATAAATTTTTTTTCTAAAACCGACATATCTTGTAAGCATTCATCCTTTCTTCTTTCATTAGCTTCTTCATCGACTGAAAGAGAATGTAACAAACCGTGTGACATAGTATGGCAAACCTTAACCACACATCTCATGGTATTTTATAAAAGCAATTATTATTTACTGCATTTTTAAATTTAATAGTAGATGGGTTGTTATTTGAAGTGTACTGCGATAGATCAATATTGTAAGTCAAAATCTGTAATCAGCATCTTGTTCAAGCCCTTATTGCTACAACTACTGGAATGAAATTATACAATCTATGGTTAAAATGAATCATGTAAAGATGTAGTAATACAAAATGTCGTATCATGTCTACAGCTTGTATCTCAAAGCTCAACTAAGACGTACTGTCCCTAGAATAGTACGTTAGTTCAAGTCTTGCACTTTACCTTGATCATCGCTATCCTCAGTTTCGGCTTCTTCATCTTCATCCCCTTCTTCATCTTCTTCGCATTCTTCTTCCTCCTGTACTACTTTCTTTTCGTCTTTAAGATTCTTCTCGCTAGTATCCGTAGAATTAGCAGTAGTTTTATTTTGTAAAGACGGCATCATGCGTCTAATTCCGATCTAACGATGCTAATAATTTGGCTGCTCTGCTATTTGCTCAATCTTTTTCCTGCTTCTGCGTCGGTATAAATGTTAAAAACATTTGTTATTGCAGTGCATAACGTCTAGGCGGTACAGTACGCATGCACCGTACAAGGGTACCGCTTCCGAAACGAAACCGTCTCTGAGCTTTTCCTACTGCTGTGCATTGGACAGACACACTCACGGTGGTAGTGGTGTTCAAACAGGCATTTCGCACTAGGAGATTGACTACAAAAAAAATCTCCATGCTGTATGGTGCAGTGTGCTCGGCACGTGCTGACGTACGGCTGCCGGGTTGCGTGCAGTACATACAGTCCAATGTACTGTACACTGTACACTTTACATTTACTGTGCTGTACTGTACACTGTACTGTACACGAGTTGGAGGTGAAACCATAGTCCATAGGGTATGTCCAAGTGTCCGTTGTCCAAGTCTCCTTCTAGTGGTCCATGTATTGGGTTATGGTTTTACAGTATTTGTATGACATACTGTACAGTATACAGCACATTAAAAAAGCTGTCAAAGTAAAATCATCAAGGTGACTAAAATATTATGCCGGATTTCATTTAATTAAAATGATCAGCAAAACAGTCAAGTCTAATCAAATAAAACATGCTCGTGCATAGCTGTGTTTTCACCGTACAGTACAGTGAAGGTGCATCAAGGAGTGTAGTAGGTTGAAGAAGACCAGGATCCTTCTTGTTCTAACGTTATAAGTACCTGCGTTGCCTTAGTTTATTACAAGTTATGCGAAAAGTTTGGAAAGGGACATTGAAGAAACGTTTTTAGATTCAGATAGATTTACAATACAGTACACTATACTTCAGATCACTGCTACTGTATACTGTACAGTACCATGTATCGTCGTATACGTTCGCTTCCTAGCGAGCGGATTCAGGCTAGTATATGTAAATAAAAGTCATCATATTGTATTCTTGGACACATACATAGCAAGAAAATACTCAAGAAAATTCAGTCCACGTTACTAACTTTAAAAGAAAGAGCAAATTATTCGGAATTGCTAGCTGCAGTTAGCTAGTGGAACACCGAGAGCATTTGCCATCAGACTCTTCCAAAATAGTATTACACTGTAAATAGTCGTCTAAGTCTAAAATCTGTCCGCCCCTTTATTGGATAATAAAAAAGTTGCACTTTCGCCCATGATTTGCGGCGAATCAACTGCAAGATACCTTATGAGTGGACAGTAGGTAGGCATGACGGGGTAGGGTACGAGAATGCTCATTGCTGATAGACAAAGTTCAGCCAGAGGAGCCAGCATGGCAAGAAGCTGCAGCTATACATTATAACTACGATTTCTCTATTTGTCACATACTGTACAAAACGTTTGTGCTGCCAAAATTTGCATAGCAAGTCCACCAGCACGATCTCATTCTTATACCACCTTTTAATCTTAAAGGGTATTTTATAAGCTTGCTAATATTCAAAATGAAAAAGTCATTACATAAATGTTAGTCGTATACACGTATAATAATTCATTTTTATGTCAAGTATGGCACTTGCAAGGGTATAACCAAGGTAGAAGAAAAGAATCTTTGTTTTGCTAGTATTTATTCTCTTCTCCTATGCAACATCGTAGATGGATACAGTATGCTAATAGAAATGTACAGTATACTACAGTATGCTTGTATGTTTAACGAATGAATGACATAGTACTAGTTACTATGGTAAGAGTGTAGGCTGTTAGTTATACTATTAGACAACTAAAGCCAACGATATTGACAGTAGTGTACCTACTATTTACGGCCCCAATGCTGTAGCTATACTGAATGATAGGATAGAAAGAGTCCATAAAAATTGATTCAATTTGAATGAATATTCAGTACGCATGCATTTATAAACTATAAATTGATATCTGCATAGGTAAGAAAATGTTGGCACTTAGAAGAACTAGTGCAAAGATCTCCAATCTTAACAGTAATTTCACTCATCAACTTCGAAGCTATGCATCATCGAGACAACAACTAGTGATATTAGGCACTGGATGGGGCGGCTTTGCCCTATTAAAAAATATCGATAAGAGAAAGTATGATGTGGTGGTTGTTAGCCCACGAAATCATTTCTTATTTACACCCTTATTGCCGAGTACAACTGTTGGAACATTAGAATTTCGTAGTATTATTGATCCTATTCGAAATCATGGCTTTCGTGATGAGAAACATTTTCACTTAGCAGAAGCAGAAGATATCGAATTCAAAAGAAAAATAATATCATGCCGCTCCGCCTTGCAACCTTCACTTACCTACGAATTAAAGTATAATAAATTAGCTATCTGTGTAGGCGCTGTACCGAACACATTTGGAGTGCCTGGAGTGTATGAACATGCCTATTTCCTCAAGGTTTGCAAAATACGATACTACGAAATGCAATGGAATTCTTACTGTGTACTATACCGTTATTGCAATTAACACTACAAAATAACCTCCTTTCTACGGTAGTAAAGTGATGGTTAATATCGGTTAATGGGTAGCATCGGTGTTATCCACTAATTCTCCTGGATGGGATCGGCATTAGCTATAACAGTTCCATACATGCAAAAAATACAGATTACGTATCCGATACGAGTATAGTAATACTTTGTGATCTACTCTAGTTGCATAAAATGCCCAGTGTGTAGTACTCGTATTTCCTCTCATCATTTACGTATTTAATTAATGAACTAATTAATTTGTACTTCCATATCATGTTACTATCTCATAGTATTGCCCAACTACAGTGCTTGCTTACTCATATACGCATAAAATTGTAATTAAGCATTCTTGTATAGGAAATAGCCGATGCTCGAGCAATTCGTCATCGTATCCTGCGCAACTTTGAGCTCAGTACAGAAAGCGTAATTAAAGATGAAGATCGTAAGCGTTTATTACACACTGTTATTGTTGGTGGTGGCCCAACTGGAGTAGAATTTGGAGCTGAATTGTATGACTTTATTATACAGGTAAACGTCACTACTTTTGCTACTCCCGCTGTAAATTATACTTACTGAATTTGCAGTATGACGATTTCCGATAACGCATTTTACTTACACTTCTACTCGAATGCTAATTATTAGACGTTATTAGAAGCTTTTATATAAACTAGTAAAGTTTACCCCTTCTAAGCTTCACTATGATAATCCCAGGACGTCGCTAAAATCTTTCCCAGTTTGCAAAATATGGTCCATGTCACGCTCGTGGAATCAAGAGAAATATTACCATCATTTGATGATCGATTAAGAGCTCATGCCGAAAAAAAAATTGGTAAACGTGAGAGAATGAAGTTATTAAGAGGAACTGTTGCTGGTAAGGTGTTAACGGTGTAAAGGATAATAGCGTAATTCATGACACGCTGCAGCAGTTAAAACTACGCTGTTTATCAGTCATAAGCTGAATACTGACTGACCTGATCATGTTAATACTCGATATTACATGCCATTGCAATAGAGGTCAACCACGACGGCATTAAGTTAACAGACGGCACAAACATTCAGTGTGGCTTAACGGTCTGGTCTGCAGGCTTAGCACCAAGGTCTTTAATCAAAAATGAGAATGCACTATTGCTACCTCTAAGAAAATTCCGTAACTATGATCATCTGTTAATCTAGATGCTAGTATTGAAGATAAATTTAAATTGAACTCTAAAAGATTGTATAATTTGTATCCAGTTTCTTTACAATAAAATAGTTTTAGAGTGTGTCAAGTGGTCTATCAAAATTAATGGTTTTTATTGATTTATTTGTATCAATGTAAAATGTTTTTGTAGAGAATTAACTACTCGTTTGGATCTTCCTAAAACCAAACAAGGACAGGTATTTACTATACACTATTGTAATTATTATGATGTTCAGTTTCATACTGGTAAATTTTCCATAGCAAAATATATATTTGCAGTAGGCTTTGTCATAGGCTTTGACAGTCATGTTTATTAATTAAGCAAAATTATTGATACCAGTCATTCCGCTAGTTTATTACCTCTAACGTATAGTACCACCGCTCATGGACCGCGTACAAACTCCTTTTCTATAATAGTAAATGCCGAAAGTTTTAAAATTAATACGTACATACAAGTATAGTGTTTGCTTTATTAATCGAGTGACAATATTAACACTATGTTAGGTCATTGTCGACAATTATCTCCATACGATAAAACAGGACGTTGAAGGTGTCTACGCTTTAGGGGACTGTTCATACCTTCAAAGTACACCCTTACCGTGTACTGCACAGGTAATTGAAGTATTTTATGCATTTGTTACTATAACTGCCAGAAGATATGACAATATAATTAATGGAGCAATTAGGTAGTATACCTTCAAAAACAATAAATTTCATACGCCATGATCTGGCCTCAAATTTGAAATCTCAATTGCAAAGTTAATAATCACTATCATATTTAGAACAGTATCGAGATTCTTTCAATCAATATCAAATTTTGTACTGATAGGTTGCAGAAAGAGAAGGTAAGTACTTAGCAAAGGTACTAAGTAGCAGTCAGTCAGCTCCAAAGCCTTTCTTTTTTAAAAGCCTTGGTATGCTTGCATACGTTGGAGAACAAGATTCCCTAACTGATCTGCCTTATGTGAAGTGGCAAGGTCTTATACTACTAATGCTAAACTTATTTTTCAAACTTCATTACGTAATTAGTAACGCATCTTTCTAATCTTTATCTGACATTATAGGTTTTAAATCATGGATATTGTGGCATTTGGCATACACAACTCGTCTGGGAAGCTGGAGATTAAGAATGCAAGTTCCAATTGATTGGTTTAAGACCTTCATCTACGGCAGGGATATTTCTAGATTTTAGTTTTTATTCATAAATTCAAATAGTTACTTTTGAGGACTACGGTGTCACTCTAAAAATACGTCACTACTTCTATATATAAATAAGTATATGGCAAAATAACATTTTGAACAAATATAGTCTAAAAACTTATGTACTTAAATTTTTTTAAGGAATTTATTGCATTTTACAGTCATAAAAATATGATAAAGCAATAATAATAAGATATCATAACTTAAGCCTATTAATCACCTTATTCTTATCGCTCATTTAAACAACTGAATCTATTTGTATAGATAGATTTACGATTTATCGGTTGCTATTCCTAGATATCTGCAAAATACCATATAAATCCACCCAACCAAGGTAGAGTACTAATGCTATATGCATGAGTCTTAGTTGTGCACTCTGTAATAAAGTGAACTTTTCCAGTACCGTATCACACTACAATAATCAATGCTGGCCACAAAAAGTGTGTGTGATGATCACAGAGAATTTCAATGTACTGCATAGCTTCTCTACTTTCGTAAAAACATGCTTGATTTATTTATCTATCTTCATGCTCTGTAGCCATACAGTTATTACCTAGGTGTACGTATACAATTACTTTCGTTATAATGTATCATTTGAATAAAATCAATGAAGGCAGAATTTAACATTCTTGGACGACCATCTCTTATAGCTCTGAGCTTTTCTTTCTATCATTTTATGACTGATAACATGCACATCCATATACTGATGTCAATTAACTACTATAGTTTATTGGATCTAACACCTAACGGACATCGTTTTCCATAAGCATTTGATAAATTTAGGTGTTTATTTCACCGTTATGTCATAAATGATCCTATTGCCCCTTCACATTAAATTTCCGAGGTAAACCGTTAATTGGTACCGAATACTTTTATATTAAATACAGTAATACTTCAATGCGAGACTAATTTAACATGTTAGTTTAACTGTTCTGTCGGAAGCTTACAAGTCCAATGGAATGGCATGTATGCGATTAACAGCACCGATAGCGAACTTTTTAGGCAGATATATATAAATCTAATTTTATTGGTAAAGTCGTAAGATCACTTTATTACATAGTTAACAGCAAAAGACGATCGGTTATATGGCAATGGTTATACATCAATATTTATGTAATGTAGCTGAAGAATTTTTCGATTTTAACTTGAACTAAGATATGCTATGTCAAACTGATTTCATCTTGGATCTTTGAATCAAATTCTGCTTGTGTTATCTGTTAAAAAAATATCAGACTCCATTAACACTAAGGCAATCGCCAGCTTTTAGAAATAGTAGCGTAAAATGATGCTAAGTATACTATAAGGGCACTTTGTCGTGAATAACATTCATGCATGATAACAAGAGCATTTGGCAGAGCAACAGCTAGCATCTCCCAATCATTATGGTAGATTGGAAGGTAGCAAAATACGTTAAAGCAGATTAAAAGTACTTTCTCAACATAAGTATAACCTTTCTAAAATGATAAGATAATTTGCAGAACACTGTAATGTAATTTGTAGAATATACCTTCTTTCTTTTTAATTTTTTCATTAGATTAATTTCTTTAGTTAGATCGTTGAATTCATCCATGATCTCGTCATATTTCTCCTATTTTTAGGTATAACGAAAATATTACGGCAACTTATTTTAATTAAGTTTGATAAAAACTTTATAAATTAGTATTCGTACTATAACTTTGTAATAAATCAAATAGAAGTCGATAATTTGCTTATACTTTTATATGTATTTTTTTAAATTGCTTAAATTAAATTTTTTAAACTTAAACGACACTTATAATGTTAAGCTATACAGTACTTTTAAACTATTTTATCATTAATATACCGCAATCTTTCTTTTACTATTGCGTTCTTTAACTAATCTCTTCTTTTCCTTTTTCGCTTCTCGTTGCTTTTTCTTCGACCATGGTTCATTCTATAGGTAACATATTTGACAAAGACATATACAATTAAACTTAAAATATGTCCTTACTTAATACATCATTCATAATTTTATTTTATTCTTCCAGTATAACACCTTCGAGTTATTCTTAGAAGATCTTCTCTTGTTACTATTCGTAGGCGCTACGGTAAATCAAGTAATCGCAATTAGAATATATTATTATTGAGCACCGTATAAAAAACCTGCAGACATAGTCAAATTTATCGTTAAATTTTCAATAACAAAACACTAACGCTGATTTTTTAGAGCAATTTGTCTTTGTTTTTCTTTAGCCTTGTTTCTGTGTAATTTCACATGTATTAATAGTAAACATTGACAATAACTTAGTCGATCCACCTTTTGTATACAGTACATATTACCACGAATATTCAAATTATATCTAACTTATAAGCTATGGCATCAACGTCAATATCGACAGTTTCGAATAGGCTGGTGTTAACGTTGCGTAACTCTGGCATCTTTGGCATGCGAAGTAAGCCAAAACCGCGTGCCATTGAACAAAGATCGAGCTCTTAGAAAATATTTAGAACTCAATTAACTACTCAAAATTTTTTCAATAATCGATACTGATATCTAGTACATTACCTTTCACTCTTAAAATATAACTGCATTCGTGCTTACGATAAGATGATACAAAAGATACAAACGCCCTTATTCCCTTTTCATATATTTCTCTGCATAAGTAGCAAGAACGAAAATTTTGTGTGAGTCACATAATAAATAATCCTTAAACTATGAGTAGGCCAGTCTATGTGAGAGTAGCCATCGATACATAACAAATAAAAAACCGATTAAATATTACCTATCACTTTTAGATAATTCTTGCAATTTCTGAGTATAATCTGCTACTTCATGATTTGATGTAAATCGTGCAAGCGGTACCTAAAAAATGAAACATTAACATAACGCTTTCCGTAGTGTTACACTGAGTAATTCTGTAGTCTAGTTGAGCCCATAATTCGAATGTGAGGATTTAAAAAAATTACAGTACCGGTAGCAAAGTCATACCTTCTGATTTAGCGATAAAAACTGAACATAGGATTCTTCATTCGGATTTAAAAATATTATAGCATTTCCTGTAAAACAACAATTTAGAACAGTGTTATCAATTACTCTAATAACTACTCGTGCGTATCGTTAACTTCCAAACCTTTATTTCCAATTCTTGCAGTGCGGCCACAGCGATGAACAAAAGCACTAGGAAGTATACAAAATAAAACATTAACAAGTCCCGGTGTACATAATAATAATCCAAAAAAGCTAATAATTCTTTAAGATATGTATACAATACACTCCGTCAGTAGCTATTACTTAGTTTTGTTGGGAACATCATATTGAATAACCCAATGCACTTCTGGGATATCTACACCTCTCGCGAGTAAATCTGTGCAAACAAGGAGTCCCCTAATTGGATCATTAATGGTATGGAAGTACGCTTGAAATCTTGCTTAAAAATTGAAAGCAACGAAACTACAACGTAAATTGGATACCTAGACATTTTGCGAAACTTCTCAAATATTAGTGTCCTCTTCTTCTTCATTTTACCGTGCATACAAAGAATGCACATATCCGGTAGTAAACTATTGCAAAGTATTAGCATAAGGTTTGCACTTCGATTAAGGTCGTACTTTGCGAGCAGAAGTAATTTTATTTATACAAAACACGTGGATACTTCAATTAGGACGAACATTATCTGCGGAAACACAGTATTTACCATTTTAAAACATTACCAAAATATTCAACACAAGCACATGTGCTAAAAAAGGTCATATGTTTTAAATTCTGCAAATTAAAACTAAAATTAATAACTTTTAGATAAATAAATGGCTAGTAACACTATCAAGGCTACAAGAATGTTTTACATTGCTAATTAAGAAATTAACAACCTTTCTTTCTTTTAGAAAATGAATCAGATTTGAGAATTTTGTATCAAACCCACATAACTGTAGAAAAAAGTATAAATAAGTCTATTGCATGGAATGAAATGATAACTAATGATATAATATGTGTCAGAGACTTAAGATTGAAGCATTGCATTAAATTATACTGTTGTAATAAAAACGGATGTACTACATCATACAACAGTCGACTATTGTGAGAAAGAATAATTTTCAGAAATGCAACTTTGTTAGCGACATATCACAATTTAAGCTAATCAACGTCGAGAATTTCTAATTTAACCTCAACACAATCGTAAATATAAATTACGAATTTTTTGAATACCATGTAGTAATTTTCAAGTGCGGCAGGAGTTTTTTGGTCTATCTGTTATTGAAAGGCAATACGAATGTATTAATATTTAGTAATTGACATAAACTATAGCCCTAATGTCTTTTGAAATTCATAATAATTTAATGATGTAAGCTGACATTTATTTTGCGATGTAGCATCAAATTTTTAATTTTATCATATACTTGTCAATCTGGTAAGCTATCAAAATTTAACCAACTTACCTGCTTCACGATATTTTTCTCACGAACAGTAATACGAACTGGATTCCTTAACCCGGCTCTAATAAGCTGTTCTAGCTTTTCAGTTTGAGTAGCAGAAAATAACCCCTAGTTCCATATATAATTTAGTTTAGACTAATCACATCCAAAATAATGGTATTTATTCCTCTGAAAAGATTACATGCTCAAAATTTTTATCAATTACCGTTCTCCTTTGCTTAGGCAAGTAACTAAAAATTGTATTAAGACTGTAATACACAAGCATATCAAAATGTACAATCAGGATTAATTTCGAAAAAGTTGAAGTCTAGTGTTAAGTATGGAAGGATTTTCTTTTAATATTCTAGTTTAACAACAGGAGTTTCAAAATGCTCCTTTGATATGCTAATTACTGCTGTACATCACCTCTCTTCGAATCCCAGATCTAAAAGCCTATCTGCTTCATCTAGAACCAAAACTTCCTATAACAGGCGATAAAATTTTAGAAACCTTTATAAATCAGCACTATGTAAGTTACAGTCTACTTGTTAGCTGTACTGTACTACTTGCTCTACAAAACCGAATTGGAAACATTCACCAACAACTAAACACGATAGCTTAAAATTTAGAATCAAGTACTTCTTTTACCAGAGCTTTAATGTGGCCAGCAATATTAAAATCCGTTTTGCGCCTATCTATAATATCCTCAAATCTTCCAGGTGTAGCAATTATTATATTGCCTCTACAATTATATCAGGAATAAATATTATTGTTTTCCCTAATATCATTAAGAAGTCTAAATAAAGCTATTTGCATTATCTAACCCATATTCTTTCCACATTTTTGCATCATTAACGGTATTGTTTCCACCAATGAAGAGAATTTGACTGTACGGAAAATCAATCAGATAGAGCATAAATGTAGATATTAAACTAGTATTAATTTATTGGCACTAATTGACGTCTGGTTATCTCAAGTGGAGAATTATATTTGTAGTGGCGCATAGTTCTAGAGCTTAAAGTATTGCTATAACACGTAACTATTAAAGTAGCAAATTTTTTGGCCTTGATGTTGCCGTATGTGATGATATTGATTCAAACTGTAACTTTAAATCGTAATGGAATGTATCAAACCTAAGATCTTGCATATTGTCTAAAAATGGTTGTATAACTGTATGAATTTGAATAGCGAGTTCTCTTGTTGGTGTCAGAATTATAGCACCTACCTGAGAAGAAAGTAGCATAATTATATCAACTAAATATTAATATTAGACCATAATTGTAGCTATTATACATAAGACTTACATCATATTTCCTTAGTTTCGTATCTCTATAATAGAAATAGATCAATTACATCATCTATTAAACTATCAAATAAGAGAGCACAAGGCATACGTACTATCATAACCGACTCAAAGTCTAAGATAGCTACTGTTAGAGATGAAATATAGAAATGTTGCACTCAGAAGCTCCACAATCTATATTGCTATATACTGTAGAATAGGGCAATCACAGTACAATAACGTAGACATACAGACATGTAGACTTATGTCGTTGCAGCAAATCTATAACAATAACCGAAGTATGCAAAATATTGAAATATAGTATTAGAATCAAAAGCAAACTATACGAGTACTGTATATTATTTCAGGATTAATAAATTGATCATAAATAGTTATCATTATTATTATTATCAGATCCACTACTAGCCCAAAATTTCGGGTCTTTCATCGATAAATAAAAATGTAGTACCTTTTGGATAACATTTGCAATATAGGTATAACAAATGCAAGTGTTTTACCAGATCCAGTGACCTATCAATAGAATAGAACGTGTATGTATATATAATCGGAATTTTGCGTAACACAGTTCATAAATAAATTAGAATATAATTATCATTCGAAAAATACAAATCGCAAGTGTACAATGCCACAGCTTAATAAAAATATGAACAGCGCAGTTTGATTAAAATTCTCATTTCGACCAAATCAAGTATTGTCATTGTAACAGACTTACAGCTTCAACGACAACGTCTTTATACGATAGGAACGCCGGTATCGTTGCTGACTGATGAATAAGAAAACAAAAGACATTACTTTGTATACAGTATTCGTAGTAGCTAACATGGGACATATCGAACACAAACTAGCTTTAGCAAGACTAGAATAGGCAATCGTGTATAGTCGAATTATTACAATCAGGATTTTGTGCATTTTCAAATACGATAAATTACCTGAACGGGTGTCATCGTTTGAAAGCCCAAAGATTGAATCGTTACAAGAGTACTAGGTAGTAACAGAGATTCAATGGAATTCCACGATGCATGCCCATTAATAGGATTCATCTTTATTATTTGTATAATGACAATTATACACTTATACGCGTATAGGTATATAACTAGTGCAGTACAGTCTATTTCTGGTTGGGACTAGCTCAAATTAAACTGAATCGTTCAATTACTACTAAATGATCTAAACTAGTTCTTTCGAGAATAATTTCATGTTATGTTAAGTTGATCTTGATCTGCACTGCTGCAAGGGGTGAAGACTAAGAAGGGTATGCAGTCTTCTGAGCAGACCTCAGAACCTGATCCTGCAATCAAGAAACAGCTAGTTATTACTCTACGGTACTGTAGTCTGTACTGTACAGTATAATACATTACACTCACCGTACACTGTACTGTACAGGGCACTCAGTGTAGAGTTTCTGCAACATTTACGTTCAGTACGAGGAATTAATCGACCGACGTACGTACGTACAGTATTTTTGACTTCGCTGTCTGAGCCTTCTGAAGACATGTACTGTACACTATACAGACCACTGTTACGGCGTGACTTGCAATAAATAGATACTGTACTGTGTACTGTACAGTGATCAATGATCATAGGGTAAGATGATGTGCATTATGATTTATGTAATGTAATACTGTACAGTACAGTACAGTAGTACAATGTACAGTATGGTTCAATTGTTTCTTGACAATAGTACAGTACTATACTGTACACTGAGTGTACACTGTACAGTACACTACAATTATTACTACAGTATGTAAGGACTACGAGAAGAAAGCTTGCTTTCCTTTCAAATGTTTGTTGTACTGTACAGTACACTGTACAGTATGCCTGTACTGTACAGTGTACAGTGTACAGTATCTTTACTCCATTGTAAAACAGACTCTGCTGTACTGTACTGTACTGTACACATGGTTCACTTTACGGAGTTGTCATAGTGATAATACTGTACTGTGCTGAATGTGCGTAGAATCTAAGAAATAAATTTTATTATAATTTATTTAATTTAATTTAGTTTTAACTCTCTCAATTTGGCTACTGAACTTATCCCTGTATATACTCAAAGGTCTACTCACACTAAAATTTATATGTATATTAAAGGATAATTAATTATAGACTAGCAACTAATCTGATATCTAGTGAACTATCTCTGTACTGTAAGGTTTCTATAAAGTAAGGCTAGTACAGTACAATTATGCATTATTGAATATACGCGTACGCGTATACGAACAAAGTTCTTTCATTGCTCATTAACTATTAATTCCGTTATAATTACTAGCTACCCTTGCTCTTACCAACTAAACTATAGACCACTATTACAGGGGCGTGGCGAGCCCTCTAAAATGGTTGAAAGACGTTCAGCTATAGTGTTGCCTTAAATTATGTCTTTATATTGTGTAGAAATGTACTTTCAATTTGGCTCAGATTCCATGCAGACAGATCAGTACAACCTTGAGTAATTGGCTCTTGATATTTTGATTACTTTTTATTGCAGTATTGAATAATTCTATTTAAAGTTTCTACTACAAACTGTCAGTCACTGTTATATGTTCGGTCGCTCCAACTCATTTTACTGAACATATTAATAGGAATCCCACGTACTGTACTCAGTGTACTGTACAGTACAGTACTTTAGGAGGGTAGACCGGTAGACTACAGTACAGTACACTGTACAGTACTACTGTAGCGCATATAGACTGAGTAATATGCGTGAAGTAAAAACTTAAGGTTTCTGTAACTTTCAAGTGCACATTTTTATTGCCCTGAGTGTACACTGTACAGTACTGTATATTCACAGTCTACAGTACACTGTACTGTGCGTTTAGTACTATACAGTAGTACAGTACTATACAGTACAGTACAGTGTACTGTACATCACAGGACAAGTAAAGCGCGGGGTACTGTACAGTACTGTACTGTACTGTACGTGCAATGTAAAATTTTGAATCCGGCTCACTGTCAATTCAAAAAAAGCCACTACAGTACCGTAAAGTACGCGTAGCTCTGTACTGTACTGTACTATGAGGATATATCACATAGTACTGTGCAGTCTACACAGTTATCGATTCGCTGTGAACGTTGTTTGTTAAAAAAGTAATATCGCTCTTTCGCTACTATTGGATTCAGTATCCCTGGAAAATCTTATCCATCTGTAATGGCTGACCGAGACGACAACATTAACAAGGCAAAGTTAGCCGAGCAGGCTGAACGCTACGATGGTAAAGCAAGAAATAATATTTATAAAACAGTTTCTTTGTATCTCAGATTTTTTTTCCATCAGCGATGTTCGCCATTATCGCTATTTTCTTGATACTCCTTTCCTCTTCCCCTCACACCTACCCGGAGTCAGTCAGTGTCTCGTATCTCATCTGCAAGGCGACCCTTTTCTCGTCGCGAATTTTAATTTAAACCTAAATATTACAGAGCTGAGAGTATTTACTAGCCATTCATTAGCAACGATAATATTTTGTGTGCTCGTCAAATAACTACAGCAATTGAATCCTGCTTTAATTTTATTTTATGTATATATATATATATATATATATATACAGTATAAAGAGAAAATAGTTGAATTAATATCCATTGTGTCCTGTCTACTATAATTCTAAGATAGTAGCGCGCGATGGTAGCTTTTTTTATCGTATAGATGCACTAGTGCATTGGAAGGGAGCGTAAGATAAAAATAAAGTCAAGTAAATGGTAAAGCTTCAAGACTGTATGACGGATGAAACTACTTTTTGTTAATTTTTATGATCTCTTCGTTTTCTTTTTACAAACTGTCCAATTAAATTGATTACGGTACTGCATAAGAATCAGTTTATACCGAGTCTCACTTTACGAAGATCCCAGTCATCTCAATTTAGATATGTATAGCTTTTCTTGTATAAAAAGTAAATTGAAAGGTCAGTTCCAAAAGTAAATATGTTATTGCAACGTACTATACAAAACTTTTACATGATAAAACCCGTAAATCATCTTCAAAAGTTTTCACGCTAACAATTTGGAAATTGGTTTCAATTAATTAATATAAATCGTAACGCTGTACTACATGTACAGCGCACTGTACAGTGCTGTACTCGAGTGTATTATACACTAAAGATCTGTACTCTGCTTTACTGTTCTACTGTACTGTACAGTACAGTACTGTATAAGGTAATGTGTTCGGCAGTGTTAAAAAGCGAACTGTGCAAGATTCAACTCGTATTCAGCTACTTTTCCGCACTGCATTCAATTTTATCAAATACTTTATGTACTCGGTGAAAATAGCGGATAGTAAATAGCTCACAATTTTTCAACATGAACTGGTTAGATATTTAAAGCATTTACGTTCTTCATGTGATATACTGTATAAAACCATGAAATGTGCGTATGTTGTCAAGTTACTAACAGACCTGGTTAGAGCTTGCAGTATTGTACTGCGCTTAGTGTTCATTATAGTAGTTATACACTTGATAGCACTATTCTTGGTAAACAACGACTGACTGGCGAGTTACTATAGCGACTGTACCGTATGCCGACTTCACATTCCCTCCCCTTTACAATCCAGTGTACAGTACGTACTGTACCGTACTTGCATTTGTTGTACTGTACAGTACTGTAGTGCACTACCAGTTTGACGATACTGTACAATGGCCGCCATGATACAGGATAATACGCAGTGTAGTGTGCTATACAGTACTGTACGCTGCACAAATTTAACCAACGCGTGTTAATTACAGTATTGTACAGTATAGTGTAAATGGATAATTAAATCTTATGGGCCTTTACAGTACTTTAAAAATATGACAGTAGGTTTCGTACTGTACAAGTACTGTAACTGTATGTTAATACAGTACTGTACATGAGCTACGGACAGTCAGTCCTAGCTACGGTACTTATCAAAAAGTTGAAAACGGATATACTGGACTGTAGTGTATTTTGCAGAAGTAATTTGAAATGAACATTGTACTTTTTCACAAATTAGTGGAGAGAATTAGAAATGCAGCAATGCTGTACGTCTGTACCGTAGTAGTTCTCCTTTCGTAACTCCTATACGCTTCCTGGTGATTAAATTGTAATTGGAAAGCAGTATACAGAAATAATACTCTTGGAAAATGATGCAGATCTTATGATTTTCATATTTTGTTTCTTATGTTAATAATACGTGTATTTACGTATTTCATAGAAATGGTTGAGGCTATGAAGAAAGTAGCTACTTTGGACAATGGATTAAACACAGAAGAGAGAAATCTTTTATCTGTGGCTTATAAAAATGTTATTGGTGCTCGCCGCGCATCTTGGCGTATCATCTCTAGTTTAGAACAAAAGGAGGAAAATAAAGGCAAAACAGAAAAGTATTATTTGATTGTCGATTATCGTAAACAAGTGGAAAAAGAATTAAAAGAGATCTGTAATGATGTACTCGATCTGTTGAACGGCCATTTGGTATTGTGTGCGTCGGATGGCGAATCTAAAGTATTTTATTATAAAATGTAAGTTATGCTGATTAGTAGCAGCCACTAGTGTCATTCTAACCAATAATGGTTTATACGAAGCTATGCAATCTTAAGATGTGGGACTGAGGTTTTTGTAGTTACACTATTATTGTAATTGATCTTGAACCTTGTGCTTAAATGTTTGAAACGAAAGTTACAGGTGTGGGATAGAGTATTTTTCGTCGTCAGTTCTACTATACGTATATGCATAATAAAAGTAAAAGACAAACTCTTTTATTGCCTATATGGTTAACGTTTTGAGCAATGCTATTTTTACAACACATCATGTAATATACGGTACACTAGAGACCCTAAATCTTAAATCCTTTTAGGGTCTTTACAGTGCACGGTACATCGCCGTACATCATTCGATGCTCAATCTACTGTAGTAATAATCAATATATATCATATCGTTGATATATTGATATTGATTGTTATGCCTCTTCGGAACAGTTGTGACCCATCCTGTAGAAGAGATGTACAGTAGTAAGCGATTGAAGACTGCGAATCGATACCCACATTAAAGGAAGATCAATATGTTAATAATTTAACGAACTTGACCTTGCCCATGATTGAGACACTGATCAGAGGACTAGAGGAATAACAAGATGTACTGTAGAATAATAAATAAGAAAAATATTTGGCTTATTCTTGTAATCTTGTTATTGCTCTGCTGAACTGTACGAGTTTCAGACATTACCAACAGAACATCTTATCGATTACTATACCTCGTATTTATGACTTACCGATTCTAAGAGCGTAGCAATTCAGACGGCTTAAACTTCTTAAATACCAGAAAGTCATAGCACCGGAGCTATCGGATACCAGATTTTTAGTACTATATCAGTTTATCAATATTTCCAACTGCTTACTACTTGCTTTCAGTTTGTGGACTTATTCGTTTCGCGGGTATACTACACTTGTATAAATTAGTACTGTAGTATGTTTTACGATATGTTTGTATTGTTATCTGCTCATATCCAAATTGACCTCTATTTTAGCGTTATTGTTATTAGAATTAAATATTCATCAAACTGATGAGTTATAAGTTAGCTCAATGGCCTTATTGAGACGTTGTGACTTAACAGCTAAGTAGCTCTAATGTGATACCTACTATTAATTGCGATGAGGTAGACAGAACTAATATTGTGAAATATTTTGATAACTTTTGTTTAAGACGACAACTTTAGCTATCCTTTGTTTTAGCGTTATTTTATAATGCAGCCTGGATTACTACTCTAATACTATGAAATGCTTGTGTTTACACATATGACCTGAAATGTTGATTGGAATACATATTACAATCAAATCTTGTAATTGCAGCTAGCGAAAATAGACGAACTCACTACTTAGCAGTTATCTATGACTAATCCAATTTGAATATATAACGTATAAATACTGCACGTAAATTTATACCTGTCAGCGATCCGGCGACTTATTAGCCGGTCTAGGACTAGACCATGTAGACCGTCACTATTATATAAAAATTAGATCAATCTTTGATAACAGTGTATCAAGAAGGTTTACTATGTATTAGTGCAAGAGTAGCTTTCGTAGTAGGATGTCTACTAATGCGGCATTGTTACCTTGTACTGTAACACGTATTTCCTTTCTCTTGAAGCTCAGATAAAATACGTTTTTTTAAGTGATCGTATGAATAAAAAAAATGTTCTTGAAAGTAGCTGAGATCGATTTCTATTTCAACAGGAAAGGCGATTACCATCGTTATTTGGCCGAATTTGCTGCCGGCAACGATCGTAAAGCAGCATCAGAGGATTCATTAGTTGCTTACAAAGCTGCTACGGACATTGCTCGTGTTGAATTGAAGCCAACTAATCCTATCCGCTTAGGTCTAGCCTTAAACTTTTCTGTTTTCTACTACGAAATCCTTTCTTCGCCTGAACGTGCCTGCAACTTGGCTAAGAAAGCTTTTGATGAAGCTATTGCCGAATTGGACTCACTTGCTGAAGATTCTTACAAAGATAGTACATTAATCATGCAACTGCTCAGAGATAATTTGACATTATGGACGTCTGATCTAAATAGTGAGGATGGTAAGCTTTTGCTATCATTTTACCATCTGTACTTCGTAATATTAATGTACTACATTTTTAAAGTAATTTAACTTTAACATTTATTCTATCATAGTTTACTTTATTATTTTAAATTTATTCGAAAAAGTACTTAAAATTTTTCATTTTATTTCACAGGGAAAGGTGAGTCCCAGTTACAGGAAATAGATCCAGAGGAGGAACAGTCGTAGTTCTATGAAAACAGAAGTTTAAAAATGCCAACTAAGAAATACAGTATATTAAATAGAAGCGATTTTGACATATGGTAGATTTACTGTATTAGCTGCTACGGTAATAATTTTTAAATTCTACCAACTGTGACCACCTACCTAATTTAATTATGTTAGTTTATGGATTTTAAGCAGAAGTTTCAAGGTTATACTGTTTAGAAGCCTTAATCACGCTGTTGTGTACTAGGTCTGTATTTTATTTGGTAAGTTAGCCATGGAAGCAGAGTTGTGATTTTTTATTGTTGTTAATAATAACGCACCTCATTTCTTCCTGTAACATTGAATCTACATTTCTTAATATGCTAAAATCTTGTCCATCGCTATTGTCGTTATCGTTAGTCATCAGAGGCATTTAAGTTAACGGTAACATTCACCAATTGTGTCATTTGTATAAAAAACACTCTGCATTAGTTGGCAGTTATTACAACGAAATTCGGTAATTCTAATCAAAAGTACTACAGTACTTGCTATTAATCCTGTGGCTATGGAAACCTTTTTATCAATACAATTAGTATCAACTATCCATTGAGAACCTGTTTATGTTGATTTACTTTTTCTTTTACTTCAACATTGGTGTTGCCCATATTAAGACTGAAGGAAGATGTGATAACAACGCATGTTTTCTGTGTCCAGGTATGCATACAGTATACCATGTCTCGATTAAACATGTGAAGTTTTGACCACCGTTACCTTTAATAATTTAAGATAACCCACATATACTCGTTTGTAAGTAATTATTACGTTTACTTGTACTGCCGTTTATTAGTTGTCCGTATTCTTCAAAATAAATTACAAAATCTGTGCGTGTTATCTAGAATAGTCTTTGATTATGTAGCGACGATATGTGCTGCTTCTAGAGTTGCAGCAACTATTTATTAATGAGCTACGAAAACGATTTATAGTTAATAATATGGAATGGGCATACGTACGTTGACTACATAGTTGATACCGAAATCCGAATTACTGTATTTTTAAGGTATAAATAGAATGTAAAGATGCTAATAGTATTATTGAAGCTACTATAGGAGATCGATAATTATTTAATGTATTCATGCTTCAGTTGCAGTTTATTTATGTGTTTTTCATGAAATAATTTGGGTCAATAGCTAATTCCTGTAGTTGACATCACATTATTACGGAGTTCTTTAGTCTTGTTCGACACTTGTGTTATGATCATCGTTACTTTAATTTTCTCCTTATCTGTCTCCTTACATATATAAATAATGAAGTCTGTCAGTTTGTCTGCGATAGAAACGAAGTTTAAGCAATGTACAATTGTGCATGTACATAGTGCTAAGTACGTTTAGCTGAGTAACTTTTCGCCGGAAAGCTAATGCTGTAGTATAAATCTGAGAAAATGCCGTTTTTAGCACTGAATTCAATAAAACATTTTGTGTTATGTCGTATACTAACGCCATCATGAATTGTACCATGGCTTGCACATACTCGATAAGTCCGTACCATCTATTAATATTTTTCACTTTAAAATATGATGAAATTCTGTTTATGCCGAAGATCCAGACTGCCAAGAACACAAATAAGTTTATGCTACCGTTTATGTCCTTATACTATTTATACAAGCAATTCGTATAAATACTCAGTAAAATAGACCCAATGAATGAAGCAATCGCACACGGAATTAAATAAAAGTTAATATTAAGGCAGAGTACTTTGGTAATTTGAAGAGGAAAGAATATTTTTTGCCTTACTTGCAAAATCAGTTACAAGTAAATATTATTTTTACACGTGGACGATATCGTAGCTAATTATATTAAAATGCTCACGTTCTGCCAGTAATAATTAATATTATAATTAATTAATTATTAATACAGTATTGCACTAATAAGTAAAAAACTATATTACAATTAGCCTGGAAGATATACCGTATGTGTAAAGGTTAGTATTAGTATCAGTAATAACTGATATTCAAAGGTACTAATGATCCGAAACTGTGTAGTAGCCCTAGCCATTAAAGTAATTTATGTAAAATGGTTAGGGCTACTGTATAGTTTCCGTCAAACTTAAACCAGGTTGAGTTCGAAGCTATACTTCTTGCCGGGCACCACAACATACAAACAACGGTACTCGAATACGTAAACATATACTATAGTACATTCTATGGTTTAAACATAAGACTTAAGATGGCTAATGCCGAAATTCTATAGATTATACATGCTTATGAAAGCAGTTACACAAGACAAAACCACTGTACTTATAGGAGTATTATACGGCTATATACAGTATGCAACGTAACTGAAACTGTTAATTGTAACCTAGAATCCGTACTGTATAGGTAAATTAGCTGAGTTCAGGAGCGAGTTAACAGTAAAAAATATGGGACTCTTTGCCGTTGCTGTCAATTCAATCTACTGTTGAAACACTAGGATTAAGTGCTACTGTTAAATATCAGAAAATATTTAGTACATTATGACTTCAGCAGATAATGTAATTTTTAATAAAAGGCTAAAGACATGTACTATAAAAAATTATATCATGTCTGCCAAGGCTAAATGTGCAGCTTACCAAAATCTTATCAATCTTCTTAAAAAGGAGGACATTATGATCTAGGTAATCGTTACGTAAGCAATATCACATATCCCGTTGGACAGATAAATCACGGTATAAATAGCTTACTTTCACGATAAAAGATTGGTATTTGCATATCTTTTACGACAGGCATGCAATCAATAAGGAAACTCGCCGAAGGAAGATTAAAAAATGAATATGTTTATTAAGAAAATTTTTAGCATATTATATCTAAGATATTGTCATTAAGCAATACAGTCCTATAGATTACAAAAGATATACTTCCAGTCAATAGTTTAAAAATCAATTCTGCATTATAATTGCATTTCGTGCTATCAATAGATCACTATTGACAAATACAATTAATAATACGTAGTAGAAAATATGTGTAAACCTCTATTTGAATATATACACTATACAGGCCCTATGTAATTATAATCAACAACAAATTTTTACTAAACGTAATCATTTATAGTAATAGTAAATATACTTCATCAATAATAACAAATTCAAGAGCTGCAGCATTTAGTTACTGTAATTCAATACTAGCAAATATCAGATCACAACAAAATCAAAAATATCACAGATATGACCAATAAATAAATACATTAAATTCTCAGATTTTATATCACATTTTGATAAAGTTATGGCAATAGATGAAACTGGCATTTAAGACCTACAAAGTAAGATAATGCCCTATTACCACTTCGCTGCAGTTACATCATTAAGTACGCAGTACATTTAAGAGCAAAGGCAGTACCTTTACTTGCCATTTAAATTATACAATTGTCGTTTATGCAAAATAATTTCGTAGTGGCAACTGTACAAGAAATTTATCATCAATTACAATTATAATTTCGGAAAAAATATTAATTGTGCTTGTATTGATACCAGAATTTCACTTTAAAACCGTACAGTACTCTACACCACAGGTATTTAAGTTAAAAATCGATTGCCAAACATCTTTCTATTAATAGAGTGTACGAAAACAAATTACAAAACAATATCTATGATAGCTCTATATTAATTAAATACTGTATATTAACATAGTTGTAATTTATACATAATTATAAGTACACTAATTTCAGCGGTTTTATCGATGAAAGTACATATATAGCAAATTGAAGAATTTAAACATCTTATACTAGTTAATTTTAAGGCAAGTTATTTACGATACTTTTCCTCATCCAGTTGCACCGAACGCTAATATCATTAAATCACTTCCCAATAGCAATATTTTGAAATTGGTGTCGCAGCTTTTCACGTAATTTATCTCTTCTAATACGAATAACTTTCTTATTTGCTTCATAATCCTCGATATCTTTCTCAGATATTTCAATATTCTCAGATTGACAATCCTGTTACATTATGATAGCATAAAAATGTCGAGTTGTTGTTTTTCATAAGTGAAAAGTGAAATTTTCTAAAATTGTATGTAAATTAATAGTAATTTAAGGTCAAAAAATTAGAGTTTTCACCTGATGCTGACTTCCCACAAATTCTGACCAGCCCATCGAATTTAATAATTCTATTTCTTCATCAGGAATAAACGAATCACCGGGTATTACGACCACCTTCCCGTTAAATATAACACACCAAACGGGGTTAATTTAATAGATTACACTATGTTCGACAATAAATAGCGTTTCAAATATTCATCTACACCTCATGCACCATTCGAGAGTAGGAAATGTCAGAAATATCTCAAGAATGAATTATCGCTTAAAATGATTAACCTGATTTTTATTAGGTAAATGATCCCCATTTTCGCAGGAGTGACAAGCATAATCGTCGGTATCCTTACTGTCGTGTGTTGCATCGCTCGAGTTACTACCGACATCAGTATCATCCTGGTAATTGATGTCATGAATTAATCCGAAAAGAAATAAAATCAAATGTTGTAGGTTTGGGATCACACTCAAACATACACGCTACAATTAATATACAGTACCTGATCTACTTGATCTTCAGTATCCAAACAGTGGCAACTATCACTACTTTTCAAATTGGAATCATTATACTCGCTCTCAACGAACGGCAGGGTATTGGCTCGACAATCAATTCCAGCTTTACAAGGTATACCGTCGGTAATTTCTTTAAGACGAAAATATTCATGCTTAATTAAGACTGAAGCCTTACTAGCGTATCCTAAAAGGAGGAACTTTCATTAATATACCTTTAGTTCTGCGTTTCTTTCGCTTAAGGCGTTTTTGCTCTCGTTTGGTTTCTTTAGCTTTGTCTGCTTCTGAAAATTCTTGTAATATCTTTTCTAAACGTGTTTCACCTTCTCCTCCGCGTAATACAATCTACGACGGTAAAATATTATACTTAAGCCCCAGCAGATCATAAAAGTAACGATACTAAATATAGTTGATGCTTTCGTTTATAATTACAAACCTCGCTTTTCCTCCTTAGTGATTCAATACATAAGTAAAATAACATAATCCACGTTTGTTCTTCAGTACGCAACTTTTGCCATAATCTATGTAATCGCTCCCACAAGTGAATTCCAATACAGGTTAATATCTAAAATTCGTTAAACAATAATATAAATTTACGGTTTGGTAACAGCATTTGGTGAAAATTACTTCACGTAGCGCTAGATGATAAACTGTTAACCTCTTCTTGAGCCGCCTCCATCGACTTTGCATGATGCTCCCTACGACTAATAAAGGATACTATGAGTACCCTAATCATTGTAGATCAATTAGCGACCTAAACCTACTATCATACATCACAAGTTACCTTCCTGATATCTCGGGCTCAGCTCTATCGATCAGATGGGCAATAAAATCTGTATCACAACGCACTTTTATACACCTGCAATGCTCATTGCAGCAACAACCAATGCCATCGTATAGATCTTTCCGATATCTGAGCAATTTTAAAACAGTACTTTAATACTTTAAACTGCTAAATGGAATATAATTGTTTACGCACTCTTTTTCCGCAATAATGTCCAATTCTCCTAATAGTATAGCAAATGCACGTATAACTTTTGCTCTGCACTCGGAACAAAATCTATACAATAGGTGCCAAGATTGTAGTATTAGTTAACTGATAATACATCATCATACTTATGTTTTCTAAGATAATTCTCTGTTGTCCCTAGTAGTAATTGAGAATCTATTGTGACAATCTATGTAAAAATAGCAATAAATGGTATATCATCATACTTATGTTTTCTAAGATAATTCTCTGTTGTCCCTAGTAGTAATTGAGAATCTATTGTGACAATCTATGTAAAAATAGCAATAAATGGTATATTAGTGGTTGAAAAAATTAGTTATATTAGTGAGATGAAATGTCTAACTTCTTCTCTACACTCCTGTGAAAGCGAAATCCAAACATCAATCCAAATCCCAGACGAACGATATTTATGGCTATCTAGAGAATGTAAAGGACATCGCCTAAGAAAAGGTAATAAGAACAATTAGTATCAAAATAATTTTGTAAAAGCGGCAAATGCCAGCAAGTTATAAAATACTTGTTGCGCCTATTCTTTGGGATAGTATCCAATATATCTTTCAGTTGTATACTAATAACAAATAGCAGTTAGTTAGTTATCGATGTAATTGCGGCTTTACTAATATAAACATTCTATTCAAGTGAAATATATAGCTATTGCTCTGTACAGTAGCATAGTAATGCTATTTTAAGATATATTACCTTTCCTTATATAATAAATCATATATAAGGCAAGGATCTTTCAGGAATCCTCTATCTAATGTAATGTCTAATCAATAATAACATAACCATTAGAATATACATTTAATGTTGATTTTAATTTACACAGAAGGTTGGCGTATTTATAATTACGGCCAATAATAAAATTTAAGATAGCAACACATGTAGTTGTTAAAATAATAACAAGAGGTTATGTTTAATGACAGGTATTCTTATAAACGTAAATCAAATAATTTTATTACCATTTTGTAATAACAGTATTGGTTTCAATGCTAAATCGTTATAAGTCTGCATGTTGCATAGTAAGCCTTCGACACTACAATGAAATTTTACATTAAATTAGTATAATAATAGTAAAGTTTGGATCTACAATATATAAAAAATGGTATTTAAAGCATCTCTTTTTTAAGACAGTTTAGCTCATGAAGTAATTACCTCTTTCGACAGCCGACGCAAGGAATCACTTGAGACATTAGCGAAATCACTTCTTTAGCAGAAACCGAAAAGGTATTCGATACTTCCTCAAGATTTAAATCTTTCATAGACTATACACGACGAGGTTTTATACAGAAACCGTTAATAATAGCATAGCTTAGTTAAGTATAAAATAATTCAAATACAAATTAAAATCTTATTAATTTTACTATTTTAATATTCAGAAGACTCAAATTTAATTCATTAAAAATGTTTGGTCTACAAGATGAAATTTCATGGTAATTTACTATCAATAGGCATAGCTGTTAAGTTGACAAGCAAGTGGTTCCTGGTTGTGGCGTGACGAAGCTGATGGGGTACTACAATAGTTGCTCAAGCTATGCCTACCATCGAGTTAATCATAAATTGTACCGTACTGACTAACGTCATTCTTGAAAACGTTCAACTTTTTTACGCATTCTAAAATCATCTGTTAATACTAGTCTAACATTATGATTGTTAATCCATAAACAATGTTTAAAGTAATTAATAGTAGGATACTATCGCGTTTGCCTTTAATATATCGTAAAACAAAATGTCAATAGCGCAATGGGCCTTGTAATAAATTGTAATGTCAAAAGGTTACTATCCATTAACTAATTAACAACATTTCCGTCAATATTCATTGCAGTAATACAGATCTTTAGTTATCTATGTCCGAATTACCATAGACAATCTACTTACTTGCATGAATTCTTGCAATGTGATATGGTAGCTATTATGCTGATTATTAACTTTAGGCAAGAGCTCAGTTATCTCCATAATAACCTAAGTTTATGAACGGAAGGATTACCACATAATCATACCAAATTTAAAAGTATAATCGCATCAAAAATTTATCATTATATTTTTCATAATATAGAAATTAATGTTTAAGTATGTATTTCTAAACAACCAAAATTTAACTTACGTATCGATTACTTTCTAACATGATAGGTATCTGTCTACTATCCAAATGATCGATATAATCCAAACTGCCAACGTATACGCGCATAACTTTTGATGTAATATTCTTCTTTAATATCTCTTTCACCACTGTAATTCCTAATAGTTTGATTCATTATTATTAAGTCAATACTACATTTAGGCGAAGAATATTCCTATCAGACCCTGACTAAGTTGCACATCTTCAAATAAACTACGATATATAAAAAAACTGTGCAAATGTTGTAGATTCATAGTTATTATTTACAGTATCCATCTTGGTGGATTCTGATCTCGTTTAGATGGAAGTTATGATATGCTGGTGCTGTAACGTTTGATTTGCGGCTAATTAATATAAATTATGATATTTCAATTATATAACAAAAAATGATTATCGGATAGCTTCTCCATGGTCGATTATGTTCAGATTTTTGGTAAAATATATTATTAGGGAACCAGCCATCTTATAAGGTATACTACCGTATATTTACAGTATTGCAAACTACTAGCATGATAACGGCGATATGCGCAATGAGCGTAGGGGACACGATGATATTTTACTGTAATGCGACTTGCAACACGAGTACACTTGTGCTGCATGACATATCTAGAAATGTTGCTGAAACGTCTACAGTACGAGTCTATCTTCAATGCATTTGTAGAAACATATCTGCCCATTCTTAGCAAAATCAATCAAGATTTTGGGTGTAAGATCTTAGTTCATTTGATTCAAACTAGGCCTATTTGCTTGGACCAAGTCTAATGAAGGTATCGATAGAGCCATTCCAGCGGCCTATTTGGCTATATCACAGGGAATTGGTTGGGTCCACAACATTCTGTACAGTACACTGTACAGTAGGGGCATTATACAATGGTTGGAATACTGTACAGTGTACAGTATACAATACTAGACGTATTTAATTAAAGGATGAAGGCGGTACTTATTTATTTAAACATCTACATGAACATCATAATATTGAGAAATGGGTGATACCTTTGGATACTATCTTTTGCTTCACGTTTCATGAAAGCATAAATGCGTTTCTTTTACCCTTACCTTACATATTATGTATAATGGCAACGAACTCAATAATATGCGTCAATTTTCAAGTTGTGTAGCTGTACTCTGCTGTAGTACTACAATTAGTATCGTGAAATTTGGCCTCTTGAATATTATTATGAATCAATTGCAATAATCTAATCATGCGCGTCTTACGATGATGAGCTCGCATAAGTTGAAGTTGTCCATAAATATCCTATTATTAAACTAGAATGTTAACAAATTGACCAGATACCTAATAAAATTATTCCTAGCACAACCTCATTCCCTACGGAAACGAACATATTTCGCATTTGCGATACATTACAGTCTACAGTACAGTACAGTAGACTCATTCCACTTGTGCAGTATAGCGTCCAGTATAATGTATAATTACCTATACTGTACTCTATACTACGCCACACTGTTACAGTCTTTATTGTAGTAATATGGCATGGAGAAAGGTCACTTTTTGGGGGGGGGGGCACATAGATTGACATGATGTCGAATAGTGGCGTATTAGTATCTCTAATCAAACTATCCTAAAATGAATACTTAGCAGAACTATTGCCAGCAAGTATATTTACTTCAATTGTCATCGCATAGCCTACCTTTACTAGCCAAAGAGTTATTATTTGCCGCCATTTTCGGACTTTTTAAGTCTGTGCTGTCGTGTAAACTTGTACAGTACTGTACTGTGCCAATGTGGTAGAAGCCGGTTAGGTACAAGACAGTACAGTATAATGTCGCTGTGTGTTTTTATACACGTACTGTACAGTACAGTTCAGTGCGTGACAATGTGCAGTGCTGTCATCTGACACTCAGGTCTATCTGATAGTGATCGCCTACCTAAATCTTACCGGTAAGATTTGTCCAGGATACTTTACACTGTAGTCTGGCTGTCGCGTACAGTACATTGAACTACCCTCCATGAAATGCTCGTTGGCTCAAATTGCTCTACAGTACAGTACAGTATACTGTACTGTACAAGTTCTTACAACATGTACTGTACATTGTACAGTACAGTACTCCATGATCGCTTACAAATATACTGTCAAACACTAACAAACTTGCTCCAGTTAAAGATACTGTACAGTATAGTGTACTGTACTGTACTTCAGCAATAAAAGAAGATCTGGACGAATCACCCTTGGATGGACAGACATTTTCGGCCTCTTCTCGTCAAAATATTGTATTGTGTCAAACACTTCGTTATAACGCTACTTTAGTATGAAGATAATCGATTTTGAATTGACTGATTTTTTCTAAATTAAGTAACATTACGCTAAATCTTATTATCTATTACTCCATTCCGCTTGGAGGTAGTTATGTAAGATCATCAATGTTATTAGAATTAGTACCAGTGACTTAGAAAACAGGCGCGGAAGATCCATACTAAGTAGCCATTTTGCGATATTTGTGGCTTCATTGAGTAAGAAACGTCCGTTTGTCTGTCTGAGAGAGTGATCAGTCCAGGTCTTCTTTTAGCAGTCCATGATAGCACTATACAGTACAGTACAGAGCAATGACACTGGACCGGTACTGTACACTGAGTATACCGTACCCTGCCAGTAGTTGGAAATTACGTAAGCAAGTCGTTTCATCCGTCTGCCATGTGACCTCTACACTGCCGACTGAATCCATAGTCAACTCGCTCAAGTATTTTACTGCTATCAAAATCAATGGTGTAAAAGTTCCACAACTCTGTGGATTAAAAGGGTAGCTGATATTGCAGACTTTTCCTAGTAGGTAGTAAGTTATTATTTCGAGCTATTCGACGCCAGTAAACGTTGCAAATGGGTAAAAAAGTAAAAGTCGGCAAGAAAAGGAAGGATAAATTTTATAAATTAGCCAAAGAAACCGGTATGATGTTACCAACATTCTATTTCATCCCTACTGTAGTATTATAATTAGGTAGACTATTCAGTGTTCCAACTTATGCACTTGCAGAACACAAAAATTGCGAAAAATGATAGGCGAATAAGTCAGTTATTTATGAATTAGTGTAATGCCAATTGATTATTTACGGTAAGATAGAACCAGTAATTATTACGACAGTCTACAGTACATCAAATAATTAACTAAAGCTTGGTGATAAATTTCGGTATCTTGATCTTGCAGGTTATCGTGCTCGCTCAGCTTTCAAGTTAATCCAATTAAACCGGAAATTTCAGTTTTTAGAAACTTCACGAGTCTTGGTAGATCTATGTGCAGCACCTGGAGGATGGTAAGCCAAGCTTTTTTACATCATATATTTTATTCACTTTCGCACAGGATGCATTGTGCTACACAGCAGTTACCAATAAGAAATTGGCAATCAATCATACAGTACTGAATTATGGATTATTTAAGGGATAATAAAATAATTACTCTAGCAATCCTACTTTTTACTATTTGTTTATTCGCATAAAATTCTTTATTCAAAAATTGATCTCTTTCCAACATAAACTTTCGTTGATATACCTTTTGACAGCAAATGACATGAATACAGTAGCATGTTGTACACTAGGAAATTGGAAACATATCGTAATCTCTTTTTCTCGTGTGTCCGTGATTACAGGTTACAAGTAGCATCAAGATTTATGCCCATATCTAGTTTGATCGTTGGTAAGCCCGTCGGAAATACTTATTTAATACTTGGCTATTTCCCAATTGCAATCATTTACCATCTCATACAATTTTTTACCATGATTTGGTATAATCTAGTATCTTTGCAACTTTATCCTAGAAATCCTACCCCAGTTAATGTTTTCTCTGTTTGTCAATCCCTTTATTGTGGATGTCAGCTAAAATATTAAATTCTCGTTGCAGGTGTTGATTTAGTAACTATCAAACCAATTCCTAATGTTATTACTTTAACCGGAGACATTACTACTGACGCTTGCAAACAGGTTGTTATTGTAATTATTATGTTGCTAATAGTGTAGTAGACCTTTCAACTTACATCGTACTACCAATCAAATAAATTAACATTATTGTATTATGTGATCATAGATTGTCGATAAAAGCTGTACAGTATGGCTATTTTGGATAACCTCTGTTTTAAGTGCCGTTATTCTTTCTATCGTTATAGGCTATCAAAAAGGAACTACATACATGGAAGGCTGATAGTGTACTACACGATGGAGCTCCTAATGTCGGGCAAGCATGGGTTCAGGACGCCTTTTCTCAAGGTATGTCCTTTAAATTTCGAAAAATTTTTGGACTATCTTACATTAGTGCATATATATATATCAACATAAGATAGCTCCATCAGCTGTGCTATCACAATAGTCACTGTGTTGTATTGTGCATGTGATTTATGACGTTTTATTGTAGCTATGCTACGCAACCCAAGTGTAAAAATTGTTTATTAAGTTATATAATCGCTTTACAGAATAAGTATCCTTTCATATCTCAATTATTTAGTTATATCCTGAGCATTATGATTACGCAATACTACAGATTTAAAAACCATGCAAGTATCGGTACTAATATCTAAATAGATAATTTTTTCAATTTTGTCTACTCCATCTGTTTCCTTTAGCTCAGCTAACATTAAGTGCATTACGTCTTGCTTGCCAACTCTTAAAGCGTGGAGGCTGCTTTATAACTAAAGTCTTTCGATCAAAAGATTACTATTCATTAATGTGGGTTTTTCAGCAATTATTTAAAAAAGTCCACGCGACTAAACCGCAGGTATGCACTATACTATAATTGAGAATTACAGATCAAAACCCAAATTTCGATTTTAATGTACAATAAAGTTTTATATGTACAGTAGTCAACATCAAGAATTGAATAAGCTAACATACCATGTTGGTATTCTTATTAATTAAAGGCATCTAGGAATGAATCCGCTGAAATCTTTGTTGTTTGCATGGTACAAATCGAGCATACTTAATTAAACAATAGACGTTTTCTAGTTCAATAATTACGCACAGAATGAAATTAAACTGTTATGTTACTATTATCTTGAAATAGGGATTTTTAGCTCCTGATAAGATTGACCCCAAGTTTCTTGATAGTAAGCACATTTTTAAAGATATTGAAACGGAAACGAAACAAAACAAAATAAATTTAATGTTTTCTGAGGTAACAGAACATAGGCGCTTACATTTCTTGCCTATCCATCTTAACTATAATTGATCCATGTTTGAAAATATGTTGATGCTTTTTATTACTTATTATATAGAAAAGAAAGGATAGAAATCGAGCGGGATATCCAGACAACAAGCATACACTGTTTACTAGTACACCTGTTACTGATTTTATTACAAGTGAAAATTATCTAGATCACTTAGCTTCGAGTAATACGGTAACCATTATATAACTTAACTGTATTTACGTTCTAGACCACCCAATAACTCCTCGTCAAAATACATTCCAACTTTAATTACTAAATTTCTATTTTGTCTTGTTGTAATTTCGGGCAATATAAATAGCTCACATTCGATGAGGATAGCTTGATCATTGCGAAGCATCCACTTACCACAGAGGAAATTAAAACTTATTGCCAAGATATCAAAGTACTTGGTAGGAAAGAAATCAGGTAAGTAAAGTACTCATCACTAATTCTTCACACCTTTACGTAGTTAAAATATTCTTCTTCTTACTGATTGCAGAACCCTTATAAAATGGCGTAGTGACATTAGAGACTTTTATGAACAAAAGGCAACAGCTAGTGAAACTAAGTAAGTTATTCCAATTAAAAATAGCAGTATCTTTCTATAGGCATTGATGGTATGCTCCTAATAACTTTGGATATCATACAGGAAAACAGAAAATGACGAAAGCGCTGGTGTTGAAAGTGACGATGATGAGGTAAAATGCTATAAAGTACTCTTTTTTAATTTAAAAATAGTAAGTAGGCTTCTTAACTCTCCAATTTTTGCAATTAAGGATGCTGCGAAAAAAAAAATCGAAGAGTTTGAAAATGAAGAGGCATCAGAACGGAAAAGGTTTTGACTCATAAGTTGCTATATATAATGATATATATTACATCTTAGTCATTTACTTATTCATATTCAAAATATGATGATGATAAAAAGACAAAGACGGAAACGTATGCAGCTTAAACGCAAAGCTAGAGAGAGACAACTGCTGAAAATGAAAGTGCCTGATAGTGGTATTAACTTATCAGAAGACAACTCATTATTTTCTCTCTCTACAATTACCGATCCTAAGGTGTTAAGCATTAAAATTTTTAGACTTCTGGATTAGACCTTTAAAATTATATCGTATTACCGTAAAGTAAAAACTGACACTTGAAACTAACTACTGTACTTGTTTACTTCGTTATCAATTGATATCATGAAGAAATTGAGTAATGTCAACAGCGGTGAGATGATGCTTGGTGACGATGAAGATGAAGATAAAACTGAAGCGATGAATTTGGATTCGAAAAACGACACCGAAAGTGACTTTGATAGCAATGATAGCTACAGTGATGATGACGACGAAGAAAGTAGAAGTGATACAAATCACTCTGATAATATTACTAAAACCATTGGTGACAAAAAGTAAGTAATTACACATTGCTGCCGTAATTCGACGCACTTATAATTTTATAAAGTAATTACGTTATAAAGTCTTAACGTCTCTAAGGAAATCATTCGCGCCATTTTCTAATGAATACGTGTTGCAGATCTAGTAATCCTCTTATTATTGAAATGCCGGAAGAACGATCCTTAAAGCAAAAGACAAATATGTGGTTTAGTAAAAATATTTTTAAAGAAATGGATAATGATCAAGATGAGGAGTTGGACTTTCAACAATCAATATCAAATCTTAAGGGTAAGCAAATTCGTACGTGAAGTAATAAGAGTAAATCGTAACAGCGTTCCCAACAATGATATTTTACTGTAGCGAGTCTAAATTTAACATTTATTGCATTAAATCTTTTATCATATTATTGAAGGAGATAAATACAACTCTTGGAAGGAAGATCCTAAAATGGATAGTAATTATAGAAACAAGAGTAATGGATCTCCATCCAAGGGAGAAAGTTTGTCCGATACTACCACTACCAATGTACGAAAAGTCGTTAAGAGTGACGATGATGACAGCGATGAGAGCGACAGCGATAGCGATTATGATTATTATCAAGGAATGAAAAATAATACCAAAACGATTAACAATGACTCGTCACAACTAATAACTAGAAACGATTTCGAAATTGCTCCTGTAGAAAATACTATCGGTATATATGCATACATTGTGAAAAATTTAATTGCAAAATGATACTTACTTCGAGCTCTAAGTTAATCGTTTAATTAAACCTTTGAAGCACCGAAATATTTATCGCCAGAAGGTTTAGCTATTGGAGCATTAGCTGCTACATCGAAAAAGCGAAAAGAAGAATTTATAGATAGTGCTTATAATAGGTAAGCAATACGCGTATTAATATGGAGGTACTCGAATGTAATTATTATTTATTATACGTATATCATGCAACTTTGTAAATACGATAGATACACTTTCAATGATGAAAATCTACCGGATTGGTTTACTGAATATGAGAAAAAGCATTATCAAAAGCAGATACCACTAACAAAGGTATTTCTTAACAAGCCTCTCTTACTCTAATCTAGCAAAATTACACATTCACCTTACGATAAATATAATTCTATACATGTACATTTATCGTCGCTTTTATCTTCTTTATTTGTAACATTAATATAATTTAGTATAGTATTACGAAGGCTTTATGATAACATTTTTAGGAAGAAATTCAAGAACAAAAGAAGAAATTACAAGAGATTAATGCACGGCCGATTAAAAAAGTAGCTGAGGCAAAAGCTAGAAAAAAGATGAAGGTAACCTTTGTTTACAACCAGCTGGCATATGCGTATGCCTCATGTACGAATGACTTAATTTTTTAGCTCACAAGCTGCTATTCTTATCGTACTCTAAATAGACCTTAAGAAAAGTAGAGAGAATGCGAAAAAAAGCTGAAGCTATTCTCGACACTTCGGACGCCACTGACAGAGAAAAGATGTTACAAATAAAAAGGTATTGATTAATTGAAATGTATTTATTTACTGATTTGGTAATTGTAGCTACTAATTATAATCATTATGTTATTATCATAAGTATATACAAGAAGGCTGGAGTAGGAAAGGCAAAAAAAAGCGAAAAACAATATGTAGTAGGCAGAAAAAACTTAGGTATGTCTCTTAAATTTAGCGGCAATACGGAAATGAAATTGTGCAACTGACGATGACCCCCGGCATTTACCTTAAGTTGTATTTTAATGTGTAATTATCGAAGCTCGGTATTGACATCTGGAAAATTTGTATCCAGTGATTGTAAAGTTCTGATTTAATCTCTCGATTTTCTAGGTAAAAAGCGGCCACCTGGTGTTAAAGGAAGATATAAAATGGTAGATAAAAGACTGAAAAAAGACAAGCGGGCCTCCAATAAAAAAAACAGAAAGTGAGCTACCATGAGACCAATAAAGGAGAAAAATCATAGATTAAGTATTTTAGTTCTTGTAGATGCATAAAATGAACGATACAGCTTCCTTAACACTTCCTTAATCAATATTTTGTATTTCAAAATATTCATGCGATCGTTATAGTTCCGCTATGTACAATACATGAATAAATCAGATTTATTAACTGCGACAGAAATTTGCAACTAAAATCGAAAACATTACAAATTACATTTACTAAAGCTGTTGCATTATTAATATTATTACCATACTCAACAACACAAGTTGCGATATTGTTGTACTTATGATACACGTATTTCGTTACATGAATAGATAAAGCCATTATTTTAATGTTTTATGGTTATTAATCAGAATAATATCATTGCAAAGCTAGATAGGGCAATTATTGTTATTTTTATAACTTTAAACCAAAATGTCATTGAAGTAATTGTGATGGCTACTATTTACTATCAATATCTGTATTAAACTACATGCTACTAATAAATAGTCTCATTTCATGATATTAATAGCTTAGTAGTGATTGTTATGATTTAGTACTTTAGCTGTAGATACCGTTTGAGGTTATTGTAGATATGTAGACGATTGCCTTGTTACAGTATAAGTAATCATATTATGACCTAGTAGTGTGACCCGTTATAATGCATAATATATCGGTCGTCTAGTTAGCTAGTATGTGCACTGCATGTCGTATAATTTAACGCAATACTCCCAACCTCAATATATACTAGAGCCAATGCAGCATTACCAAAGTAATTTTAAAATTTTTATTTTCAGATTAATAGTGTTAAAAGTATACAAACACAACTACTATGCAGCTCAAGGTACTTTAGCATAGTCTCCGCTTATACTCATAGATTATATATTTATATTAATAATTGTATAATACAAGGTTGCTTGTATATATGTACGTATGCATGCTGCATCCTGTGCATGTCTCCGCATTGTCTTTAATATAAAAAGCATACTTTGCGTATATGGCGCAGTCAGTTGCTCTACCTCAGAAAAGTTTCTGAGTTCGAAGGGGAAATTTATCCAAGTCTCTCCTTCCAGGAACGCTAAGTATAATTAAGTAATTGCATGCACTGTGTGCAGTGCTAACTAACAATCCTCTAATACAGGGCAATGTAAAAGTGTGCGAAATAGCAAAATAACAGAATGTACTTTGCTATCTTGCTCACCATTTACATACCATTAAAATGATCTCTACCATTCAAAAGGGGATGACACTTCGCTTTACATGTACGTATTCAAGAACTTAAGGCCATTTCAGACTGAATCTTTACGGACAGCCGCTAATTTTTGAAACCGTAATGAGTCGAGCCGCGCACAGGGAGTGAGCTATAATAATATTAATTCAGAAACAACGCGCAGTCTTCCCAAGACTTATATAATGTCATCTAAACCGATCACGTTGAACTATTGACAGTACCGCTGAATAGTACTACATTGCACATTTATCTATGACATCATTTTTGCTAAAGAGCTGTAATGCAGGAAACTAAAATTGTGCGCTGGGATTAGACCTAATGTATTATAGATAGAGATACAGTATGAAGAAAATATATAAAAAAGAAAGAAATGTGGACAATTTATTCTTACAAGTCTGCCAAATTGGTCAGGTGTAAAATCACCAGCAAAAAAGAATGTCATCAATCCTGACGTTCCTACAGTGTACTGTACAGTGCACTGTTCGTACAGTACAGTACGATACAGAGAGCACCATGTCCACTACAGTACAGTACTGTACCGTATACTGTACTGTAGTACAGTACATTTGCTCAGTCACGGTACAGTACAGCACACAGTAGGTGGAAGTACAGTTATAACCAACAATCTACGGTAAAAGGAAATATAGTTGCTCCACGAAGATGGTGGTGGTGCTTAACTGGATTTTCAACCTAAAAAAGATCGATGGTCTCATTAAGAAAGAATGAATAATTGTTCTATGATAGCCATTAGTGGCGCTGCTGCAGTAGCTGCAGCTATATGCTACATTTTGTTTGGTCCTAAACAGTATAATATAAAGCCGTTAAAAGGAGGTAAGCGACGCTGTTAAATACCTTACACTGTAATGTTTCGTGATATAACGAATTTCGATACTAGTTTGAAGTTATTGAAATGGATTTAATTTTCTATCCAATAATGTATTTTACTGAATATGTTATACTACGTAATTGCTAAAAAATAAATGAATCTGTCTTTCATGTGCAGAAATTGCAAGAAAATTACTTTCTATGCGGGCTTTTCATACATGATACTGCTGTAGTAGATAGATAATGTGCCGTACATCATGCACTGTACAGTACATTACAGAGACTCTAAAAGGATAAGTGCTATAATTTTATGCATACGCGTATGTTTGTCTATTCTATTAGGATCTTATCCTGGCCTAGATAATCTTGGCAATACTTGCTTTTTAAACTGCATTCTGCAGGTAAGATAATATACTAGCTTCTTCTATTTTATATTTGTTAATGTATGATAAAAATGGATGATATTTTTAATTGCGTAAGTCCTCTACCGAGCACAGACGCGTATTGTAATATTGTAGCAGATTACCGTACGTACAGGATAAATAGAAGATACTAACTACCAGGAAGCTGCATCTCCTAAAATCAGTAACCTCTAACCTGCAGTGAATTCTAACTACTTTTTCATTATATTATTAGTACCATAAAATAATACCTTATCTATTAATGATTAAATACAATGATTTAATGTCAATATGACATCGAATGAAATGCTATTAATACTGTATATAAGATTGCTATTGTATATGCTATCTGGAAGTAAACATTGGAGGTCTATGAAATATGATATTTCATTCCTATCCTATCCTGTCCGGATATACTGTTTTCATTACTAAATATTCTTTTGCTATGCAAAGTTTAAACATGTACTGCGGTTGTTATATACTACTACTGCTGTACGTACATACCTATAAATCTACTGCAGTACATACTCTTTATAAAGTATACCAAATTAACACAACAGCCTATTTGCCGTAATGTCTTCCCGTTAACGAAATTATTCTGGAAAGTACGAGATTGGATCTAACTCGAAAATGGCATATATCAATCACTATGAGTACTGGAATAGCATACATACAGCACCGGGTGAAATATATGCGGGATACTCTCAGAGTGATTTGCAATTACTTTTACTACTCTGTCGTATTTACATCTATATAATCCAAACAATTAATCAACACCCAATGTAGTCTGCAGAAGAAGCTTTTAGCGCCAAAGTCAGCGTAGCAATTGATATATACTTCTCTTTAATATGCTTTGCTTCTAGACATGCTGTTAGCTAAAATACATCCATACAGATTAGCTTATCTTAATGGTACTAGTAGAGATTTCGCTTTCGTAGAAACTAGATAGCTATGAACGTAAACGTGTAATCTTGATACATCGGTAATATAATCTATTATTATTATGAAATGCATTGCCAGTTTCTCGAATTACTTATTATTTAAATATGCTGTGTATTGGCTTTGATTTTGATGAAGCACATCGAGCATATTTAATTGAATATTAAAATGCCACTATTTGGTTTAAAGACTGAGTAGTAATTGCTTTGTTTCTAGAGCCTTGCATCTTTGCCTGCTTTCGTTATTTATCTGAAAAAAATCAATGCCAATTCTAATTGTAACAAGCAAAACAAACCCTTAACGAATATACTAGCTGGATTACTTGACGGTTCGATGATAATATAAAGTTTTCTGCAGTTTATTTTATTTTGTGAATCTACCCAGTAACGGCATTTTATAATGTTACAAAATAGCTTCTGTAACTGAAGGAGATATTCTGATAGTCGAGTGTAATTTGCTACTCTGCAATTATACGTAATAATAACGACCGTAGGACTATGTTGTCAAAGTTCAAAGTAACGCTATGTTTTAGTCGAAAAAAATCTTTAGCTTCTAAGATTTCATGATACCCCTTACTTGAAATTTAAATCAAAATTTTCAATAACAGTTAGTCTTCATAAATTTATTAATTTTAATCATTAAAAGATAGTAAAAGTACTAACGTTCTGAATCGTCTTTATAGAATTAAGTCAAAAACATAGTTATGCTCGATCATTGTCAGCAAGTAGCGTGCTTGAAGTATTATTTAGATACAATTGGATCATATCTTCAGAACAACATGATGCACATGAAATGTATCATGCCTTGTTGACAACATTGGTAGAAGAAACGGTTAGAGTTCCATGAATATTTGTGTATGAGTAGTTATAAATAGCTGTGCTTAAAATAGAAAATCTATTTCTTTACGTCATTATTTATTTACTCCGTAGGATTACAATGATAATCTTCACCCAAGTCATGATCTAAATAATGCCATTTCAGTAAGTAAAATTATCTTTTAGCAATAAAATTAAGTTAAAGCTTCAACTGCTAAATGAATAATGTTAGCGTTATGATTCTGATCGGATAGATATGATTATAATTTAATTTAATTTTGTACACAGTATTGTTCGAACGATGAAATTGATGAAGGTTCGGCACATGCCGCCACACGGACGCACGGTATACCATTGACTTCTACGGTACCAGCTTAAATAACAAACCAATGTATTCCACTGTCGATCTAAACTGCATTCTAATAATTAAAGCTCCAGTTCGAACTCTAGACCGTAAGGGTATTCTAGGAAGCTTTCCATTCCATGGTTTGCTCGCAAGTCAAATGTCATGCTTAAAGTGTCGTCATAAGAATCCAACCCGCTACGACATTTTTGATAGTATATCGCTGAGCATACCCACTTCGATGCAAAAGGCAAGCTATTCAGATGAGAAAAAATATCTACACTTATTGACACTTTCTAGCGAAATTCTAATTAATAAAATAGTAATTTATTTGCTTCTTGTCTTAGTGCAGTTATTTATATCCGTGTCTTGTTATTTCATGTAATGCGCATACGGTATAGAGTCATCTCAATCTTGAATTAGAAGACTGTATTAAAACTTTCTTGATGAAAGAATACATAGATGATGTTATTTGTGATAACTGTTCAAAAGACAACGGAAAAAATGTAAGTTTATATTTATGTTGTATGCATTGACATCAAATAAAAGATAATAACAAAATTTTTTCGAACAGGGAAAGGCAACTCGGAAAACATTTATGAAGGAAACTTTTTTCGGAAAGGTAATTTATCTAACTTGAGCTAGAACATACTTTCTGTAAATTCTATGCCAACCTTTTACAATTTCGATTAGTTACCGCAATGTTTATGCATACATATTCAACGAATATATTGGAATTCAAGCGGATCCTCATATAAATGTGATAAATTTATACCGTTTCCGCCACTTTTGGACATGACACCATTTACGGTATTTGATAATTATTCTAATCCTAATGGTATATATCCGAATAAACTGAACTCAATCAGCAATAGTTTGAACGATTCTGCCTCGAATGATAGGTAACTGCCATAGATACAACTAAGAATCTAATATTGATCAGTTTCGTAGAATTGAAAATACATGTAGTTGGTGTATCATAGAGATTGAAGTAAATCATACTATTACTTGACAGTGATACTAGCATTTATAAATAAAATATACGTAGATTAAAAGTTAAACAAAACGCTTGTAAGTGGAGTCACGATTATAATTCGTGAATGCATTAAATGTCTTTGTACGAATTATTAATTCTATTCTATATTATATGCTTGTTATTCATCTAACAAGATATCAGTTGCACGGTGTAGTATGCATTTAACAACGGATATTACTAGTCTGTTTCAAGCGAGATAAAGCGGTTTCAGAAAATAGTATACGTTGTTAAAGTATTCACGATAATAAGTTGTACTATATTGGTTTGTAATGTGATGTTATGTATATATTATATGTCCATAGATTTTATGTAAGCTAGCTATTTGCGTTTATTGTGCATGTTTATCTACACTAATGAAAGCTTCAACTATCCCTTTCAACCATGATAATGAACGCTACGCCCTAGACGTGCTTATAGCTATCTACTCGTATACCAGCATTTATCAGTGTTAGGAGTAGCTATCTTAAACTTGCTATTGTGATAGCTTCGTGGGCGTTGCACGCATATCCTATCTTCAACTACACTAATTTTGTACATAATTACGGTATGAAATTACAATTCGAATGATAACTCCATAATTATGTGACTTTTCATTGCATGTTTTCTCATCGTTACATCGCAGAAAATTTTACCGATACAAGTTGGTTGCGGTAGTATGTCACTTTGGAAGCGATGGATTCGATGGACATTTCGTTTCCTATCGAACGGATAAGTCTGCTAACAACAGCTGGTATTATATTTCGGATAATGTGGTTAGAACAGCTTTACTTTCGGAAGTTTTATTAAGCAAAGCATACCTGATCTTTTATGAAAGATTATAATTAGTGTAAAACACGTATTATAAACGTAATGGATATATTATATAACACAGACGTATCAGCTAATACCTTAGCTCAGATTGTAATAGCCTTATTGCGTATTTTAACCTTGAAAACCTATTCGATTATGTTACGGCACATTTTTGCGTCCGCCTAATCTCTGTAAAATACGTTGAGAAAAGTCTTTACGATTCAGACGTCGTTTGCATATCCGTACAGTTGACATCGCCATATTAGTGCAATAAGCTTTCTTCCTAAAACGCATTAATGTAATTGCTAATGCTAAACTTCTGACGATGTCAATTCTGTCTTACTGTTAATCAATGTAAGAATTGTAACAAAGTAAATCGCTTATATTTTATATACTGTATGGATGATCACTAATTTACACTCAATGATCTGTTTAAAGATTACTGCAACTATCAAACTAAAATTGCCTATGATAACTTATAAATTATTGTAAAATATGATAAACTTCTATTACTATACCATTTGATTCCTTTATTATAATGATACTTATCTATGTTTCATAAACGCAGTATAATGGAAGAGAATGTGGCGAATACTTTAACTTTTCTTATATACTGCTTGTACTTGTATTGGCTCCGTATCACCAAAATATATATAGGTAGAAATACATAAATATCAAGTTAAGTAATAGCTTTACTTGAATATTTTAATTTACCTAGTCAATGCTGTATGTGGGGCAATGTACATAACACATCCGACCGTATCTTCAACATAAACTAACATAGTATTATATTATACTATGCATGCTCTCTTGGATCGTAAATAACGACTAGGCGTCATTCTATTGAAATAATTGACAATACTAAGGTAACTTAATCATTTCTATAAAAGGATACTACTGTACTGCAAAGTAAGGGATAATAATCTGCAAGCGCTTACTCTTTATCATTGTTATCAATAGCATATCGTACGTTACTAGGCTCAGGTATATCCAGGGCTTCAGCGTAAATATGATTTTATACTTATTCTGTATGCTCAAAATGTAAATTTCATTGGAACTTTAATGATAGGTAATACATAATAGCAATTATGCGAATCATTTATACGTGTAGATGATAAAACCTCTAAAATAAATTGCCTATAAATGAACTAATCTGATCGAAATAGTATTTATTAGGTTATTGAATCCGTTACATTCAAACGAACGATTTAATGGCTCTTGATGCCAATCATACACACATTGCGACATTTTATATAAATAAAAACGCTGAAAAAAATTGCTTAGATACCTAGACTCTCTTCGCGAATTTAAACATAGATGCCTCTCCTTATTCATGCACGATAGTCCGACAATTTACCAGCAGTATCTTGGTGGTAAATGCAGCATTATTACGGTTACTATAACCCGAATAATTACCAGAGTGATTTTTCATAATTAGCTATTACTAGAAAAGAGGTTTAAGATCAAGGTTACTTTCATAAAAGTTTTAATTGGCGCTCCCATTAAATAAATAAAGGGACTCTAGGGTGCATGCATATAATGTATAGTAGGATACAAATAGACAACATGAACGTAATATGTACTGTAGTTAATTACTTTGTGCCTGACTGAAGTAAACCTTTAGGATGAACTACAGTACGGTATTTTATTAACCTTTTCGCTAAGTATTAGAATAATTGCACTGGCAAATCTTTACACAAAACATCAATATTTTTAGTCATTCTAGCCTTTTTTACGCTTGTACTACAAATCACATTTCCAATAAACACAACCTCATCAAGTATAAAGAAGTGCCTCTCAAATTACTACCAAAGTAGGACAAATACACCGCTACAGGAAATAATACTAATACCATCGAATAATCTATAGTTGATACTATATAGCCCGAGGCGGATACTTAGCCTATAACAATATACAGTAGTACATCGGTTTCATTCCTGTATACTATTATGAAGGGCTCTTTAACAAATAGTAAACACTTTCATAATATCGCATCAATATTGCTACTTTATATCGAGAAATTCCCATGACATTAAAAATTTGCTTAACATGTTAATAAATGAATAACAGGACATTAAAATATAAGTTTCTGAAGCTATACACAAGCGCAATATTTATACTTTCTAAACATAAAATAACGTTTGCATTATAATGATACATTTATAAAGGGAAAGAATGTTTGTTACCATTGCTAGCCTTTCTACAAAAGCATTACTGAAGAGCTAAACATATTTGAAAATTAGATTTAACAATTGTACTCTATCAAGTCAATAAATGTTTCTTAAATCAAAATTTGTAAAATCATTATGCTATAACGTTAATTCTTTGTAAAAATATTTACGGACTTCATATTACTCGTTGATACACACAATCTGTGACATGTTACCGAAGTGCTAACATTGAACACAAAGAAACTGCATTCGTAGACCTATTTCACGGTATCGTGGTATAGTAATACTATGCCTTCTTATTTCTATTAAGGAGGTGTTAATACATGTGCATTAAACCTCGGTATCAACGGCAAAAATGATAAAAAGCTTACAGCGGTAAATACATAATTTGTATATCATAAAGGATACAGTTGGTAATTAAACACAGTTATAAGCAATCGATCGAAATAGCAACATAATTAGAGATTTAAGTATTAATCATGAAAAGAGCTAATGTGTGATACCAATAAATACGCATGATACACGTTAGAGAACCCAAGTCAATAACTGACACTATCTTTATATACGCGCACTTACTACGTACAGTAAAGTGATAGTCAAGATATAATGCAAACGTTCTGTGCATTCTTACAAATTGCTTTCAAATCCACATAACACTATAACATTAAAAAGATACTAAATATGCACCGAAAAAGACGTTAATATACGTAAAGTTATGCCCTTTTGGAATTTCTGATGTTCTACAACATAATTTCATTATTATTATTATTATTATTATTATTATTATGACATATCTATACCATGATGTACGATTGCAATTGAGCGTTAATCTAGTGCAGCCATAAAACTGTTCAGTGACAGTAGTATCTGTACATAGAATAATTTGAGGCATTCTATAGTACAACTAATATAGTTAAAAGTGATAAGCTTTATTTTTTTACGCCTTTTGGTTTCTGATTTTTTGGAGGTGTATTAGGCCTTCCAGGATTGACATTGCTATAAGAAAATTTCTTCTTATCCGCCGGTTTAAGAATCTAATATCAAGAGGTTAATTAATACACTTACGTTTAAACCGTCATCAACTATCCGTGTGTAATCAATGTCAGATATCTTACATTACTTAATTGTTTTACCTGGAACGAGCACATTAATGTCTCATCGACACTCATCATAGCACCAGCATTATCGAATTCACCACAATAATTAGGTGCAGAAAATAGTGTAACCAATTGACGCTTAGCAAAAAATTCATAGCCATCTTCCACAACCTTTAATGATAATTAAATATATGTCAGATAGCTTATATTTTAGCAAGGATCTATATTACAGGATATGATAACTAATTAAGTAGAGCCAAATATATACGTAAATTACCTGATGTGCGCGACAAATCAAATCCAAGTCATGTTTGCTTAAGAATTTACCAACGACCTCACCACCAAACGTGTATGAGACTCCACGATCATTCTCACCCCAGCCCATTATCTCTTTATCAGGATCCGACCATAATAAATCGCATAGTAATCCTGTAAGTATATAGTTACATAATTAATCTTCAGCCACAACAGATCTGCTTACTCAAAGTCAGTAGCAACTGTAAATCTTTATTATGGCAGATAAAATTTGCTGATATCCAGCATAGTACCATGTTAACATCGCTATTAGTTACTGTAATATAACCGGCTAATAAATAGAATTCACTTTACTCTAGTAATACAGTCTCGTACGGTATGACGTATAGTATTATTATGGTAAAAAAAATCTATACTGTACTGATTGTACTGGTATGGTTACATGTGTACAGCAATAATTGCAATGTATAACTTAAAAAATTACTTTCGTGACGAATAAATTAAAGTCGACTAAACATTTTGCAAACCTTGATCAGGAACGTCTGTTGGTCTCATGATTCTTCTAATTTGTTCCATAGACATAAGATCCGGAGATAGACCTATTTGTATTGACATAGGAATAGTATGTGTACAATACCATATTAATTAATATAGACTATAGAACTCTATATATAAACAAGAACGGATTACATAGATTATGTAAAATTTGTCTACTAACCGCCATGACAACAAAAGATCTTTTCGTCTAATATAGCTGCTACTGGTAAACAATTAAAGCAATCGGTAAACGTCTTCCACAGTTTGATATTGTACCTCCTTTTACCTATACATTTGATATATAGAAACGAATAGTTAGCCAATCAAAAATACCATGACGTCTTTCCTATATTCACGTTATAATGTTGGATACTTGAATTCAAGATGAACATGAAGTTAAAATCTGAAGCAATTAACTATCTTCACATAAAAATACAAAACAAAACATCGCTATCCATACATAAATTAGCAAGTACTGATAAAAAGGTAGCCGTAAAAAAATATCACAAATGATTCCAAGATAATAAAATCAAGTTCCGACTATCTGTCTTTTATATATCGAAAACAATGACTATTCAATGGAATAAAAGTACCAAAAATATGGTATACAGAGAATCAAAATCGAATTTCAATAAAGCCGTAGGTTTATACTACCAGTTCCGCAGCAATTACTAAAGGGTATTTATTCATTATTATTAGACAAAAATACACGACCCAAAAACCAGCTATAAAGTAATCATGAGATTGTACAATTGCGTTCAAAAAATTCGAGTCTTGTTATACTCATAGGTTCTTTATTAATCTATGCAAAGACAATATCATATATGTGAACAACACTCTCGAGTGTACAGTAGATTATTCTTATAACACGTACTCGCATGCGCGTCCAATAATTTACTGTACTGTACAGTGTGCTTATATAATTATTATGTAATGTCCATTTAATGTCACTGTAAGTTCTTAGCAACGATGATTCCTATGAGGAGCTTAACTTTAAAAAATTTAGATCCTTCTTTTTCTATAGTAATACTCTCAGGCGTTGCCGATATCATTTTAATTTTCGTGCATTAGCCAATACAATCATCATAACGGTGTCAACGATTTCTAAAAATCCCGGAGAAATCGATATTGCATAAATTGTAAAATTTATTTACTACGAAGAATAGTGTTGCAGACATGGTTGCAGATCTGATTGAAACATTAAAGCTACTCCCAACATAAAATCTACTCTCGCCTCACACGTACGAATACACTAACTACAAATTGACTGCATTATTTTTATTATAACCTGTAAAAAATAACATTGATAGCAATCGACGATTTAACTTACTATAGCTTTTTTCTCAAATACTATATAAAAATTAAGAGAATACCTAGGGACTCTACTATAAAAATATAATTCATATAGTAACCAGCAACCGATTTGACCAATGACATTACTGCACTAACTTCTATCGACTAAATAAATTGATTGATAGTGTTATAATTTAACGGAGTATCAATAGTTATTAAAAGCTAATCTTCGCTAATAATGCTGTATATCCAACTGTATCGTAGAGAAAAAAATGGGAAGTACTATAATATCTGCCTTCCAAAACGAGCCAATATCAGTAATATCCTACGCGGTACTTTAGCTATAGAAGATTTCCCGTTATACAAACATACGTATGAGCATATCATTAATACATGTATAAAATTGTAATATAATATAAATTTAAAACAACCAACCAACGAATGATGTTACACTCTACCACGGTTAGCGGAAAGTCATATACGACATCATAACAGAATTCAATACGCAAGGTCAGAGCGGATAAAACAAGAAAAACGAAAGATATGTACACATGCCATCATACTAACTAGTATTGGCAAACTGATTAAGAAATAAATAAGCAATCTATAAACTAACCATTAGTCACTCATTGTAGAAGGATCATAAATAAATTGTAACGTCGGATTTAAATGGCGAGCAAAAAGTACTAGCATGTTCAACGTGTTAAATCGATTTCTGTATGTACTTACATTCATCGTAAAATCCATATATTCTATTAATACTAGCGCATTCATGATTCCCTCGTAACAAAAAGAAATTCTCGGGATACTTAATTTTATATGCTAAGAGTAAGCAAATTGTTTCCAGTGATTGCTTGCCACGATCAACATAATCACCCAGGAATAAGTAATTAGAATCAGGTGGAAAACCGCCATATTCGAAAAGCCTTAATAAATCATAGTACTGCCCGTGAATATCACCTGGAAAAATGAAAAAAATCAATTGATAATTATTATTATTCTAGTTGTATTTTCCTAAGTAGAAAAAGATTCAGACTAATATAAGTAAAGAAATAGATTCTTATTTTACTGAATGGCGTCTTCTCTAGCTTAGTCCAATGCACTAATAGCGCATATTCTCGCAGCTCATAGAGAGAGAGTATCGATAATTAATGACAACACGACGATAGTCCCCATCTAAAAATTTTTTCTTTCTATATATTGTACTGTACTGTACTGTGTCGATCGTACAGTCTAGTTACTGACTAACGAATAGTTAATTGTATAGTTGTATATACGGTACCGTCAGCATAGTACATACTGTAGTATAGCGCAGAGAGGCAAAAGAAAAACTTCTATAGTACAGTACTATAGAGGTACGGTACTGTATTGCTAAGAAGAAAATAAGAAAAAAAAATTTTCCAGAAAACTCAAAAAATTGGATTAAATTAATGCGTATACAATTTGAATTCCATTTCAAAGTTTTTATATCATTAAAAATTGATCCTATGATGGCGAAAAGTTAGCAACATGGTGAACGTATACAGTATTCAAACATTTTTGCGTTGCCACTCGGAAACTCGGAGTACAACAGCGATATTATTTACAGTCGGCATCATTTCTACGACAGAAAATAACACGATAAAAAATTTGCTATCTATTTTGTATATCGTATTTTTGTACATACAGTGCAGCAAGGGCACATTGCGCGATATCTATTTATTGATACACATGAGCAATATTGAAAGTTCTAATTGAAACTGCAGGGTGCATGTTCATCCAATTTTAAAAGTTTACAGCCTTCGCTGCACCGCTGCTGTAGAGACCCTTATTACCATACTGCACGAGTAAATAAATAAATAAGGACGCCAATTCTATACACTGTTAATAACAAAAATCCCTTGAAAATTTCTATCTTGTCAAAACTCTCGACAGCAAAAATAGTTCTATCATCAGGCGTAACTCTTATCATACGTATACACTTTGAACAGTACAAGTACAAGCAGGCTATCAGCAAGTAAAAAAACATTCTTGAAAGATGTTAACTTATCCACAATAAAAACGATGGGTACAATCGATGCAAACCTGAACAATAGTTGGATCAAGTTCACTAGAGTGTAACTTTTTAAAACTTTCCAAGTACAGTATTGTATATTAAGAGTATTCAGGGTTGACACGTTGAAAAGATCGATTTTAAACATTTACCAAAGACATCACTTACCACAGATTTTTAAAGGAGCCTCTAGTTCTAATAGGATAGGTTGACTCAAAAATATTTCACGCGATTTTAAACATAAACCACGAATTTCACTTTCCGACAATTGGACATTTTTACCAGGCCTAGAACCACGAACTATTGAATAAAAAAAAAATTGGATTAAAAAAAGATAGGAAATTACAGCACACAGAGTGTCAGAACCGAGCAAATTTCGCCATGAATAGAAAAGATGTCTATAACCCATACTAATGCTACATCTTCACAACTGAACGATATAAATGATCAATGAAACAGTTGTTGTACAACAGTAATGTAAAAACGTCGCAGTGTTGCACTAATGCAACGTAAGCAGATTTTATTAATATCCAGATACGTATAAGTGATGATTTCATGACTTTTGTAATAAATAGGAATTAAATTTTCAACTTTTAGCAAGCTATACAGACGATATCTACTAGTCCGAATATAATTTCTAAACGTTCATAGACAATAACGCAAAATACAATTTTATACAGGAATTCAAATTTAAAATTCAAGAACGGTATCCAGAAAACAAGTTCCAAATACTGTAAGTATATGAAATGATCATCCATTGATGCAAGAAAAGTACACCAATCAATCTACCTTCTAGTAATCTAGAGATGATACTTTCAACATTAAGCTTGTCTGTTTCACTCATCTTTTTCGATTTTTAACGTAATTAACAAGATTCTAGCTATGATTAACGAAGATTCAAGAGCGATACTACCAAGGCGTCGCAAAGAGCCCAAGCTACTGTTGTACAGTAAAAGCGGGTACAATCGAGAAGACGTAAAAGATGGCCACTAGTTATTTTGATATTGCCTTTACCGCAATACATACAGTATTGAGTATGGAGCACTGTACAGTGTAGAGTACCATACAAAGCGTGTCATCCGATGCTAGGGTCAACTGCCGGGTCTTCTGGATTGTACTGTAGTACAGTACTGTAGAGCAGCTGTGCACTGTGCATTGTAGTACTAATTTTCCAAAAAGTCAATTCCTTGTTGAACAGTATAGCAGTCTGACCTTGCCATCGTACCCTGCTGTACACTGTCCAGTACTGTACGTGTAAGCGCGTATGTGAAGATAAGAAAAATTCAATTTTTAACGGCTGCTCAATTTAGTGTACTACAGTACATTACACTGTAGTATAGTACTGTACAGTTGATCAAATTCAAGAACTGACTATATTACTGACTATATTTATTTATTTCTTCATTTATTTATTTATTTATTCATCATTTATGATTCTATTTCTGGTGGAACCGTCTCTCACGATATTCTTCGTGTACTATACTAGTAGTTTTTACTGTCCATTGAATCATTTTCATGCATTCAAGTCCTCGATCACCTACAGTACAGTACCTGAAACTGACTGCAGCATTCATCGCTACTGCACACTATACTGTACTCTACAGTATTAACGGATCTGATCAGCCAAACCGTACAGTACAGTACTGTACACTGTACGTACAGTATACTGTAGTACTGACGATATGCAGCATATCGACAGTACAGTACAGTGTACAGTACAGTACAGCATGTTTACTGTACATTCGCTTTAGATTATAAGAATTCTATTTAAATGCTATTATCAATATCAAAACTGTATCGATTTTATACCAGCATGTAGCTAATGAGCTAAAGATTCTATATTAGTTACTCTACCAGCACATATAATATTAAGTCATTTTAATTGCAATGAAGGAAGTCGATTTTTTACATCGAAATTCTAAAACGAAGTTAAACATGCTGTACAGTACAGTACACAAATTATTACTGTACTGTACTGTACTGTAGACTGTAGACTGTAGTAGTGACGATATGCAGCATATCGACTGTACAGTGTACAGTACAGTGTACTGTACACTGTACAGTATAGTACTGTGCTGTACTGTACACAAATTACTACTTTACAGTAACTGTATGCTGTACTGTACAGTGTACACTGTACAGTACTGTACACAAGTTACCGTACTGGATATGGTGTTTTCCTTACAGTACAGTACTGTACTGTATTGTACTGTATGGTTAACTATAAATGTTCGATACCTTGCACTGATTATGCGACTACGATTCCATCATTCTTCAGCGAAACCATCATGGCCACTAAACAAGACGAGAAGGCCAGCAATAAACCAGATAAAACCGTGATTGTCCCTAAGAACTGCGCGCAAGTACAAAAGATTCATCTTGATAGACTAATGAAGAATGTGGTAAGAAACTTTTAAGATTCAGAATTTTACACTTGTGTGTGCACACTTGGCAGCAGCATGAAACATCCAAAGTCCTGCACGAGAATCCATCTAAAGTCAATGACTGCTTAATTTAAACTGACAAATTACTGCCAACCAAGACTAGCTGAACGTTAAGTCCATAACCGTAAAAAACTATACAAGTATACAGGGCATCTAGCTGCTACTTCATAAACCCAACGTTATATAACTTTCAATTGATAAGCCATACTGTATTCGTACCTATTAACTGTTACGAAATTATTTCACGTCTTATGTAAGAATGGATAAAATTAACATTCTTCCTCATCACAAATTTCGCTTTTAATCAAACTATTCTTTGCTGTAGAAACATTATACTGACATACTATACAACTGTTGGCTTTGATAGGATCGACCTATTCACATTCCCAAAGTGAATCAAGAGAAAGCATCGCCACTACCTCCCGAATTTGTCCGAGAAATTATGGGTTAGTTTCAAAGCTCGTTAGCTTTTTGCATTCCGATAAACGTAAATACATTACATGTACATCATAATATCGTAAGTAATATAATGTACCAATGTGTGCACACATTTACTCTAGTATTTATATATTGCTGATCATGAAAATAAACCACAATTTTTGCTATCGTCCGCTCAATACTTGTAAACCTTTAACCAATTCTTATAGATTAATTATTAAGCCGCTGTGATGATTCTTTTAGTTTAGTAAATAGCAACATTCACAGTTACTTACGCTTCATTTTTAGGCTCAAGTGCAGGAGCTGGAAGTGGCGAATTTCATGTCTATAGAGGTAGTAGGAGGAGAGAGTATAATCGCTTACGACTCATTGAAGAACAAGCGAAAAAGGTAAGGTAACACTCGTACAGTATACGTAAGAAAATCAACTCTTCAATCTTCATCATCCAATCAATATAACAGCTCATACTGTACTAATATTACTTCGAATCCAATTACTGATATCCTTTATACTAAATGCATTGATCGTTTTTATATAAATTGTTTACTTGAGCATTGCAATTCTCAAGTCTACCCAAAGTATTATATTACATAGATTTACTATTGCAGCAATAATTGAGATAAATGGGGAACGAATACATGACTGCATGTTAATAAACAACAAATTACATAAGTACACTACTTAATACTCATTAATTGCTGCTGCTACTCACTACTCAGTATACTGTACAATATCAGAAGCAAAATTTACATAATCCGAAACCAATTATAAACATATATTTGGTAATTATATGTAAACGTCGAAAGAAACATCTAGATGATGAGTCACGACCGACAATAGTAGTCATCTATCCCTCCTAATTTGCTAAAATTATTAGACGAAACATAAAATCCTCATAAAAGGTACGTATATCGCGCTATGATAAATGCATCGGTGCATCAGTTTAATTGCTGATGAACGAAAAGGTTAGCAATTTACAAGCCTACAGTATATGTTTTACTGTATACTAAACAATATGAAATAGTCTATACAGTATTAAACGTAGACCCCGCCAATGTGACACTCTAAGATTCGCATGAAAAATGATTCAGATGCAAAAACCGTAGAGTAGTACCGATACATCGAACTAAAATGATGTTTTTCTTAATGGATAAGGATGAATCCAATCAAGAACTTCAAAGAAAGATAGAAAGTGATCGAAAGGAAACCGAAGAACGGACAGCCAAAAAGCGTAATAAAAGGTGCTATCTTACATCATTAGGAGCATTTGTACGACGAAGCTTACATACAATCAGTTGCTTTAGGTTGATTACTGCCAGTACATGTAGAATCATTGCAGATGTTACAAATTTTATAATGTACATACGTATATGCATCTTGCCCTTGTCTTAATGCTGACGAAACTATCGTGATATTGCATTAGATGTTTCCTGTATCAGATGTATGAGATATCACGCATTATTTAGTATGCAATACAGACAATATATTTTAAACTATAACAATGTGCTTATTATATAAATACTCTACAGATTACGTAAAAAGCAGAAGCAACTCGAGCATAAAAAAAGAAATACTGGTAAAAACTAAATTTATTCTCTAATATCTTACAATTTCAGTGCAATTTAGATATACAGTAACAACTTTGTACTCATGATATTTCTTCTTAGGAGCCGCAACGATGAAAGAGGATATGAAAAGTAATGACCGTGATGAAGATAATAGTGACTCTGTAGAGACCCAACAAGTAGAAGAAAATTCTTTTATAATAGGAGGAAGATAACCCCTGCTAAAAGTATCTACTTTAAGATTATAATTAATAGTATGTATATAGTTGTATAATATATTCTGTAGTGGTCGGTTCATGCGATTTTTAATATTTTTAATACCATATGTTATATCATAGTTCTGTAGCTCTACTCTATCATGATATCTCAATATTGCACAATACATCTAAAAAGAAATCGTTAAAATCCTGTTGACCATTTTCTGAAAATAACTATTGATGTGAACGAAGAGCTGTAAGAGTTCACCTTCATATTTTTATTATATAATGATTCCACAGTATGTTGTATAAGTAATTGTATATTACAAATAAAGCAATATAGTTAATCCTACGAAAAGTACCTGTGTAAAATTCAGTGGCTATTACTGTTGTCTATCATGACATATCGTAACATTTAGGAACCAACAGTGCAAATTTTAAAGTTGTTATTACTTCTTCATTTTCCTACCCATTTGCATGATGTTTACGAAGTTAACTATCAACTTTAGTCAATGTAGACTGTAGTAAAGCTCTTCTAGTAGGTTTTGTTATGAAAATTTATTGACAATTTATGACTGTAAATAAGGAGCGGCTGTTTCAGCCAATACAGTACTCCATGTTGTACCCATATAATGTATCTAGAAAGACAGGAAATCAAAATCTGGTCCATGAACCAGATAATAGCTTAAATGTCACATACAATCTGTTGTCCAATTATGTATCCTTCTTTTCTTGGTATATCATAACATTACTATGTAAGATCTTTAACAGTTTATAATTACAGACAGTAGTTAAAAATTCGAATATAATTTAGTAAAGCATGTACATGTATACGAACAAAACAGAAATCACAGCGACAAAGTTAAAGAGGTAATTAATGACAATATTCGAAGGAATATTCTTTAATATCATAGCAGCTACAAGAAAATGAAATACTTTCCGAGTCTAAATCATCAAAACCAAATTATCAATTCAGTCTTAATGAAAAATTCGATTATTCTTGCATATCGATGACAAGTTCTTCTTCAATTAAATCATCTAAACTACTTTCTAGTTCATTTGCGGGTTGTTCCACTTTTTCTCCGAAACTATTCATGACGAAATTTAATACAATTGCAAATATTAACTGAATGCCTGTTTGTCATGGACAACACTAGCAAAAATGTTTCTTACGTATCGCTAAAGGCATCTTGTGACAATCCTATATCAGCGTCAGTTGAAAGGCGAGAGAACTCTCCCTGGAGAGATTTTTTGCGCTCCTTCCCTTTTTTAAGCTACATAACGTAATTGAAAATATAATAAGCTCAAGTAGGTAAGTTCTTGAAATATATGTGTTATGCATTATTAACTTAAGCTTTCTTACGTGATGCCCTTTCTTTACTAAAGAGTATTTTATCATTTTAGAAGACTTAGATGAACTATTTCCTGTAAAGGTAGCCACATTAAATATTATACATCTTCGCCAACAAGAACTAAATATAATTCACATAATAATACCAGGTCTTACCGTTCTTTGGGCCTATTCGAATAACCGTTCGGTGACGTTTACAGTAAGAAAACTTTGATGACTTACTAACAATTTCCTGACATTGTATTCCCTACAATATTAAATTACTCCTTTATATGATATTGTGTTATGAATCCTTTAATTAAAATTTAACTAAAGTTGTCTAATGCTAAACACAGAAATTCTTCTAGAGTAATTTAAATTAGCAATGCATTTAATGTTATTTGCTTACATCTGCAACATACGCACATCGAACTAGCTGTTTATCGCTGGAACTGGCACGACCCTAATAGCATTATTAATAAATTACGTTTAATGTCAATACTTACAGCATAACAAATAGTAATAAATAACAAGAGTTACAATACCAACCAATTCGAGTATTTAATCTAAGATAATATGATTATTTACAAAGAACATAATACAGTTTCACATTAAACCAGTGAGCAAATCAGCTTTGGATATAGTAAAAGATTTTATTGACAACTACAGAGTTAATAAATTTAGGTATAGATAATGCAATATTATATTTATACAACTCTGATAGATTCAATCTTAGAAAATTTGGTAACTGATATAACGATGGCGTATCAGCTATTGAATTTAATGTTAACGCTAATACTTACATTTAATTCCTTAGTGTCATTAGAAGAACTACGTTGATTCGTCGACTTTTTGCTTAAATGACTTTTCCTTTTCTTCTCTTTGATTGGCCTTGTAGTCGAATGAAATACGGATATTTAGATAGTGAATAAGCATAGAAAAGATTTTATATACTCGCACGTTAATATTAAAAGGTTAATCAATATTACTGAATTACTAAACCTGAAAAAAATGCAGACCTGAACTACTGTAGTTTACGTAAGTAATTTATCTGTAGCATTCTGTACTCACACATACTTAGATTTAGTGGAGGATCCATCATTAGCGTGCTACATTTTTAAAAGAACAGTTAAGTTGCAATTCACAAACTCTGCACTATAAATTTCATAAATAATTGCAGACTAAAATTTAATCATATCTGCAACCTACATGCGTCTTTTTCCTCTTTCTTTCAATTTCACTTTCATTCGAAGAAGATGCTGTTCCGTCTTCATCTAAACAAAACAAGAGGATAAATATAAAATATGTCTATTACAGATCTAAAATTGAAAGAAAGCACATAAATACTCTTCAAAAGCTGACATAGTTGATTTTATAGTATCACATGTACAACTAAAGCTTATTTAAAAAATTTATTACGCCTTAAATAAAAGTCTAATTACAAACATGAAATCTTTTTTACCTGACGAAGAAAGCGGTACATTTTCATATTTAAGAAGTCGATCTAGTAAAAAGCTGTTACAAAAAATACCGTCATGTTCAAGAGTAATTACCCCATCTCCACTGAGATACATTTACATTTATACAGAAGTATATTACAGTTTGATAGAGCTATTTATTTATTAAGCAATATATTAAAACACATCAATTCTACATACAGTACTGTACGTAGCTGTATATACTAAGTGTGTAATAAGCAATATACAAGTTTACTAATAATACAAGATATAGAATCAAAAATGTCTATAGGTGCAGTACTACCACATTTATGTATTTATTGCAGTGCGTACCATGGACCACCATAACTCTAGGTGCTCTAGTGTTCCATGGTAGTACTGTACTTACTTCTTATCCATAGAAACACGCAGAATCTTCTTCTGAATTTTGACCAATTCCTCGCGAAAACATTCTTGTTCCTAAATTTCGTTATAAAGAAAAGCTGCACTATTACAGTAGTGTAAAGAATAGGCGAATAGTTTATGAGTGTTAGAGAAAAAGCATATGTGGTTATATACAGAACAGGCCCTCCGATTATAATTATTGTACAGTATTGTCAGTGTATAAATGGCAGTGAACTAAGGCTGCTATACTTTCGGTTAAAGTAGACGCTGTCATTATAACATTTAATCACCATACACTGTACTGTATATAGTTTATGATATACTGTAATTATTATAATTCAAAAGTCATATCATTTGACTTATCCCTTACATAAAGAAGAAATTTCAATTTCCTTTTCAAGGTTTTGTATCTATGTTTGGACGACGTTTTTGGTAGTACTGTGGGCATAATGTCTTCACTCTTAGTGTCGGCAGCAGCATCTATTTCTAATTCAAGCATCATAAAAAATAGAATGGTCAAACTTTCGTGTCATATTACTCGCAGTAATACTGGTAATAGCGCGCCTATATTGGATTTAGATTGTCGATTTGGTCATGGTTACTGGTACAGACGGTACAGTATTTATACGCATAAATTTAATTCAAAAACTCAATCAATACGAATATAAATAACAAATTGAACGATTGCTATCTTTGAAACTGTTACTTGAATTCATATCAGTATTAAAAATTACCTTCTGGTTGTTCATTGCTATCCGACATATTTCAACCTCGAATCGAGCGAGTGCACACTGCACCTTGGTACTTGTTAAAATATCGAAATCTTCTACCAAGTATACTTTTTAGCAAATGTCTGCAGACTGCTTAAAGTCCTTGGCTGCAGCATGGCCATTGACCACTGACCAGATCTTGGTTCAGACGATATCCTACTATACAGTACTGTAGGTTTTACTGTAGGTTTTTTCTTTCTTTCCTTCTTGAATCTCTTGTCTGTGCTCCATACAATACCGTATTCTACAGTACAGTATACTGTAGATGTTATACTGTACTGTACTGTACTGTACATACTGTATAGCGGAGCATATTGTACTGTACACTGTACTATACAGTACTGTACTGTACTGTATGTACTGTACAGTAGATGTTTCCACTCTACAGTACTTATGTTACAGTACTGAGTATTGTGCACTGTACAGTATGGTAACGTGCAGTACTGTACTGTACACTGTACAGTACAGTATAGAACATAAAGGTATCGAACCGAACCTTTCTCAGGTCTGCATTACGGCCGCTATTTGAGGAGGAATGCAAGCAGAGTGACTGTCCCTAATGTTCGTCACACGACTGTACTGTACAGTGTACAGTGTACAGTATACGTTTATGCGTACAGTACTTTACACTATACATTACAGTACTGTACTGTACTGTACAGTATCACCGTGTCTGCTGTACTGTACTGTACACTACAGACTCACTAAAATTTTTAATTTGTAGGGTCTCTACTGAACACTTTTACGTTACCGGACGGCCAGTCACAGGTTAACTACTGAATATTGTACTAACAGTGCACTACAGTACAGCAATATAGTGTACTGTACTGTACACTGTACAGTACGTAAATACTGTACTGTACAGTACCGTGGCATAGCTGCAGAAGCAGTCCGCAATTTTAGCACAACATTTAAAGATTGCTAGCTATTCAATTTTCGCTTGTATTACTTACAGATCTGCATCGATCAGCAGCATTCAAAATAGTAGTAACTAAAGTTGATATTGGATACTACTACAGGAGAACAACCAAAATGACTAAGTCGAACGAAAAGAAAAGAGCTGGCAGTGGATATTCTGATAAGAGATCTAATAAGAAACCAGCACAGGACAACCTACGCAGTACCGATGAACGAAATCATTCATCTCGTCGACAAGAATCAAATCAAAACACCGCAGAAACAAATAGAACTGAAATACCCCTCGATAGTGATAGTGAATCTGCTACCCCACTGTCGGTCGATATGGCAGCTGAAGTTAGTGAGGATAAAGCCCTATTAAAGAAAACTCGAGGTAGACAAAAAATTGATATAAAATTTATTCAAGATAAAAATAAAAGATTTACAACATTCAGTAAGAGGAAAGGTGGTATCATGAAAAAGGTATGTACAATATACGCGCATAGGTGTCTGCGTTGCATCCTAGCTACAGCTGAATTTTATGCCTATTTTAAATTCTTATTTGCAATTTATGATTGTAATATATTCTTATCGTAATATTATTGCTGTGTGGTGTCAGTGGTAGTGTTCCGAAAAACAAATAAACTCAATATTCACAAATTCTATTTAATCGAATGTACTCTACCTACAGTAAATGGTTGATACTACTATATCCATCTACATGTTCGACAAGACTATAAATTAAGCATAGCTTGCAAGTTCATAAAATACCCTTACGTATAATTGCACTGTAGGATAATAATAGAATTCCAATCAGAAAAACGAATTTTATTAGTAGACATACAGTATATCGTATTGTACAAACACCTTCAGAATTATTTTGGCCATGTTGTGAAATATTATCCAAGAGCCTGTCGCTATTCACAGAACGAAATTGTATTGTTGTAAAATTACATTCTTTATTTTGTTGTAATAGAGCCATCGTATTGTAGTTACTTTAATCTATAACCAACCACATTGACAAAAATAGAAATGCAATAATGTTAATAATGAGCTAATAATTCCTAAAACAATAATAATTCACATCAATGTTATGCATTCGGTAATTATAACTCAAGCTAATATGAAACTGAAGTAAATACTGACTCTAAGCCAATCTGTCATGCTATACACTTTGCAACAATTTATTAAATTTCATTCAGCATATGCAGTATAATATTTAAAAATACTACTCTTTAAGATATCCTAAAATCAAAGTTTTATTATTCGATATTACGTATTACTGTACTATTCATATCTCTCAGCAATACTAAATGATAAGAAATAAATTTGTAATATTGGTTAGGCTTTCGAATTGTGTACTCTCACTGGAACTGAAATAATGGTATTGGTAGCGTCCGAAACTGGTCACGTATATACTTTTGCAACTCCTAGATTACAGCCTATTGTGACCACTGAAGCTGGTAAAAATTTGATTCAGACGTGTCTTCAGTCTGAATGCGTCCTTGATCCTAGTATGGCACAGCGTATGAACCAAGACGGATTCCAAGAACCTGATATAAATTTCGAACTCGGAGAAAGGGTATTTTGTTAGCATATGTAGATAACTTTACGTTGGTGACTTACTATATGAATATGTAGTATTACAAAGCTTTAGCTTTCATTAAATATTCATCAATACTAAATGAAAATATCCCAATTTTTGGTTATATTGTTGTCCAAATTTAGAACTTGCAATTTACCGCAGGTCTGGCCTCGAATATTTACCAAGATTCCGGACAAAGGAATCATTCAAATGCAAATCAAGAATTCTGTCGTACATTGTATCCCCGCGAATTTAGACCGAATATATTAACTTCAAATTCTTATAATATTGTTAACCGTGGCCCTTCGGGATCAGGTACACAACAAGGCAGTTCCAAAGAATGGGAAGAGGTAATACATTAAAATAATTAGTATTTCTGAATAATGTTCTAACTTGATTGAATTTTATCAATTTTCCTAGCAACAACTATCTTATAGACATGTGCGACAAGATCCTGCTGAAGGCAGAACATGCTCGCAATCTGGAACATCAGCATCACAAATGCCAACTGTAACTACTATCTCTACTGGAAATCGTTCTACTACAGCTAGAGACCTACGATACAATCAAACACACTTAATTCCGCGAGAAAACGAAGAGGCCGGTTATTGGGTAGCAAATAATCCACCTCATGCAGCTACGGAAAATGAAAACAGCAACGAAAAAAACGCGTCGTGACAAGTTCAAATATACAAACCCTTCGTACTTTTTATTATGTAATTACTGCAGTTATTAACTGGGTGACATATGTAAATCTTTACATTTGAATGTAAGAAGTTACATATATCAAAATTTTTTAATCATAGAAATGAACAAATTTTTTTACATAAACTGTAAGTAGAATAAAGTGGAAAACATGTATTAAAAAATCAGTTCATTTCCATCACTATTGATATCACCTGCAAACGTTGTGTTATAATGACTAATATCATAACATTTTCCTAATAGTTTTGCACTTTACATGCCCTAGTAGAGCATTATTACAAATTATAATCTAAACTGAACAATCTACATCGCTATGATTGGATGATAGATAATGCGTAAACTGAAGAATCTAAAAAATATAGTCTATTTTTTATCATTCAATCAGGATTATGTATAATATGTAAGTGTTAATTCTTTCTTTATCATAGAATACTAGTATGGTAAACAATTACAGTTGTACTTACTGTAAATCTGATTGAAATATTATAATGCTCTTCAATATGACAATGAAAAGTATGCACTTAGATATCATATTGAAGAACTACAACGATATTACCTATACGGAATGTTTATATAATTAATGTATTACTTTTTCAGCATTTACGATCGCTGCTATCACTATAGTCGTCACTATCATCCGTAGTGTTACTATTGTCATCGCATTTAAATGCCATCCTTTGGCGATCGCTTTGCGAATCTGATTGATAATGATATTCACTTTGTGGATCACCCGGATAACCTCGCTGCAAGACAGGATAATTTGGCTTCAGTAACGGATCATTAGGTCCATAATGATAAGGATGCCTAAGAGCACCACTATCACGCCTCATTGTTGCGTTTTCTGCTATATAGCGCATATGCGGTTGTAAATTACTACCTTGACTGCTCATATTATTACCAATAATGCCTGATGAATGAATATTTACTGGATTGGATGGGTTATTACCTCTATAAACGATACCTGGATTATGCGCTTTGATCAAAGTACCATTTGACACATTCCCAAGATGTCGCATCTTAGCTGATGTTGTACTTCCACGAATATTGAAGCTCTCGTTGTTAATAGGCGATGTTTCAGTTTTAATTGTATGTGGAATTACATGTTGTACTGCAGATGGATGGATTTGACGCTTAATCTGAGATGAATTACGGGATGGATCAAATTGTACAGACTGAGGCACTGCTAATTTGGCAGTTTTAGCAGATCTTTTCCTGGGCAGCCTTCCTATAGTTTGATCCATTATTCCATTGTTCTTTTTCAACCTCTGTAATAGTGATAAAAACAATTTCGATTTGAAATTTCTAAATAATAAAAAAGTTTTTAATCCTTATACATTTCTTCCTTTAATAATAAATAGCATTCATGTAATTGCAAATATAACATGATGCAATATACTATACAGTCGATAGTTTATGCTTCCCCCATCACAATAGTACAATTTGCTCAATTTCATCGACTTACGTAATCTGCAATAGCCATCCCAATATCTTTTTCATGGTATCCCTCAGGTCTCATTCGTTCAGGAGAAACAACGCCACAATTGGATATCATACATTGAAGAATCAAATTCCGTCCCTCCTCCATACGCAGCATGGATTGAAAGTTGCGGGTACTATAGGTATAAACATTGCTTGTGGTTGGGACTAATATCACAAGTGCTTGACAGTCCGTTAGCGTGCAAATTTCATCTACCTAAACATAAGCAAAAAATTTACAGCAAGTTGAGTAATTCATACAAAATCGTATACCAGCACACGCCTAAAAGGTAGTCCTATCTAATTAGTAAGGTTCCTAAAATTTCTGTATGGGCATAATTACAAAATAATATAGGAAATTACTTCTTCATACCTTTTTCAAGAGCCCCTTCTTCCTTTTGCTAAATGTAGTATTTCTTTTATCTTTTCGCTCGATAAGACAGATAGGGATCTTTTGGCGACCTCGACTCCTTTTCTTAGACATATCATGTGCTGTTTCTCCTTTAATAGTTAAAGCATTAATATAATTGAAAATCTGATGTAATTTTGTCTATTATTGGCAGAGAAAAATAATATCGACTGTCCTTATTCCCTTACTGTTTTCTTGTGGCATTGAAGAAGGAGAAACTAATGACGATTGTGGTAGTGACGCACTTGCTATAGCTGTATGATCACTTGGACATTGTGGGTTAGAACTGCTATTGCTACTATTGAGTCCACTATCGTTTGTTGAAGACGGAATGCCATTGCTTTCCTTATTCTCGCTTAGTGTATCTCTTGTCCTACGCTGATTCATCCTTATGCTACCAATATGAGATTGTTGGTTATGAGAAAAGATCGGAGGTAAAGAATTTGTATTTGAAATAGTTGACGTTCTTTGATCAATTTGGCTGTCGTTAGCGGAATTTGTCGGCGTCACATTCATAACGCTTCTATCTAGGACGATTTTTTGGAAGCTGACCCTTTAAAATCCTTGTATGTAATCGTTCAAGCTTTAAAACAAGAAATAGCAACAATATTTATTAGTCATGACGACAAAAGTCAGTAGGGACAAGTTATATTTGTGACTTACCTCAATTAGATTGAATCCTTCTCCAAAAGACGAACTTTTTTGTGAAACTATTCAAACAATTCACCCTCTAGTAATAAACTACGTGAGCGCATTAGGTTTATATTGACTACGATAGCGGCCGTGACGTCCACCAGCAAAAACTCGTGATATCACTTCGATCCATAAAAGTAAGCCTAATTACACAAAATAATCAAATAAGCAAAAACGAATTCTTATATATTATCATATATGGAACTTTAATAAGGAAATATTTTTCTTCAATTTATCCGTTGAAATCAACAATTAATGATGAGTGATGAAGAAAGCTATACTAGATAAGGAAGATGAGAATTAAACAATAAAATATAAATATGGAAAAGCAAAATAACCATTAATATAAAAATGGCCGTAATACTTGTGCTATAGTACTAACTTGGCAACGTGAGTATCAACTAACTTTTAAAAATGTCACAGAGAAAATAGCCAATCCATATTTGGTTATAGTTTGCTGTATTCAGGAGTTATCCGATCTCTTATTATTGCTACACATGATCAATTTGCTTTTCTAGCTTTACTTCAAATCTCTGGTTTAAGGGTAATTTACACATTGTACTATACAGTAGAAATGATGTAGAAATGTGTTAGGTGATCGAATCTACATACTGCATGCAGGCAATTATTACCATACAAGAAGTGCAATCAACTATGTTAAGGTACAGATGATCAACATAAGAAAGTTTAAATTTTACAAATGATATCAACGACTGTATACATTAACTATCATTTCTTCGATCACAATACCTTACAGCAGAACATCACAAAGTTTACCTCAGAGGCGTAGAGACCGTCATTGGTAAATATCTTGAAAAATTCATCTTGACAAAATTGATATTGATCTAAAAGTAAATACAGTAGGCCTAAAATAGGTTCATAATATTTACACTCTAGATTATTGTACATAGTAATCTACAATGTGTTTTCTTCGGGATCACCTTAATTCCTAGTTTTGCGCCATAAGCATTTCATTGAAACAGCCAACGTAGAATCACTTACAATATTTCTTTGACTATCACTTGAGGCCACTAGCCAAATGCTTTACCTTGCGATAATAATATCAATTTGATGCATATTGGCGTACGAGTGAAACTAATTTTTGTGCACATTCGTGTACGTGTAAAAGAAAATTTGTATAAATAATCCATCTCATGATTAAGATTTCCTACTAGTATCTTGAACGAAGTAACCTGAACGGAACAATTCGAAAATAACGCGCTGAAAGTACAGAAGATACGCTCCTCCTCACCGCTTCCACAGCCGTCTATGCTGGTATAGAATCTGTAGGCCATTTCTAAAATTCCAAAAAGTTACAATAGTACTGTAACTTATGTAATTTCACTATTATCCTCTCTTTCATTGTTTATTTATTCCATCACAGAATACGATTAGATGTTATATTCATATTATCCGTAAATTCAACGATTTTTATAATAAAGTATCAACTTATAACATTGATTCCTCTGCTTGCATTATCTTCTCTTCTAACCACCCATATACTCGATCATGCACTACCCGTGAATTTTTACACTCAAACTAAACGCAATTTTAACAATATCAACTTACCAAAATATCGACCATATAATATTTTTTGCAAAGATAGATTGTAATTGCACCTCCGTCTTCTCTTTTAATCACTTATTTACTCAATCATGAATACGCTAAAATTTTATACTTGCATTGAATGCAAATTAACCTCCTTGTAAAATGAAGCTTTAAGTCAGTATGATGCAGCCTAAACGAGCAACATAGGTGATTTTTATTAAGACTTTGAAAATAATTTTTTAAAATAGTTTAAGTTGCTGTTGCTCTTGCTATTTATTAAAATTCGTTTGCATCAATCTAATATTGCTATTATACTGTAAGTGTTAAAAAGAATTAAATCAATTTCTGAGCTAAATTCAAATGTTTCAACTGTCTGCGTGGCTGGTTTATTCTGTTGGACAATTTTCGGCATTGCATAGTGAGATTTCGTAAATGCTATATTATAATATTATAATTACCGGTTTATCTCCCATATCCCTGTGATTTTGTTCATAGCAACGATACCGCAATGCTAACTATGACATTTAAAGTTTTAATGAAGAATTTTCGATATGATATAATTCAATTAATTGCCCAAGTCTTCTTTATTGTGTGGTGTGCTAACTAATACATAAGCTGTACTTTATATTTGTTATCGTAAGTTTTTGCTTTGGATAGGTATGTGTCTCCAGAATTTAAAAATGAGAAGATTATTTAACCTATGAAAAGATAATACGAATTACGCAATCATCAAATCAGAGATCATCATATTTTATAAACTACGCACAAGTAACAATGTTTGCACACTGATAATTAAGTAACAAAGAAATAAGAACGATTAAAATCATTATCTTGAGAATTTCATTGAATTAAATTTCTTAAACATTTTTAATATTTGGGGAACAAGAAGAAAAATCTTTTCACTTCCTAAAATCCCATGATTAAATGCTTGAAAGAATATCTCTTTAAATTGGGATTAATATGTGAGAAAAAGTTCACCCGTTCATCATAATGATTAGGAATAAATTGGTTTATCGGATTAATGTGATTTAATGAATCACGAAGATCGTTAAAAGCTAACCCTTTACTCCTGATGACAAAATAATTGAAAATACCAAAGGATTCGAGAGATTGTTAAGCTTAGAGCTAAAAAATAATCAAGTATTCTGAATAATATAGATATAAACTTGGTCTGTTCTTTTAAGTAGTTCTTCTTTCTCTGTTTTGTAGCGGTGTCTTAATTTCTATTGTGTCTGCTCAAATTAATGAAATCATATATTTTTATAGTAACTAAGTACATTTCGTACGTTATCTGATCGTACTATCAAATATAATGCAGGATGTAATTAGTATATTTCCAAGATTTAATAACGGTCTAGTCCTTATAGAATTCACCAGCATAATTTAAAATGAGGTCAATAAATACATATTTTTTCCTCGATTTATTAATAAGACGGATTTAAGTTAGTCTCTTTCTTTGTCTTTATTGCGATTATAGACTACTTTTACGCAGTTGTAACATGCGAGTAAACTATAATTTTTTATGAAGTACTTGAAAAAATAATTCGATGATATTCCTTGGGATGAAAGAAAGGGAAGATTAAAAATGCTTTGTTCGGGTATGTTCGTGTATAACGTGAAGTCGATTTAATTTACGAGAATACTTCAGTTTATGTAAAACAGCGAAGAAATCTTCCATGAATTCGAACCATGAGAAATTACCGTTTAAAGATATTCTTGGTTAAATTATAATCAGCGCAGGAAAATTTTTATATTTCAGTATAAACGATAGTTTATTTATCAATTATTGACAATACCCATTTATGCATCTCAAATTGTTCGCATCAAATATCGTAAAAATTCTTATATATGGGTGAGTACAACGAATATTCCCAAATTTCGTAATAATTGACAAATTGAATCAATTTTCATTTTACGAATGTAAAAGAGCTATTTGAAACATATATAAGAAAGCATTATCGGACAATAACAGATTAAGTTCAGTATTACAATTTATCTCATCCTATTAAGAACATTAATGACGTAATCTAAATTAAATATGCTTGAATAAGGTGTAAAATCTTTTTATTATTGAATCACTATTATACAAAGATATAGAATTAGTCCTGACGTGATAAGAAAATGCTGTCCGATTTGTATAATCACAGCGTCATCAATGAAATACCAGAATAACAATTGTGAATTCTTCGAAAGATTCTTAATACATATAAGATTTATGAATAGTGATGTCAACTGATAAAGTAATTAATCCTGAGATAACGTATAAAAAATTTACGCTCCCCACGACAAGCAACCGAATCTTTGTCTTTGCATTAAATATATACGTTATATACATATACATGAATATATATTATCAGCATATATTATCACTAGTTCTGGCTATTGCTGTTATTAAACCTTTCAAGCCTTCTTCGTCGACACATGGTAGCTTCGTCATCAAGATCAGCTGTCTCCTTATTCAAAGGCTTACTTGGGTTACCATCGTTATTATTATCTGCACCTTGGACAGAAGTATCCTCACTTGCCTCATTACCAGTAGCTGATGAGTTTCTATGTAATGAGAAATACAGTAGCATGGGGTTAAAAACCATCGTCACTTGTCAAATATTTGTATAAACAGTATATAAACGCTTACTTCGATATGTAGTTGTCAATACGCTCACTGACAGATTCTAGCATGCCTCTGATGAAATTTAAATCTTGACGAATATCTTTTAAAGTCACCGGATCGCTATTATTGTTACCTACAAGGAAAATTTTTTACTTTGATTACTAATCATTCATGAAATAAGTCGAGCTAAACAAATATCATTCTAGGCCAAGATCTGTACCAAGGAAATAGGAGGGCAAAGGTGGAGGGGGAGGAATCGGAAAAGGAATATTTCCTTGGGTCCCGGAAAAGAAAAATGGTGGCACCTGTTAAATGTATATAAATTTAAGAGTTTAAAAGGATGTAGCGAAAATTGTCGATTGTACGTGTGTATCAGTAACATGGACCATATCGTATTATGATTGGTTCTACCCGTATACATGCTAATGTTCATAATATAATAAGAAGATCATTTACATTTGCAGCGTTATTCCTATTATTAGTTGTATCAGCAGCCGCAGAGCCATCGACATTGTCAGTCCGTCCTTCTGATGGAGCTTGAGGAGCATTTGGACCCTGTCCCATGAAAGGTGGTAAAAAATTTGGCCACCGCGGTTGTTGATTGTTTCCATTTTGAGGATCTTGTTGATTTTGGTTAGCTAGAAACATACAAGAGCAAACACAATAAGGGATATATTCCAGATAATTTAATGTTAATAATGAACAAAACTGGGAGATTTAAGATTAGATAAAGTAACCCAACGTTAAATACTTGTACTAGAAAAGATACATTACCGTCGAAAAGAGCACCCCAAAATTGCGGAGGTGGCACATTAGGCGGAGCTGTTTGGACAATACAAGACCACGTCACAATTTGATATGTTTATACTCTTATTCAGGAAGTTATTCTAACTCAAATGATCCCTAAAACGCTAACCTTGTTGATCTTGCTGATTTTGTTGCTGATTTTGTTGAACATTTTCTTCTGCCTGAGGCTGCTGTACCTCCGGCTGTTGCATAGTTGCCCGTAAAATATTCATACGACATGTTGGGCAAGTCTGCTGGCGCTGAAACCAGGATCTTAGACAACTTATGTGGAAAACATGGTTACATGGTAATCTTTTACAGTCTGTCGTCATTTCTTCTCTACAGATTATACAAACATTATCCATATTTGCCAACTCCTCCGGAGTAACATCAGGACATCTAGATTGCGGCAAATTATACCATATAAATTAATGTTATGATCTACAATTAGCTATAAATTTCGTATAAATCAGAAAAATGAATATGACAAATAACGAAGACAAGTTTACGCCTACCGAGTCATAACGCTTGTAATAGCTCGTCGAGAAGAAATAATATCATGTAATGATTTCTTAAATGACCTGTCCATGATATAAATTCGAACTCTCAGTAACCGCATATTCAATCGCTAATGCGTAGACGAATGCTTGATGATAAAAAATTTAAGACTAACCTTAAGGCCAAGTACAAAGGCCTAATAGCAAAGAGTGGAAAAGCATGAATTTTTACCATAACAATAAAGAATAAAGAGTACAGTGCTGCGCGAATAAAATCTGGTAATGATAAAAAAATAAAAAATGTATTAATGTAACAATCTACCAGCATTAGCGCCTCAGACTCTTCAGGCAATAACAAAAATTCTTGATTTCAGAAAATTGATCCCTATCTTACTTGTAACGAGTTCGGTGTATAAAATATATATTGCTTTATTTTCCCATGGACTTTCGTGTTGTAAATCAATAACATGTAACAAGTACTTCATAGCAATTGTGATAACCAAAGCTAGCAAAATGGCATACTGATAAAACCAGAGTAAAAATCAATCGCTGATTATATCTGTTCATTAATGTGTAAACCATTTAATATTATATGAAATTCCAACCTCAAATCCAAATACAATTTGAACCGATGCACCATTTTGTACTGTGGCATGATAAGCATTACGTATAAAATAAATATCTGTAGCTCCAAGACAAATCACGAGAGCTAAGAAAAGAGTTGCATCTTTAGTATAAAATTTAACATTGCATATTCTAAGTATGCTTCTTCTGCGAACGTATTATCGATATGAAAATGTGCTGTACACTTCGTCCGTACAGAATAAATATTGCAAAAATAGTATGGAAGTTGAATATGATTTCCATAGATTAGCACTTACAAATCATTCTTAGGTGAAAAAGGGCAGAAATTGCAGGACTACGCTCCATCTGCAGAAGATAAGGAATGATTATACTTTACCCCAATAATAACAACATATAGTATTAGATTAGAATAATTCACTTTAAATAAAAGTACAGTAAAATTTAATTTGTACCGTCATAACATAGCAGCACGAAGCAACTTACGTAATCAACGCGATCTTCACCCAACCAATGGAAAGTCTTAACAAACAGTAGTAAGGTAAAGTTGGCTACAAAAAGTGGATTAAAGTCTTCTCGAAATACAGTGAATGCTAAACATGTTTCAGTAATGGCAAACCATGACCTTTCGTATAAATGCTAGAAAATGAAGTGTATCGAACATTAAGATAAAGTAAGGTTAGCAACTGACCTAGTACCATGAAGTGGAAGGACAGTATTATAATTAATCATTATAACCCTAACTAGAAAATAAGACTGCATTAAAACAGTATAATACGTTTACCGTAGATAAAGTATAAGATATACTGTATTTTGAAGTATTATACGCATATCCATCAAGATCATAAATCAATAACATTAAATTGATAACGCAATTTCATTAAGGTGCACAATTCAGTTGTTAAGCATTGAAAAGTCATTTACTTAGTTGCATAAATACATATCGCAGTATTTTATCAGTATAGTATATATCGTTATAACTCAACTATTTTTTCGCAATGATGAATGCAAGACATGTAAAAGTCATTAAATATACGTACCTCGATTTCGGAGGCTCTTAATGTTGAAAAGAATATTAATCTTGCAATTTTAGCCAATAAGATAGCAATAACGAACGCCTGAGCGTACAAGACCTAAAGTTTCCAAAAATTAAAACTGACTTTAGTCTTAATCAAAACAAGTTGATTAAATTATGAAAGAGTTGGATATCTACCAAAGTTTAAAGCAGTAATACGACATTTTATTATTATTAGAATATCCACAATAACTCATGAGTTAACGCTTACGAGGTGATGATATGGAAACAAGTATAAAATTTTGCAATTCATATTGGAATATTACAACTAGCAAGGCTTCAAGGTTACATCCATTCAATGTATTAAAGTATTACTGAAAATAGATAATTAATACAATATACATACAGCCATGCAGACATTGGATTTGGTAACATAGACAACAGTTGGATAGAATTGTTGCTTAAGGTAATAAGCGTGTCCTATCGTAGCACACGTTGCAGCCAATGTAGACGTTGCCAGTAATGTTGTTCTCATCTTTCAAATTTAGTTGTTGTAGTTGATAAGATGTAAAATTGGTTTGAATTAAGACTACAAATGTAACATAATAAAAGCAAGGACTCAGTTAGCTGAAAGTTTAACTTTTCTGTTCCTTTACGATGTTTTTATATACCCAAAAGTTCTATACAATGAAATCTGGATGTACCATCCATTAATTATTATTAAAGGCTCTTTAATCTGAACGTGTAGTAATATTTTGTGTGTCTTATTAAATCCTATACATTACTGATTAAATAACGTGAACTACGTAGAGGATATGGCGTAGACAGTACTTATTGACGCTGCATCACTCAACTATACTGCATATTAAAATGAATCCATACAAAATCAATAAATGAAGATAATTGAAAACTACGACTGCTTTATATGCGAAGTACAGGACATCACGTACTCGAATAGTTTAATTCAGATTAAGAAGAGTTTTCCTACTGTAAATAAAGCCTAAAACTGTTCTCAGGTATTATAGAGAGAATTCCACACATAATGCTGAGAGATGAACTACTAAACCGTTCATTCTAAATGTACTCGTATGTTTTATGTTATATATATAATAATATGAACGATGTATCATCATCCGGTGTTATACGATCAATGGGTTAGCATCAGACGTACAGTACTGTACTGTATATATACGCGTCTATAATATTTACAGTCAAGACTTCATGTTAGTTCTTGATGATACAATACTGTTCAAAACAGTAGATCGTCTACAGTATGGTAGAGGAGTGGAGGATCATCTCTACGTGCAATCTATACTACCGATAGCGATAAAACATGATTCCATTGCAATACGACATAAAATGAGATTTTGGGCAGAATTTGTCATTCTCCAATAACCTGTACAAATTGGCAGCCCAATTTTAATTTACAATATTCGCATCAAGTCTATTTCGCTATTCGATATAACCTATTTACCAGTTATAAGTGCTTTGAACTTTACTGGTATCTTTAGGTATTCCGATAAGACGAGTCAATTAATAAACGAATTGGATTGAAAATGATCAGCACATTTCCTGGATATGTTCCAAATTATAATGAAAGGAAACCATTCTTGCCTTCATGGTTCTCCTGACTTGCCAACCTCAACACTAAACAGTGTTGACGGATAATACGAAATACTGTACAGTAGTTCTTGAATTCTTTTAGTGAATGTACTCCTACTGTACACTGTACACTGTACAGTAGCTATCTTTAGCCTATCCATAGTCATACAGTAGTACAGTACGCTACTGTTTGTTTTAGTAATCCATGGCTATACTGTACCGTACAGTACAGTACATACTGTAGTCACTGGTAATACAGTACAGTACTTTGTTTAAATGACACACTGTACAGTACAGTACTGTGGTGAAGCCGTGAAGGTAACTTGTACTGTACAGTGTACAGTACGTGTACAGTATAGTGTACTGTACTGTACTGTACAGTGTAGTACTGTACTGTACTGTACAGTATACTGTACTGTAAGCAATGTACTGTACAGTCAATCCGGCTTGAGCAAACACTGCCAAACAGGCGCAATCACAATCTGACCCGTGATTACGTGGCACCTCCTGATTGTCCACTCGACGTATGGTCCGCTCAGTCATGACCTGCTCAATCATACCGTTACCCCATTGAGCAGTCACGGTTCAGTGCTTATTGACTAACTACACCATGGATAGACCACTAGAAAAAAGACACCAATGCTCGACGATGACTTTACCAGGACAGTTGTACGCCAAGACGCTTGGCTGAGAGTCACCTTTCAAGTGCACACGTGCACACTGCAATACTGTAGTACACAGTCTCTCAGTGCAACAGAGGTTACGATAGTAAATAAATAATAAGTCAACTTCGTGCACACACCGTGGCCACCCAAAGTAGCACAACACGACACGGTAGGCCTGCGGTACGGTTCGGTACGTTTCGGTACGGTATGGGTAGCTGTTTACTGTTGACTGTGACGCCGATGGAGCACTGTCAACAGTTTGAGTTGCAAGTCAAATAGCCTAGCGGTCAATAGCTTAGCCATGGTATTTATACGGCATTAAACAGCAGTGTTATAGTACATACAGCAGTTTCCGTTACGGTTGAAGCAGAAAATCGCGCAGAAGATCGCCCTATTTCCATCTAGTACAAGAGTAGATACTAGGGCAAGCAATAACATGGCTGTCGAATTAAACAGTGTTACCCAGATCAGCGAAGAATTTCAAGATCTAACCAAAGAGTTCGCTCGTTTAGAGGTGCGCTTGAAAGTGGGCATGACATCGTCTATACGAAATCACAACTTGTTCATTGACTAGATAATGATAATTCACCAATGAAATGATAATGTAGAATAATAGAATACGCGTAGATGACTAGGAATTGATGATCAGCTATCTGCTAGTTCCAAAACTGTTATCGATAATCCTTGATTAGGACGATCAATATGTTGAATACACCAAGAAGGCTGAAGATCTCCACAACGTCCAAGGCAAATGCAAGCATGTTATTGATCATCAAAACAAGCGATTAAGAACGATACAATCATCCATGAGAAAGTAAGTTATATTTCGATTACTGCACACTACAGTACGTACATATGAATGAATTATATGTGTAGGCTGATAGTGGATCTTTATCGGTTTAGCCTAGTTACAGTAACTTGTATGATAGTGATTATACAAAGTTGGAACATTTTCAACCAGTAGCATACATACTCGTCAATCAATGAGGTAAAAGTCCTATATAGAGAGATTTCATTGCCACTAAGCGGACCTACAGGACTAATGTAATCGTGAAGTAATCACCTGTAGTAAAGCCGGTGATATTGTACGCGTATGTCAGTTATTCTGCTATTTAGCAATATAATGAGCATTACAGTACTGAAATTTACTTCTTGGAATCTGAATATTTTGACAAGTGTGATTAGTAGCTCTTGTTTTTCCATGACAACTGTATCAAAATTTATCTTGCTAAATAATTAAATTATTAGGCTGCAAAAAAATGATCTATCTCCGGAAGAAAGAAACATTTGCGATAAAATTAAATCTGATATTAAAGAAAGGCAGCAAAAACTTTCCGAGATACAATTAAATTTGCCAAAAACAAACAGGTATAATCCACTGTGAATGGACCGCAGAAAGATCATGCATTAATGCTACTGTAGAATGACTGATATACAGTACTACTGTTTTGACTGCGACGATTTGATTGTCCTTCTGCAAAACACAATATTATACCTCCTATTAATAATAATATAATTATGAATTCATTAGTTTGCTACTGAGATTGATATTGGGCCAGGTTAACTTGACACTACTTAGTGAAACAGAAAGGTACGTATACAATTTCAAATGACAACTTGACTTAACCTAGTTAGCATTCAACTCTTTTGTTGAACAGCTACAATCTTAAACTACCATTCAATTAAATAATCACTAATTTAAATATTTTCTACGAGTGTTTACAGATTATACAACAATTTATTACACTTACTAGGTTCAAATAAAATTACCTCATAAACGTGATTATTTCATGTATTAAATCATCCAATCCATAAAACTATCTTTAGGTTCGACTATAAAGATGAATATGAAACATTCAAATTAAACATTACCACGTTATCGTTGGCCTTAACTTGTATCAACCTACTAGTTAGTAACGTGTACGTAAGCTTCTTTGTACCTAATTTCATGCAAACTACTATTCGTATATGATATTAAAGAACGATAATATTGCCAATTGAACTATTTTGTAACATTAGTAAATGGAAAAATTGCATATATAGGGCTGCCTACTATTGTTAGAGAATAATTAATTTAGTATTCCTAATTTTAGTATCTTTTCTAAAATACTAAAGCCATAATTTTCTGGTATCTAGTATCCTGGATCATTTATTTCATTTTGTATTGGTTTGGTACTATTGCACAGTCACTATCAGGGAGCATATTTTACGTCTTAACGGCTCAAGGTAAAGTTTTTAGTTTTTACAATGACACAGATGGTGCATGTTTTTGGCTGGACATGCGCCTAAACGAATGAGTCTGTCTTCAAGTGTTGCATAAATGTACATGGCGTTGTTTAGATTTTTTATAAAAGCGATTGGAGGAACTACATATATTTTACATTTTTAGGATTCACTCAGTAGATGAATTTTAGTCACACTATGCAACGCATGGTATAAAAATTGTGGCCTAAACGTTGTTCTCAATGATTCATAAACCTTACGTTTATTCGTATATTCGTAGATAATTTTATAACATTCGCTCAATATTCTTTGTCGTTGTATATTATATATAGAATCAAAGGATGGTGGATTATTCATCATTACTTTTCTGCAATTTTATCATGTATTCTTTTAGTAAGGTAAGTAAATTGCAATCGTTATTAACATATACGTATAATCTTACGCTACTGGCGTAAATCTGAATTATAACCTCGACTAAATGTAGAAATAAGACGTGAGTTAATACACACGGATATCAGAACTATCCTTTCTGTAAAATACGGCAAACTATATTTGTTTGTTCATGTAGCGGGTATCAACAATATTAACTATAACTCATTTATATTTAATTTTTTTCTCGACAGCCCGATTAATCAACGTTACTACGCCTTCAGAGAAACGTTTAATTATTCATCATTGTTTCAAGGTCTATCTTACATATAATTCATGCTCAAATAAATTTTAACTAAAAATATAACATGAAATATATGAAAACAATGAACATATTCAAATCAAGCCATACACTTTGTACCGCTAGGCTTCGTACAAGTACTCCAGTATTATTATCAACGAGGCTGTTTGTATCGTCTAAAGACTCTCGGTGAAACAGAAAAAATGGTCGTCACTGGTGGTATGATTTATTTGGAATGTTTACAAAATACTATGAGATCAGTTCTAATGATTACGATGCTCAATCGGTCAATTACTGCTCGAAGATTTTAAAACTCTGATTTCTTCATTTAATCGATAATATTAATAAATTTTCTAGAGGGCTTTCGTGCGTTCATGTGGCGTGGATTGAGCTTCTTACTCCCCTTTCTGTTTGCTGTTTACGTTAGTGACATAACTTCACATCCAAAAAGGTTTAATTTAGTTTAAATTGTTACTGACTTATTTTAATCTTATATATTTCAGGCTTTCCAGCTTTACTGCGCTTATACGTTATATAACATAGCAATTAAGCAAGATTGTTACGAATGGCAGGTTCATACCAACTAATATATTTAATACCAAATATACAAAAAGTATACATGTACATCGTATAGATTAGCGTTAGTAACTGAGTGACGTCATTTGAAGGTCTAAAATATCATAACTAACCTAACCTAACTTCATTTCAGTTTCCAGCCTTAAGTATATTATTCTTCGTCTTGGCATTTGGTAATATAATTACTACTCTTGGAGTTATCAACAACAAACTTAGACGAAGGCCTCCTTCAAAAACCGATTAATATCAAAATCTAAACAGCTTCTTAGCATCACAATGTTGTTACAGTTAGCAGTCGATTCCATTTAACTGCATAAAATTCTACGAATATAATGGTTTAGCGATTTTGGCGATATTGTTACCGGGTAATTAGCTAAGATCACCGACAACACTACCTAGTGTGATCCACACTAATTGCCGTGATTAGTGTAATGTACTACTTTCACTTTTTATTATATTTTATATGCAGTTTGCAACAACCGTGGGTTCTTTTGCATAAACATACTCGGCATGCGCGTGATTTAACGTAATTAGAAATATGAGATTGCTACTACTAAAATCATGTTTGTATTCTTATCCCTGCAAATATGGATACTTCAATGATTAATAATTACATAATTTAAAGCACAAATGCGCTAAGATGATTATTGCCAATCTTTTTATTATTTAAATGAACTTTTCTTTAATTATAATTATGTAAATTAAATGATTAGTTAATTGTAGTATAGCAAAGTATAAAATTTTATATTTATTTTGCATTTTCTTGTTTGATATGTCGACTATCTACTTAGAGATAGTGTAATAAAATATGGCAAGGACTTTATCGCTTGAATGATTAACAAGAAAAATCTTTCATATACTGAATAACATTTGATTAAAAGAGTGATTTTGTACGTTATAAAATTTTATATCAGGGAGGCTTATAAGTGCTTTCATAAAAGTGAGATGCGTGTGCCTCTAAAGATTGTATTGCACATAGTGTGGTAATAACAACCGCATGTAATTTATATTTAGTGTAAAAGATAAGAAATATTGCAAATGAGTAAATTATATGCAGAGCTTTAGCCCAGTCGAGATGCATATAGGTACCAGAATAATCCATACGCACTTACTATGCAATGATAAAATACAAAGATAAAGTATACGCTCTCCAGTCAATGAAAAATTTATCAACTGATACTTGTAAATTCTTGATACCTATTGTGTACATTACTAAACAAGTCCATATGTATACTGATATTAGATTGCACAAGAGTCTTGATACAACTGCATGGCTTCTTCAGTGTGAGGATGAGAACTTCCTAATAAAGTGTCGAATAAATTAGCGGCAGTCCTAAATTGATATTCGGCACGCTGGTGCATATTTGTGCTTTGATAAAAGCATGCTAAGTTAAATCGAGCAATGGCAGCATGAATATTCGGAGTGTCGCCGTAGTAATCCCCAAGGATAGACAATACAACGGAATAAATCGCTTCTGCACTATCTTTTTGTAAATCGGCATATGCTAAAGCTATATTATTGAGTATGCCTACCGAAGAAGGAGATTTAGACCTTAATACATAAATCCACTTAATCTTGATAATGAAAAGTAAGCATGTACAATACAGTACTATATAAACTACCGCTACAAAAATTCATAGTGCAACATCGTGATATTATATACGTTATATACAGTTAAAAAATTAATAGATAGTCTTCTATTCGCCATAATTCGGTTCGACTTAGTTCTTAATAGGACTATTACCTGCGGTCCGCGGATGAATAATGCCAAATTTTTTACAGGTTACTGCTAAATCTTCTATATAGAATGTCAAGGCTTCTCGATAGCTATTTTGTTTATAAGATAGCTGACCAAACTAGAATTTTATTAACAAAGAATCGAAAATAAATTTTATATTATCTGGTATCCGTGATTTCCATTTATTTTATTAACATAAAGAATGTAAAGATTTGTCAGAAAATATTTTATTACTGTCGGCAAATGCAGTATATAATATAAACGTTTAATACCAGGTGTTAGTACATACCACACTTAATATAGATGTCACATACGGATGATCAGAGCCTAAGAAATCCGTCGCTACTTCCAGGGCTCTGAAAATTACGCGTTTACTTTCCAGTAAATTTTTTTGAGTGCTTAAAACAGATCTACAATGGCCAAGAAATTGTTGATGGAATTACTACGTATATAATTAGTAAGTATACGTACGCATATTGCTTGCAATGACCTACCCAAATCCCAAAAGACCCCGTACTAGCAGTAATTTCTGTGTAGTAGATTTTATTTTTATTTGTCGTTGTATTGCATCTTTATAACATTGAATTGCCTCGTCTAGTCTCATTTCTTTTTCATACATAGAACCAAGAGCATACATAGCCTACCGTATAATGAATATTTAGTACAGCATATTAAAATATATAGTCTTCCAAGAAATGCTTATACAAATATAGAGCAGTCATTACTTATAAATTCTATTTGATTAAACTTTCCCTGTTTTATTCGAATTTTATTATAGGTGATACCAGTACTTGAATTTAAAACTAACCTCTATAACTTCTGGATGATTGCATCTATAATTCCATTTAGTATGTGCGTGGTCATATATGACTGCTCCGTGTGAATTTAAATACCGCTTCTCAAGCTCTTGAGTTAGATTTTCATATGTTGCGCTAATAATATTGTTACAATTAGTCCGAAAGCAAAAATTAATAACCTATCCATATGCACGAAGAAATTCTAATATGATAATATTCATTACCAACCGAGATTTACGTCTCTCATGATATGTTTCAGTCAGGATACGATCTTCAATCTGTGCAGTAAGTACTATCATTAGTAACAGCCACGTACGTCATTTGCTTAAGCTATCTCAAAGCTCACACTAAATAATAGAATGCTTTAATATTGCTAAAATTTTAATTTAAAACTTTTATTTTGCCTCATCTATTAGCTTCTGTCCTTCCATTTCTTGATCTTGCAGACTACCAGTCTGTAAATCACCCTCTGAATCATTTTCTGGATTATCAAATAATATTGATTCTTTAAATGGCAAGCTATCAATATCGCTATCTCCATTAACTTTGATGGTGTTAAGTGAATGTTCTGAAAAAAGCTTGCCACTATTTTTTCGTAGTCGGTGACTTGCACTATGCATCTGACGGTTTAGAATTTCGTCATCGCTGAGTAATCCTTTATTATCTAGGAATACTTGATGCAAGATTCTTCTACGTCGACCAATCTTCGTTGATTTAGTTTTACCCAATGTTATATCTCCTAACGAATCCCCAGCTCGCGGTATATTTCTAAGCTTGACTCTTACAGATGCCATAGCCATAATGGGGCCTTGATTCAGGAATTTTCCGTCTACATTTTGACCTTTTATGTTGTGATATGAACGTAAGTATCGATCTATCAGGTACATAATCTTCTACACACTTTTTTAACTATAAATTTCCTAAACATTAGTATACTACCTGATGATTCAAAATGTATAATTCTGACTCCGGTTCCGTAATTTCTAAAAGTTACAACCTCTTTATGCCATTTATTAGCGGACAAATCTGTAATCTGACCACTATTGTATTCTCGCACGACTTTACGACCATGTCGTAATAATTTCACTTTGAATTCATAGTTATCGTTCTTATTATTACTCGATCCTCCCGAGTACCATTCAAAAGCCTGAGTTTAATATTGAATTACGTCAATGAGATAGCAATTGTAAATCCAATCTAAATCGTTTTATTACTTGAATATCTGGCGATTTATCCCAAAATTCAGCAGGAAAATAATCTGTTAGCTGGATTTCTTGAAATTTCCTGCAATATGTATTGCTCGAAACGAATATCAGCGCTGTTGATTAAAGTGAAATTATGTAATAAGTTTAGGGTAATATTGAAAATTAAAAACAAAAGCATTAATGTCAGTAAACATGTCTAAATGTTGACAATATTGTGTAGATTATTAACCATTTGTAATTGATTTCGGTTAGTACCGTAACCTCAGCATTGCCTATTCGATAAGCTTATAATCGTGTTATAGCTCTTTTTAAGTTAGACGATTATAGTTATGTCTCTAATATAATGCATTTGATTATTTTGTCATCAATTTTGATTCAGTAGTCTCAATACTGCCTATTTTAACATGTTTGTAGTTGTGTTCTATCTATCCTTACAGTTTCAAGATATGATCATGACCATATTCTAGACATGATATATTTAGCTTTAATTCAGTTTTTCAGTAGTCTTATGCTTATAATGTTATAAATATCTTTTACCTCGATCTTTTCCTTTAGTTCCATAAAAAACTTTCCAATTACCTCCCATTTTCCAAAACATTCTATTATCCAACTATAAAATGATAAATTTAATTATGTAAATGGTAATGATAAACAATGTGACTGCACTTTTTTTTAAGTTTCATATTGATTTTCATGTGAAGTTAACA